AGACACAATTCTTGACCGATTTGGATGAAATTTAGTGGTAAAAGTGTTTATTATCAACATGAATAAATATAGTTTAAATGATATATTTATTTTATTTCAGAATGTATGTGTTCTACATTTTGATGATCCAGATTGGAAAACCTTCATTGATTCTCTCAAACCATTGGTAAGATCTTAAATATTTTAAATGATATGAATGGTTTCTTGCCTATGCATGTGTAAAAAAGTGAAATGAAATGAATGTTGCCTGTCTTCTTTAACCCACATGGTGCAGAAAAGTAGGACGTAATACTCCATTTATTTCATTTTCATTTTTTGACATTGTGAAGATGCAAATTTAGGTGATACAATAAAGTAGGCTATTGTAGTCAAGGTATCATACAAAGTCTAAAATAGCTTGACATTGTGAAGATGACTTTACATGGCATTACCTGTCTTTATTAGCTGAAAGAGCAATTGAAAAGTTATCAGGTTTTTTTTTTCTTGTCTACCCTACATTTCTGTTATAAAAAACTGACCCATTTGACTGGCCTAGTTATTTAAAATGTGACGTCTGGTCTCAGAAATATTCATACTTTCTTTTTTTCTTCATGATACCTTACAATGTCAGTCTTCACAATGTTTTCATGACCCAAATTTTTGCACTGAAAGGTCGAAGTAACATTAAAGGAATGTGCCATGTTAAATATTAACTGAATCTACGTGCCTTACAATCATTGTTATACAATATTGTTTTTTCTTATATAAAATATCAATGAATGAGATATTTGTTTAAATGTATGTGTTTAACATTTGATTGTCTGTAAGATTATCTTGCAATTCTGAGAATAAGTAGGTCTAATGGTTATTGGCACTGAAGAAGTCTTAAGATGTATTACAGACCATTTTAAAGGGCTGGTTCAAATCATTTGAAAAATAACTCAACTTTTGTTAAATTTTGCCACCTTAACAATGTACCACCTTTTAAACTGATATGTGCCACCCTTAAGACTGATATTGATATGTACCACCCTTAAGACTGACATTGATATGTGCCAGCTTTTAAACTGATATGTGCCACCATTAAGACTAATATGTGCCACCTTTTAAACTGATATGTGCCACCTTTTAAACTGATATGTGCCACCCTAAGACTGATATGTACCACACTAAGACTGATATGTGCCACCTTTTAAACTGATATGTGCCACCTTTTAAACTGATATGTGCCACCTTTTAAACTGATATGTGCCACCATTTACACTGATATATGGCACCCTTTAGACGGATATGTGGCACCCTTTAGACAGATATGTGTCACCTTTTAACTGATGTGCCACCCTTTAAAATAAATGTGCCACCCTTTAAAATGATGTGTAAGGTTGATATGTGCTATCATGTGCTACCATTTAGGTTTGCAAGGCCTGTAGTTTAATATATGCAAATGTTTAGAATAATATGTGCTATTTTTAGCCACATTTTGTAGCTTTGTCCCTCGTTTATTTCTTTTAATAATTCATTGCATCATAGTTGATAAAATTCACGCGCAAGGTACAACAACAAGAAGTACATTTTATGTACTTTTATATTTAGATCAAGAAAGTGTTATATGTGTACTCTATTACTCAATTCAGCTGAATTATAAGATATTACGTTATTTCCATGATATTAGTATTCAGTGTAATAACTATAAATTTATGTCATTCATAAATGTTCATTCGTTTATGTCAAACATGGCTAAGTTCTTTTAGGGCATTAAGAACGATTGCATATACCTCGTCTTTAATAGTAATTATAAATCCAATTCTGTTTTAATATTTCTAAAATAAAAAAATCTGTACAAGCTAGACAATGCCGTTAATCAAAATCTTGTCCAAAGTATGGCATAATCGAGAGTTAAAGTAGTATAGTAATGGACTCTCCAGAGTACCATTAAGTGTTTTGAAAGATTAATATATTGATAGACAATTTGGTTAATCAAAATCTATTCAAAAATTGGCAAAATTGAGAGTATGGTAACGGTGAAAATTCCATGTCATTGATAAATAGGCTATAGCTCTGATTTAATGTCGGGGTACCTCGTTGCATGTAATATAAAACTAATAAGAGCAGACAGTTCATTGAATTATGAATTATCTCTATCTTTGTCCAACCAGTCTAAGATATCACTATAGAGAGTGTGGTTTAAGTACATTAAAGTGAAATTGTTCTTGAACCGATGTGAACTTGAGCAAGATGACACTGCACTAGAGTGATCCTAGCTGGCTTTACTGTACTGAAAATAACCCTAACCCATCTGCTTTCATCCAATATTTACACTGAGTCTGATAATAGCGAACTTGAAGAGTATAAAAAGATGTTTTCTGTCTGGCAGGTCATACAAGTGATAATAGTTCAAACTGGAGAAATTGCTTGTGTCATTATTTATACAATAAAACTCTTGTTGTCTTAGTAATACATTAATTATAGATGCTAGGTTTTCATGTTCTTCAGATGGTCCTGATTTATTATGCAGTATGCCAGTAATGATCGATTTTATGAATGAAAAAAATGATATTTCTGTCTCGCGGACCATACAAGTGATAAAAATTCAAACTAGAGAGAGAAATTGACTGTGAGAATTTATTGATTTAGTCCTACTCTATTTGTTCAAGACTTCTTTTCTGAATGAATTTAATAATAGGTGTCTAGGTTCTCTTAGGGCATCAAGAATGATTTCTTATTCCTCTGCCAGTGCTTACTGGTTTTGTATAGGTTAAGGGAAATGGCAATATTTCGCTACCAGTAGAGTGAGACTTCATTATAGTGGATACTCTATTAACTTTAATTATAGGCACTTTAGACAATAATATATAAAAGCATATATTATATCAACCATCAGACATATATCTAACAATCTATTCTTTGTTTGGTTGTCTTAATAGATATTTGTCGTGTTAGTATATTCAAGGCAATAAAATACCACCCTGTTTGAACAAATGAACTCTTCCTAACAACTTTAACACTGTTTATCTGTTGATAGAAAAAGCATGTGTATAGGAGAGTTCATTAAAGTATGAGGGGTGTCAAATAGTCTTATGTTAGTATTTCAAATCTTATTTAAAGTGATACTCCCTCTTAGAATGAACATAAAATTTAGATTTACCAAACTATACAACAGAATCCCTGTATATGACAATAAATCCATAAACGAAGTAATTATTAATAAATATTTAATGTTTTCTAAACATTTTTCAATAATAACTGTAGTTTTACTAATAATTACTTAGTTTTATGGATTTACCGGATTATTGAGGTGTTCTGTTGTATAGTTATGCCACCAGGTAAATCCAACTGATGAACTAAGACTCATTATGGACTAAGAGGTAGTATACATTTGATATATAAATGCTGTGGTTTCCCTTCACATACTATAATTCACTTTACAGGGAATCAATATATTGTTAAATCTATGTAATGAAAAGACAGTGGAATGGTATTCTAAATTTTCTGGTCATGTGTCATGTGAAGCTCTAGAAAAGAAAGAAACAGTGGCAGTTATTAACAGAAGGTAACTTTTTAAAATTCCTTTCTTAACAGTTGAAAATAGAAAAGACAGATGCTGCTGTTCTGACAAAAAAATTTTCATTGCACCCTTAAAGTGGAAGTGTCTGCAGATTTATTTGGTAAATTTACAAATATTTGTATCTAAAAAGTCTAAAAGTAGTATTAAACTGGAATGTTGTAGTGAAAAACTTCCAACAGTTTGCGAAAAGTTACAAACAAATAAAGATTACACCAATTGAAAAATTACACGTTTTAACAATGTTCAACAAAAATTGATATTTTGATGCTGCATGGTGTATAATTTCTTTTACATTAGCTGATATATCTGCATAGTTTACATGTTTTTTGGTTTAATGGATTCAGTTTTCACAGAGTCCACATATTTAGCTACAATTTGGTATATTGATTTATGTATTATCATATCTATTGTAGATGTCTATGTTACCTAGCGAAAGAAATTGGTTTCTCGTTCTCGGCCATTGATGGATTTCAACATGAAAAGAATCTGGGCATGTACAAACAAGTAGTAAGTTTATCAGAAGTCATCTTGGGTCTGTCAAAAAAAATTGTATTTTATCTAATTGAGAAGATTCAAAAATAATGAATTCTAGATAATTTCTAAATAATGAACTCTTCCTAACAGCTTTAACTGTATTAAATTAGTAGGAAAAGCACATGTGTGGTAGAATTCACTTCAGTACAAGAGGTGTCTTATATACGACTGGCATGCAATTACCCAGTAAACTACAAGGAATCTGCTAAAATTTAAATTGCAAATGGATTTGATAAGATTGAAAACAATTGAATGTTAGATTATTTCAGATGTTAATGGAAATATCTAGAATACCTTCACATTGTCAATATAAAACCTGTAGACTTTTGTTCAAAGGGAGAAAACTCTTTGTAAATTAAAGCTGGGCCACCCCACCACAAGAGAATGGGAGGGGAATCATATAGAAAACTGATTTAGGAAATGTAGAAAATATTAATTTTCCAGCCAGCAGAAGAAGCTGAAAAAGAGAAAGAACATCGAGCAGCATCACATATACAACATCAGATTCCTATGCCTCATTTATTCTCGGTGGTTGTTAAAGATAAAATATCAGGTGAGGATAGGGTTGTAAATTAATTAGAAATATATGTCTCCAATGTACTGACTAAACAAAATATATACTGGATTAATCAAAATCATGGATTTATCATAGAGCTATGCCTTAATTACTGCTACCTCCATAACTTAAACAATTTTTGGCTATGTCTTCCTGAAAATATCATAGAAGCTGACATGTGCTCATTTCATCTATTTATATCTCTTCTCAAATGTGTTTCATTGGGCCCAATAAAGTTGTAAAGTTGTAAAGCAGATATTTAGACAACACTGCGTCCAGACAGTTATAACTCTGAATAAGTTATATGGACAGCTGTAATTAGACTCTGTTAGAAATATTCTATTGTGTATTTTAGGTTTGAATCAGCTGATGACTCAAGGAACAGCTGATATCGTACTAGAATGTTGTTCAGAGTACTGGAATGGGCAGGATATCTGTCCTATAACAGAAAATGACAGGTTAGGAATGAAATGGAGTTGTACTTCCAATTCTTCAACTATTTATTAAGATATTTAAATCAATTTGTTGAAGAATTATTTTCCACTTTTGTGTCCATAATAGCAGGAATTTGTCAGGAGTTGGATATTGTTTTTGAATGATTATTGGTGCTTTCCCTTAGAGCAATTGGTGGAAGGAACAATATTTAGAGCTTTCAAATAACTCTGTATGGAAATTTTAAATCTGTACAGGTCTGAAGAAAAGCAACGAACCCTATGAATGAATCTTGAACTCTTTAGGTTCATTCTTATTAGGCTACAAGAGAATTTTGCCAAGACAAAACAAACAATAAAAGATAGTGCTCAATTTTTCCATTATTACGTTAACTATTTCAGGAAGAAGATATTAGATTTTTATCATCGTAACACTATGGGAGCATATTGTTCAGCATTTGCCTACAAACCAATCTCCCAGAAGATAGCGTCACATTTAGAAGATGTCTATCTGGAACTTCCAGAGACAAACATTAAACGGACATCATCTTTTAAACCTAGAGCTGCAACGTGAGTAAAGACTAAGAGGTTTAATATCTTATATGTATTCTTTAATCTGTTGGAGGGAAAAAGAAATATTCAATGAAGATGGATCAGTTACAAATTGATTTAGGTTCATTTCTATTAATGGTGAAAGTTGATAGAAAAATTGATACAACTAAAAGGTTTTATGTCTTTTATTGTTTATGTCAGTGTGCAGCTATAATATATAACGTTATGAATGTTTATGTTATATGTCATCATTGTTGGTTGAGCTGGCAAGACTATCCTTAATGTTGTTGATAAGTGTTTTTTACCCGATCATATTTTGAGGTGGCTATCTATTTCAAGTTCAAAGCGCTGTTGTGTATAAGTGTTTTATGACCAAAGTTGATGTTGATTGAGGATTTCATCTTGAATATAAGCAATATCTGTATGTTTTGTAACATTTGCTGTATCTTTATAGTTTTGTATAGTGCATTGGGTCTTTATCTTGGCACTTGGGCAATCTCCAAACAGGGCAAAACCCCTGACATAAGATTTGAACGACATTTAGCAGATATAACAAAAAACACAAGGGAATATATATTATGGTATAACACACTTTATATGTGTAAATTGTGTTGAAATGTTATGTACTTTGTTATTAAAGAAGTGTTATACATTATATTCCCTTGTGTTTTTTGTTATAGGGCAAAATTCTGTCAGTGATTTGTAATGCATGAAGTTATTTTTTGTAACCCTAGAAAGGGGCGAAATTCAATATGTAAATGTCCAACCCCAGTATACCCTGTGCTTCGTATCGTAATTGTCTTAAGTGTATTTTACAGTTATAGTCAATTTCGTAATGTCTTGAGGAAATTCAGGTACGTATTATAGTCCACATGATGTCATGATGTAGCTATGTTGTCAGTATGGTAGTTGTTTTGTTTCTACTAATTTTTATCCCATTTTAAAGTGTAGATGATGTTTTTAATAACTGAAAGAATTTCAAAATTTCTCTCTTATAATCTTATAAATGTTAATAAAATTTACTGTAATAAGCATTGTGACAAGCTTACTCTTCTAGGTTCCTTATTCTTTAAAACTTAAGATGATTTTAGTGTTCCATTCGCCTGATTGGTCAATCACTAAAATTGATTTTGAATTTATTTTTATTGTCCAATCAGATTACTGTATTTCTTTAAATCAGGATTTTATTTGAAGAAAAAAAAAACTTAATAGCAGTCTCAGACTTGGTTCTTAACTCTTTCAGCTGATAAAACATTAACTACATTTCATTCCTATCATGAAAACCATACAAAATTAATTCTTAATTCCTCTCTTCCTTTTATTGTTCCCTGATTTAAAGATCCAGGGTTCTCTTCTACCATTTAACCAAATAGTAACTTCAGAGTTACAACCTAGTTTCTCCCAATCAGGCTTTCGTATCAAAGAAAAAGCATCTAATGGTTCAAATTTAACCAAAAAATGGCGCCAGGTCAGATTTCATTAATATTCCAAGAGAAATTTCCCTTATTATGCTCTGTATTTTGTTGCCAGTCTTGTGTGACCCAATCACGAGCCAAAAATCGAAAAGTAGAATGTTACATTCATCACATTTCATTGGGTTTTGTTTTGAGTGCAGTGCTTTTCTCCATTCTCCATTATCACCGCACTTCAATCAGTTAAATTTTATAAGAATCTGAAACAAGATAATTAATCTATATTTTCACAATACACAGATTTTCTAGATTTTCTCATAGATTTTAGAATTTTGTAAATTTTGAGTTTGAATTAAGACATTATTGAGTAGATAAATAGTTTGATAACATTGTAGATTTGTTAAGAATATATAGTTAGAAAAAAGTTATTTATATTAAAGATTAGCCTATATTTACTTACAACAAATAAAGACTTTTTTTACATCTTCATATTTCCTTTCTTAAAATTTTTAGATATCCATGTATATATGAATAACTGATTATTAAAAATTGATTTATATCAAGAAAAGGAAGAAAGCCTTTTACCAGATCTTGGCCAGTGCTTCTATACAAGAGTATCTTCTAAAACATCCACACCAGACACACCTCCCCCATCCTTCCGAGAGCTGATAAGAAATATATATTATGTATATATAGTATCATAAGGCTAAATGATTTTATAATATGTGGTGGTTTGTGTTGATTATTTCATAAACTTTAACCCCAGACCAGTTAATTCCATAAGGTTTTGGCATATTGATATTAAAAGTCTGGTGTTTAAAATAAGTTAAACCTAGTAAACTGGTCGTATAACTCTTTGAAAAAGTGGGACATGGTACCAATTTACAGCTGGTTTAAATGAAATATTGAGGAAAGATGTCTTATTCAAGGTCACAAGACTCTCACACGTGGACCAAAATTTGAATCCTAGACCACCATTTTTGCCACTCAATGCACATTATTTTTAATGCTAGAATTCTTTACTTCTTACCTTCCAATCAGAGTTCCAAAAAAATATATTCTGAATTCTGCTGTTTAAGAATCAAGTTTCTCTGTATTGTATCACCTTCTGCACTCTAGAAACTTCTAGACACTCTGTTAGTGATAATTTTATATTTTTCAAGTTTTTGTGTACATGTATTTATGGAATTAAGAATTAATCTTGTATGGCATATAAAGTCAAGTATCACATTTCTCCAAAAATCTTTAATTTTCTTACTTTTTTTTCAGTTTAATAGAATTTGACAGTGGAACTGAGACTGATGGGTTTTTAGGAAGTCGTTCATTCAGCGTGGATTCTTTGATGGACACTGAGAGTATGGAATCTATAACGGACCCTAGTGGTTGTTACCATGCCCAGCAGAACCAGATATTTATTGGAATGATAACCTTACAGTATCAGGCTAGACAGGTAGAATGAGAATTTGATTTAAATACAGATTCCAGGTCGCAGGGCCACAAATCTTTTTTCATGCTTCGCTGAGTTTTTTTTCAAATTTGAAGGCAGCTAGTACCGATGCATAACTGATTGTATCAAAGATAAAATATATCAATCTATTCTTCAAGGCATTCTTCTACTCTGGCATTATTTGATTAATCTTCATATTTTACTTTTCAATAGGAATTGGAGTAAAAACTGAGCATGAGCATATGAAATGTTTTGTGGTCCTCAGGCCAATATCATTGTTTTGTGGCCCCCCATAATTTCCTTAAAAGTAAGAGACTTGAGACTGTCTGTAATTTAGGCACACTTAAACAGAAAACTTTTCAAACTAAAGATATAAGTTTTTGACTATTGTATAGTTAGAATCATGGTTTACACAAATAACTACAGCACTGAGAGTTATCAGCCCAAATTCTTTTTGGTGCAGAAAAGTAGGACATAAAACTCCATTCATTTCATTTCATTTCCCAAATTCTTTTGGTTATTCAGAGTTTCTACTACTCTGTAATCAATTCAATATGCTATATTTTGATAGAGAACAACTCTGTTATTATTGTATTTTCTATTTCAGGATTTCGTTCAGTTAATAGACAAGTTAGAATCAGCCTGTATTAGATTTGTTCATTTCTCTAAAGAGAATGAGTTGAGAAGTCGAGTAAGTGATATATTTTACTCCATGATATTTGAAGCTCATACTGACAATGAAATGTATGGAGGCTACTATACTACTGCAGTCAACCTGTTGAAATTTCCCTGATTGGGCACATGGCTCTGCTCCCCTTCTTTAGCCCAATCAGTTATTTAGGTTCTAAGTGTATTCTAATTATGAATTATATTATGATTCGCATTATCTCTATCAGGAGCCAAGTTATAAGTGATATTTATTGCACAATAGTTATACCACAGCTAAGCTCCACCCACTCGTTTATACAATGAAAAGACCAAAGCAAATTATTGATATCCAGTTGTAAATGAAACTCTAATTGTAGGTATTTTCTGAGAAGATGGGGCTAGAAGCAGGTTGGAATTGTCATATATCATTATTATCTAAAACCTATGAGGAAGAAGATTGGAACATGTCTGGAATTGGATCTGAAGGACATCTTGAGAAGCCATCATGCCGAACGAGTCAAATTTCTGTGGATTTTCACACAAAGACACCAAATGGTTTAGAAATAAGTACTGCCAATAATACCAAGAGTTTTTCTGCTCCTAGTTTGATTAATTTGGAGTCTCCACAAGTAAAATTTGTGGATCACACGTCAGACATTTTGAGTAATGCAAGTAGGTCAGATATGGAAAGTGAAGCAGACGTACTAATGAAAGATGGCGCTAGTGAAGGAGGATGGGAAACCAGCGAAGATGAAGAGGGGAATGAATATCAGTCTGATTCGAGATATACATCGAGTTACGTCACAGAAAATACTGACGACAGTCTGGGAGCATTGGACAATCGGGTTGGTTTGTTGCTTATGGTTACAAAAAGATGACGCACCATTTTGAAAAAAAATTCCATTTAAGAGACATTACTAATTAGATAAGCTATAAATTGAATATATCAACCTTGAGTATGTAAAGTTCTCAAAATATAAAGAAAAAATGGCCATTTTATTTTTAAGCTAATCTTCTTAAGCAAATATTCAAAAATATTCATTTAATTCCATTGCCAGATTAGTAGATATTACGTTCTATTTCTTTTCTATTTCTTTTCTATTTCTTTTCATTCCCAAACAATTTTTTGATGATTTAAACTAATTTTTTTCTTCAGGCAAAATTACCACGAGGAATTGAGAATATTCGACCACATATACAGAATGTAGATAATGTACCTCTACTAGTTAATTTATTTACTGATTGTACAGTAGAAAGTAAGTATTTGCAGTTATTGGCTTCTGTATAAGTCATTGTTAGTCATTCAATGATATGATATTTTGCCACATTCATTATTCTATAAGAGACAGTCTAAATCTATACCTGAAAGATAATCTTTTCAGTGTTCATTAATGTGAAGTTTTGTCTTTTTATATTTTTGATATTTGTTGTTACTCCGAGTTTCACGGTGTGTTATCCTCAGGCAACTGGCTTTTTCAGCCTGTTCCCTAGATACACAGACTAAAGAAGCACACAACATTTTAATTTTCTATATCACTTCATGATTCATGCTTTTAGAAGTATTTTAACAGTGAAATTACTAGATATTATTGTATTATAGTTATATTTATATATATTTCAGCTACTAAAGAAATGATCACTATAATGCAGGAACATGGTGAAGTAGTACTATGTGTTGGTAGTGCTTTAAGTATTCATAATACTCCTTTATTTCTACAGGCTGATTGCTGGTACGTCTATCTTCCTTAACCATATTCTTGTACACTTCTGTTCTGTCAATTCAAAAGGTTCAGCAAGCATAGTTGTCAATTTTGTCAAAAGGTCTGTAGGGGCTCAGTCAGTCATATTGTTCTTCTTTCATCACAGGAAAGTTTGTACGAAACTATGAACCCAAGTTTCCAGAGGCTCTGTCTTGCAATAATCTTTAGATGATGAGATTATCTTAAAGGTAACGTATTTCTGAAAAAAGTCACATTTGAAATAATGAATCTATGACTAATCAATAGAAATGTGCCAATGGTCATAATTTGTATTTTTAATTTCAGTTTAGCAGTGGAGCCATTACATCCTGTATCGTGTACCCAGCATCCTAGTAACTACGTATGGGCAGATGATGAACCCACCCCCACTCAGATAGCTTGTGATTTAATTAGTATACCCTGCCCCCTAGCGTTTAGATGTAATGATAATTTCAGCTTGATTCATCTTATAGCAGAGGTGGGTCAAAAAATCAATGAAACATTCATTTAGATTAAATCGTATGAAATTAAATATTGAGAACTGTTTCAGAAGCCAAAAGTTTCCTGACTTTGTTTGGAGACTGTTAATGAAAATGGTTAATGAACTTTGAGAATTTTTATATTAAAACAGCTTGAGACAAGCCTTTGTCAATTTGCTTTCTGTCTTCAGAGGCATGTAGTAGTCTGATAAGAAGGGAAGTAACTCTAGTTAAAAAAGACTAATTCAGACCACAAGTACTCACCTCTTGTGATAGATAATGATTTATGAAGTTATTAGAGTGTAGAAAGAAATAGAGTTGTATTCTATTTTATACTATAATGTGAACAATGAAGTAAAGCAAAACACACAAAGTTCTAAAATGGTTCGCATATTTTTTTGTTAAACATTTTTGTAACTTTATTTATTTCAGGCTCGTCACCATATATTCAGTATGAGGAACTGTTTTTATCTGATGTTATGTTATCATCTATCTTTATCATTAAGTCAAGTTCTCGCTAGTTGTCTTCTCTTGCCACCAATCTTATCTTCTCGTCATTTATTATGGTTACTATTAATAGTAACACCATTACTGGGGTTCACCATGATGGGGAATCCTGTAGATCCTAGAATAATGAATTTAGCAACAAGAAAAAATATAGATCATATTAATTTAAATGTAAGTTGTATTTTCAATCACATATTTAATATTTAATATTCGTAATGATTCATTCTAAAATATTATTTATCTGTTAAGGTTCAAAATATTGTTTATTGTGCCTTAAGATGAGGTTCATTGAAAACATAGACACAATTTTAAAAGTCTACATGTGAACAGAATTTGTCTATCTATATTTTACAACTCTGCCTATGATTTACAAGGATTACAAATCAGTCTGAGGACCCTGTCTATCTTGCTGGATCATGTCCACACCTCAAATGATCTTTCCCAGATTATTAATACCCATTTACAGCTGGTATAACTGGTATGAGAATTTACCCACTGGTGAGAGACTTTCACCAATGAAACCAAGATTCGATCCCCTTACCTTGATTTTCAGACATCTCAAGACTTGTAAACAGTTAACAGTATTTATAATATCATGTTATTATTCATCTATTATAGGTCGTATTACAGTTTTTACTGCAGTTTGCGTTAAGGTTTATACCCTCTATGGTTGTTAGTTTACTGTGTTTTATTTTAACTCTGTATTCTTACTGTGAAAACGTCTTACATATTCCCTTCAGTATTTATCAGTTTCATAGGTAAGTGAACAAGTTTGTATATTATATGTATTGTAAAGAAGTTTTCTAAAAATTTTATGTGTACTGGGGACACTGAAAGCATCAATGTGCACCATTCAAATTTTCAGTTTGAGATCTGTGGTGCTTGCAATTTCATTAATACTAAGTGTTTTAAGATGTCACTATCGCAAAACCTGCCCATATTATACAAGGGTCTAATGTTATTCTGTTGTCTTTGAGTAATATGCTCTGGAATCTTCAGTCCAAAATGTTTTTTTTTTATTTGGGTTGAATTTAACAAGCACTGTGCTAGAGTGGCTAGCAATACAAAGTATGTTCACTTTCCCAGAACACCTGATGCCACTCTGTCTGGGGTTTGTCAACTCAGCATCACTTTTGAAGACTCCATATGGCTTAAGATGTTTATTTGATATAATATTAAATTAAATACTAAAAGCTTGTTATATGAACTAAAGGCTTGACATACACTGATATTGATCTCTTTTGATATATTTTCAGTACTGTAGGTAATGATACAGTGAATAGTTGGTATGAAAAATATTCTGGAGGTCTAGTCCTTGCTCAAAATATCATGTTCTTTCTACAAGTTCTTTATTTTAGTAAGTATATGTTGGCTCATAGCCTAAAGTTCAAGGATTATACCAGCATAGGTTGAGATAATGGGATTTTCCCGTCAATATCAGAAAAAATATGGATCACATGGGACAATAAATCGAGGCAGAGTGTACCATAAAGATCCCTTGACAGTTGGAAATAAAAAAAATCAGGCTAATGCAGCTGTCCTTGCAAAATATCCTTCACCCAAATCATAAATCTAAAACCACAAGACCTTCAGTTACAAAAATGCTTTGTCATGATATTTTGTAGTTTGTATATCAGCCTCATTTGTCCATTGGACTGACCATATATGGAAGAAGCCACCATTTACCAACAGACTGTGGATTATAATTACTCCTATTGTGTAAGTTATTTAATTTTCTGTTGCAGTCTGTGAATGCTGGAGATCCCTCCGAGGTTAGAAATAGGCTAGAATAGTTGGTTAATGCAGCTTGCCTGACATTTCGTACAACAGTTGTTTCCCTTGTTACGTACAACCTTTATTGTTTTTCATAAAAGAAAATCTCTTCTCTCTCTGCAGGTTGATATTACAGATAATATACAGCGTTAGTGATGTTACTATACATAATAATCATGTGACCTATACACTACCACTATCAGACGTACATCCGTCAGTCTGGGCAATCAGTATTACCTGGATACTGGTTATTCTAGCTATCAACGAGTTGGTCAAACGACGCGAAGTAAAGTAAGTTATCTCCCTTTTATTTAGTCTGTTTCATTTGAGCACTCATTCAAAGCAACACTACTTGTAGTTATCAAGTTCAGCAAGTTTTATGAGGAAGCCGTTGTTGCTCAGTCAGTAAGACTTGCTCGCTAATCTCAAGGTCCAGGGTTCAATCCCTGCATAGGTCAAGATGCAGGTTTGAATTCAACTTTGTAACATTAATAATTTGCCCAATGCATCCACATGTAAGTTACATGTGATAAAGGGGGCAGTAGAATTTTAGACAATGCTCATCAACAGTGGCGTTTCATTGCCTCTCCAGAAAAGAGCCTGATTTGAATTTCTTCTATTTCCCTCTGGCCCCAAACCACCCACCTCTTTAAAATTTCTTATTCTTATACATAGGGAAAGTATTTCCTGTTTGCCCCCTTGACCCTTCTGTGGCCCCTTCTCACCCCCTCATTTAATGATCCATAGAAAGTCAGTGGTCATCATATGTAATACTATAGTATTTTTCTTTATTTCAGATTAGCTGTGCGGTACCAGAAACGAGCAAGATTAGATTTTGATACCAAATTAGGAATGAATTCTCCATTTTAATGCAAACCAAAGATTAGATGAAATATTTTAAACTGTCCAGTTGTTGTTGTTGTTTTGATATTTATTGTTTCAATTTTAAGGGATACTATGACATGATTGACAGAGCAGCTCAAATTGGCAAAGATTCAATCAACAGTCCTGGATATAACCCTATAAGCATCTGGAATACCAAAAGACAAAAGAGTTTAAATATCTATGAGCTAGGCCATGTCCCTGAATTCGACACAAATGACGGTGATACTTCATGCATAATTCTGATATATTTTATAATTGCCTTTGAGATTATCTTTCTGATGTCCTAGTCCTAGAACTTGATAACTTTCAGATAATCATGAGATATGAGACCAAGAATATTTAGTTGTAGTTGATTTTACAGACGGCACCTCCCTTAAATGACCAATCAAATTTCAATTTGTATTTTTGTAAGTTGTGATGTTAGCAACTTGTTGTTTGTAGCTATTGTATCCATGTTTAAAACTGTATTTAATATGAGCTCTGATACAATGATAACTGTTGTCGGTGTTGCCAGGCCTGTAGCCAATCTTGATTGTTTGGAGGGGCGAATAATATATCTGAAGGGACAATGGTGTATTGTGTTGAGTTGAATGTGTGTCCCCCTTCCTGTAGCTACTGGCCTGGGTGTCGCTAGAAATACAGAGATTGCTCTGCCTTCCAGGACACCTGATACCACTATGTTTCATTATTCATCAACTCAGCATTAAACCCATAGCTACAGGGGGGAAAGGGAATTGGGGAGGGGGCAGTGCCCCCCAGAAAAATGGATTGCCCCCATTTCTGTGTTTGGAACTGATAATGATGTATATGAGAATTTACTTAAAATATAGCATTCCTATATGATTAAAGAAAGTTTATGTGATATTTTGGTAGATTTTAGTTTGTTTGTCATCATTCTATTTTATATGTTTGTCAATAATGCTCTACAATTTATTTTTATTGTCAGTTTTAGTTATCATTCCATATTTATTCAGATAGATTATGGATGTATATTTGTTTGTGGGTAATTATTTGCTATTCTAATATTTCAGCTTTCTAAAATTCAGGTTTATTGTGACTTATTAAAGAAGTTTCATAGATTTTTTATGTGTATCTGTACCATTTATCTCTTCTATATAATCAGATATCTGTGGTTTCCTTTAATTATTGGAATTGCCTAACTGTTTATGATGCCACTGTCCCACATGCTTCTTATATCTAAGGGCCATATAGCTAAATCATAAAAATGTAGTGAAATTGCAATACCCACAGATGTCTGACTGAAAATACTCTTAGCCCACATGGTGCAGAAAAGTAGGACGTAAAACTTCATTCATTTCATTTCTGACTGAAATAATGTAAATCCATGCATCAGTGTCTGCAATATACTTCAAAGTTTTAAAGAACCCTATTTTACAACCCCTGTAACTTATTTTAAATTTAGTTATCATGTCCCTTTGTCAGTTCATTATTATTTGATCAAAATAAAATATTTTTTATGTTAAGAATGAATTTATTGTATGAGTGTTATATTTTGTCTGTATTTTTTTTCAATAAATAGATATTTTTATTACAAACTGGATTTCGTGGTATTTCTGAGCAAAACTTATCAGACGATTTTATTGGTTATTCTCCCTGACTCCCCTTGGATTGGAAAAAAGAGTTTGCGGTGAACTCTCTCAATCTCTTGCAGCCGCCATTGGTTCAAACCATTGTGACAATTGTCATTTTGGATGGTTCGAGATATCTTACTACACAATGACAAAGGCATCTTCTAAATTCCAAAATATGACAGCAATGTATGCCAAATCAATAGAGGAACAAACAGGATGTAAGGAAGTATGTGATGTATTTTGGCAGGTATAGTTGTAGGTATTGAGTGAGATATTGGTCGATATAGCGGTCAATATTGACCCCTTGTGTTCCAACCCAGAGTATATTATCATATTATATTGGACACACCTCTAGATATTAAACATCTACATAAATATTCCCAGAGGTTTCTCTTGGTTTTTAAACCTTTTTTTTTCATTCTGGTAGTCAAAATTCCAATCAGATTAGGACGTAACGATCTCCGGATTGTAGCTTGTGCGCTTGTAGATTCTCGAGCTTTCTTGCTTCTTTCCTGATTTACCTGTACAGTCTAACTTGGTCTAACGGTCACCTTATTCAGCACCACCCTTTAATGAACGGCCACCAAAAATACACCCCGTGTAATTTTCAACCAAATTTACCTCTATTCAACACCACCCTCTTGACGCGGCCAGCGGTCACATGTCACCCTGCAATCAGCGGTCATTTGTCGACAATCCTTGTTAATCCCATAAACTAAAATCAATGTATGTCTTATGAGATGAAAGTTTAAAAGGGGAGTATGCACCGGCCTCAAAATAAGAATTGTGTTGAAATTATTTCTCTTTTTGTGAACAGATTAATCGATTCTGTTATGATGTTAATTTTGGTTTTCAAAAAAGTGATTTGAATAATAATGATCTTCATTCCTCCACCAAACCTGCAGTTATAACTCGGCTGTAAGACTATGATTAATATTTTAAAATATGCAATGTTAATCGATGTAACTTTAATTTAATATACAAGGATTATTCATTGCTCTAAATGTTAAACGCCCTATACACCTATATATATTATACCTCTTTTACTATTAGATAGATATATACCTGATGAAATAAAGAAGGTTGTATATAATTAATAAACTTGTAATCTTGTCACGATGTCAACACAAGCACCAATAAACCCCCCGTATTACCCTCTTAGTCATGTATCTTTATGGTCATTCTAGTGGATAATGATATTATGTGATCTAGAATTCTTATTACTTCATCACAATTTAAAGGGATTGTTGCACCATTTTTTGGGGGGGGGGGGGGGGGGGGGTGATGTTGATTTTAGTATATGTAAATAGTCTTCAGAAGTAGTAGAAATGTATGAAAAAACATTATTACTGATTGGCTTAGCAAAACAAATTCCCGTTTCTGGGGCTAATGTATGATTTTTCAAAAAAAATGATGCATTTGTCCCTTAAAAGATGAGATAATATATGCAAATCTTTTAATTTTCTCTTGCCCTTCACTTAGACCACCGAGCAATATACTTCGTTTGGAAATATTTCTTTCCGTTTTTGCACACCCGACTTATGTATCTTTTAGGACTTTAGTAGCCTACCATTTAAGACTTATGTGTTGGTTGGGACTTATGTATTAGCACTCACGATTTGTATTGTATTGAATAACTTATGTATCTGTAAGGACTCGTGTATCATCTAGGACTTATGTATTAATAAGATGGTGTATCAGTTCAGGCTACTGTATTTATTAGGACTTATGTATCGGTTACATTATGTATCCATTATCTATGTATCCGTTACGACTTGTGTATATGCTGGGATTTCGGAGTTATACGTAGGTTATGTTTATGCAACGGTTAGGGTTTATGCCTTCGAGATAAAATTATCCTCAAGCCTCTATACTTCATAATCACATAGTAAGGCGCTATCTTTAACAGACCAATAAATGAAGTTATATACCACAATAAACACGTGAATAAAATAGCTAATTTTATATCAACTTTCTCACCTTTTACCTATTATCTATTAGGCTTATATTACCATACCTAGGTCAGGGGCGGAGGGTGTTCTGCAGGTTCTGGGGTGTGTTGCACCCACGAAGGTCTGTTTTCCACTTCTGGCATTTTGATATATATTTCGAGACATTTCAAGTTTTTAAAGTTGTGGTTGGATTATGACTATATCTGGCAAGATCAGAGATCAGAGATCAAAATTTAGAGTTTTGTCTTTCGATGAGACATTCTAGTCCAACAAGGTCCGACTTTTGATGACTAGCAGTCATAATCATCTGTCGGAAAAGGACTTGAAATATCACTGGACAAAAAGATGCCAGAAATGATTCACGCACCTGTTACTAGACACAATGATCTATTTGATATCGATTGGGAGATAGGCGGCCTTTAAACACCAAAACAAATATTTCTTTAGTAATATAAACTGATAAGAGGAATACAGTCTTGTTTCTTTCCCTTATCATAGTCCTTACAAGATGGCGGCTTGGCCAGATAGTTTTTTATGAATAATTTTAAGGATTATAAAGACCCTAAACTGGATTATCTTATTATATATTAATGTTTGAATCTTGGATTTTGGATTAATCTAACAGTGAATAACTACTTCAAGTTGAATTCGTTTGGTCGAACCAAAATTTCAGGTAGGCCTAGGCTAAGAGCTCGCAAGATTTGAATCACAACGAAACAATTTCAGGTCGACTGTAGAGCGTTTCGGTTCGAAACCCTATGAGTTATCGTGACTCGAAATAAACTTACTTCCTGGTGTCTTTCTCAAGAAAGAGTCTGAAGAGACAAGGGTATTTTATGATCTAACGTCTGGCCGGGTACTTTCAGAACAAACGTGTCTTTAGTGTCATATCCTGGTTAATCCTTCAACTCACTCATTAAAATACAGGTTGATATAAGAGGGGGTTAACATGTTAGGACCAATACCGGACTGGCTTTGTTTTTATAGTTTGTAGAACCATGATGGTCAAGTGTACCATCTAACGGTCAGAGTTGAAAAGTGAGTCTTTCATTTCCAAAATTGAGAGAGACATGCCAGTGAAAATGGCAAAAATTACCTGTAAGAACCAGGCCGATAGCCAGACATGATTGTAATGAAATCGGTCGGTTGTCAAAATTTTTTGGAAGATTCTGATTTCAAGTGTCCTGTGGTACAAAGTCGCTCAGCCATAAGCATCATCAAATTTGACTTTCATACGTTATTTGAATATTGTAGAAAACGTTCTGTATCGTTAACTGTTATGATATGAAGGGTGTGTTGCTTAATTAATAATAATGTCAACTTGAATTTTCTAAACATTGATATCATATCTAAGATCCTAGTCCCTTGTCTTCCTGATATATAATATTCATGTTGTAATACTAACTGCTCGCGGTTCAAAGTATTTTATATGTGTATATCTATATATATTCCATTTTCCATCTGTGTTTCCTAACATTCAAGGACCATTTGACCAGATTGGACCTCACTTGCTCTGATATGACTTTCTGTAGATTTGGGTTGAATGGTATAGTGATAGTTCTGGTTCTAATCGAATCAGGAATGACATGATCATTGATAACAGTGACAATCTAAGCAAGGGTATAGGCTGATTAAGAACCGCAACTAAAAATCGAAACTTAATGATCAGGAGAGTTAAAAGTACTTCCTGCAGACTACAACCCTTCTGCCACAGCGGTTTACCCTCCGTTTTCAATTCAAAATATAATTCAATCTAATCTAAATTCACTGAAGCATACCGTATCAATAGGAATCATTCTATCGATACTGGATATGCTTGCTCTTATGATGGAGACTTATTTCAGGAAGTTTGTGCCACCCACACAGAGTTGCCAAAAAGATTTACCCTCCGTTTTAGATTAAAAAAATTATTCAATTTTATGTTACTTTATATAATCTGATATGGTTGTCTTTTAGAATGTTTTTTTTATGATTTGTTTAAGGCAGGTCATAGAGCAATAGTCAAGTTATTTTATTATCTATAAGATAACACTTCGATATATTTATTTCAAGAAGTATATCTCAAAACAGATTATATTTATGTTGAAACGTTTGCACACGGGGATTTAAATCACCAGTATGTCTGTCAGGTAACCATTGAAAGACAGTATATAGCATTATGGTAGTATCTTTGGGTTTCGTTATCACACAACATGACATGTTTTGATTGGTTAAAAATAAATTCATTCGAACGGAACTGTGATGGTAAACTTGTAAGATTATAATGGGGACAAACATAAAAGCATAAAAGAAGAAATGCAATTGTAATTTTATTAGATTGGTGGAACCTATATAGAAAACAGAAAACGTTGTGACATATAACTAAACATTAGTTTTGACCAATTGTGTCTTATTGCTGTCGTGTCGGTATGGGGGTATGGGACTTGGTGTCGGGTTGTGGCCAACTGTTGCCCAATTAACAATGTTTTGAAAGTCCATTGTTTTTGGGGTGCTTATCTTTTTTGGGGTTTTATGGTAAAATAATTACGTGAGGCCTGAATATGTATTTTTTAAGATAGTGGCTATCGAATTGCCTTCGTTAGATTTCGTTTTTTCAATGTGGCCTCTTTAATAATCATTAGTTGTGGGAAGATTTGTCTCGGTCAGGATCCTCAGAATTGTCAAGAGAAATGTCAACGGGGGCTCACAGCACCCAACATTTGAAAAATTTAAAAAAAAGTTTTTCAAAGTCGAGCCCTTCGCCCATCTCCAAAGAAATGCAGATAATCTTGTGGTATGTGGTGTGTTTGTATATTATTTACTCGTCCATCTTTTTTCCCTACTGCAGGAACATATATAGCCACATTAACAGCAAGAGATAGAGACCCTGGTGAGGTACTGACAGTAACGCCAGTAGAGAATACAGATACGCTGGTATCGTTGTCAACACCCATTGGTCAGCCGGATACAGGTGTACTCTATAACATAACAATTGCTTCGGAATTAGATCAAGACTATGTTAGTATCTGGTTGTAATTTTTGTTTTCTCTAACTACTGTCATAATCACGATAGAGTAGAACTGCACTAATATGATATAATTATTTTTCGAGTTAATTGATCAATCATTTACCAATCTTATATCATGAGAACAAGGAACAAAGTAAGAAAGATTTTTGGCTGGGTAGGTTTTATTGCCACTATGCTTGTGAAAAGTATAACCAGAAATATTTCACTACTTTTAATCGGCTTGTTGGCAGGACTGACTAATTTCACATATTTCCAGCTCTTTTAAACATTTGAATAATATTTTCATTTGTCTGTCAGTGCCTTTTTTTGCTTTTTGCGACACAATACTATATCCAGTGGCGTTTCTAACGAGGGGGGGGGGGGAGCAATTGCTTTCCAAACCACCCCCCCCCCCCCACCACATACATTTACGTAGTGAAAGAATTGCCATTGGCCATTGGAAAATTTTGTGGCCCCGGCTCGGCCTTCTCACCTAATGTTTCCTAAAAACGCCACTTGCTATGTCTTTCGAAAGAATTGTTTTATTATCTTATAACCCTTGGGAATATGATATGTCATTTCAGGAACCCTCAGTCAGAATACTGTATTTTGAAGTGGAAGATAAAAGCGGAAATAGGGTAAGGGCAATGTGGAAATACCAGACTGAAGAATTACATTCAATTACAATAAACAGTTATACATAAATGGGAATATTCCGATATTATCCTGATAGAAGCTCGAATATTACGTCACATTCCTGATATTATTTCACATTCCTGATATTACGTCACATTCCTGATATCACGTCACATTCCTGATAGACGAGTATTACGTCATGTCAACCAAAAACAGGCTACCGACTACATGTAGTTATTATTCAGTGCGGATACGTCACCCAGAAAAAGTTTGTAATAGACACTGAAAGTCCCCCCCCCCCCCCAATAAGCGAATCCCCCCACCCCCAATTTGTACCCCATTCGCGAAATGTATTGTACACAGTTAGCCTACTGATGTCTTTTATCTTTTGCAGGGAACGTTAAGGGCTGATTTGATTATTAAAGATGTCAACGATGAATCGCCGCGTTTCACCAATTTACCATACAGGTTTGAAGTTTATGAGGTGAGCAGGTATATCTTGTGACAGAATCTGGTTGATTTTGACCTAGTAGTGGTGGATGCCGCGCTCGAAGCAGTGCATACTTACTCTTTTCGAAACACCTGATGATACTTTTTTTCATGCTTTGGACGTCGATTTTTGGTTAACGCAGGGATATTCATCTTTTTTCTTTCTATTACCCCTTTCAGGATTCTTGATCGATTGCGTTACACCCATTCCCCCTAAAATCGAGATTTTCTTTTTTTCATGTTGGAGAATACAGTCTTACTGATAAGAACAACTTTTATGCTAGATTTCAAAGCGCCTCATTACACCCTCCCCCAAATTTCAACATTACCCCCTTATTACCCCCAGGTTAAAAAATTGCTTTGTTTTTACAGACTTTCATATCATCTCAGACCATTGTCTTTGAAATCACAGACCTTTATGAAAAAAAAGAGATGCCGTTTTTCCCCTATGTATTTTACCTGGCAAGTTGATAATGCTTGATATTTCAGAATGAAACCATAGGGTCATCACTATTTACTGTTACAACAACTGACCCTGATGACGGACTGGGTGGAACTGCTACCTATTGGCTGAATGTAGGTCAACTTAAAGTCTCCTTATTATGTCCTCGTCCAGTGCTTTATATAGGAGTTTCTATGAACTTCCTCACTCTTTAACTCTGATACATAGCAGTGGCTCAACTACCATAGGGACTGGTTGAACCAAGTCTACAAACCCCCACCCCTCGAAAAAAAACTGAAGGAGAGCATTATGTTTTCTCGGGGGAAGGACCCCAACCTACTTATCTAGTTGAACAGGGACTCTTTCAAAATAGCTTTGTTTGAGATGGTGAATTTGAACCGTACTCATATAATATTCACCTGTTCCGTGCGTGTGTTATATTTACACAACCAACCGCATGTAGAAGCATTGTGATTGGACAGTTGGAAAAGTATGTGACGGCAAGAATATTTATGACCTCAATCCCTAAGACGAGTTTCACCTGCTTAAATGAAACACGGAAGAATTATGTAACACTTTCGAACCTGTTGGAAGAGTCACACAACAGTCTGAGACAGTATTTTTTACTGGGGTTTCCGTACCAGATTGTTCTTGTCGTTGAAATTACTGTCAGTTGATCACAACGTATCAACGGTATTTTGTTGTGGTCAACTTAACACCTCTATCACAGCTCATTCAGTTTATCCGGTAATTTAATTGATTTATATTTCAGGACTCGTCACATCTTGGAAATCCATTTAATCTCTCAGGAAATTCCATAATCTTAACATCACCATTAAACTATTCTATTAATACATTTTTTCAACTCAAGGTTAATGCAAGGGTATGTTTTTCTTTTCTCTCTTAGATATTTGGTTACATGTTGTTTCTCTTCTATAGTGTAACGTTAGCTTTAGCATTTGACCTCTGATATCTTCTAAATATTTCAAGGGATTGTATGATTTTTTATGTGTATCGGGGACACTAATCAATTTCCACCATGCTAATTTTCAATCAGGCGTCTGTGATTCCTGCAATTCCCTAAAAAATGACGTCACCAAACAATTATTTTTGTGTAATTGAAGGAACCACACACTTATGACAAATGACAGCATCAATTTGTACCATTCCAGTGTCCAGACACACATTTTTTTTAAAGAAAAAAACCTCTTTAGAATTGTGAACCATTTCTAGTAATGTGCTCTACTTTTACAGGATAACATGATCCCATTTAATAAAGCTGATCCAGTGGATCTAATCGTCAACGTTCTTGATGTCCAAAACATGCCACCGTACTTCCTCCACCAACCTTACACAGTATCCATTCTAGAAAACACAACTATAGTAGGTCTCAATGTTATATCATTCTAATTTTTCATAAAGCGGACTTCATAGAAAGCACGTCCGATATCAGCTGTGTCAATAGGTTGTAGACAGCAGGATAAACGCGGGGCATTTCCGTTAGTGAGGCATGGGATCACAGTACTGTCTGAAGTTCTGTCTGAAAGGAAAGTTTGTCTAATGATTTGGACGAAAATCACCCCACAAACCCCAATACCTCGACGACCGTCACCGTCTTTTTGCATCTATTTTTACGTGTCTTTGAAAACTCCTGTACCTGATATCACATGCTTCCTGTTTCAGGGAGAGAAAACAAAGCTCAAGGTTGTAGCTCTAGATGGAGATAGAGGAGTACCTAATGATATACAGTATTCATTTGTACAAGGTAGATAACTCTCTCATTTTAAACAGACCACAAGTATAATCTTCTTTGGTGAATTTATTAGGTTTTTTTGTAGTTTGTAGAATAGTTTATGTTGGTATGAAAATGGGTGTCGATAAAGGTAACCAGGCCAAAAATGTCTCTTATTCACGATTCCTGCATGACGTTTGATCAAATGATGCTGAAAAGTCGACATGAAACTTCACTTTATTTCTATCATGTATTATTCAGGAGAGGCACACAACTTCTCCATCAATAGTACAACAGGGGAGATAAGCGTGGCTGGTGGTCTTGATGCTGATGATGAAGCAGTGAAACAGAAGGGTGGAGTGTTTCGGATCACCGTCAATGTAAGTTTCGTGTTGGTTGAATATTCTTAAAATATAATCTAACTTCAGTAACTCATTGACACATTTTGACCACAGAAGACTGTCAGAGTTTGAAAAAGCTTAAACAATTCGCAGTCATACATGATGATCAATATCAAACATTGGTCAGCGGAATGCTTGATATTGGCAGATTACTGAAGTTTGATGCTTGATAACTGCATTGTACTTTATTAACTCACTTTAACAGTGTATTAGGACGAAAAACGGTAAACCCCCAATAAATGTTATTTGTGTTTCCTAATTCAGGCAAGTGAGGTCATTCCAAATGGTCAGATAAATTATGGACAAGCCTGGTCAACTACCGACCTGTCAATCACGTTGATTGACGTGAATGATAACGAACCAACGTTCACCCAACCTCTTTATACAGCTAGTATAGCCGAGAACTCTCCTAAGGGAGTCCCTCTTACCATGTCCAATGGTCAACTTATAGAAGTCTCTGATGCTGATCAGGTATGTTTAAAGAAATTTCCATGTGGTTTTCTAGACTTAGACTGTGAATTGGACCCATTTTATGCCTCTATTTCCGACATTCTATTGCGTGGTGCGTGGTTTCTGATAGCAGAGCCAGATTATGAGAAAAAGAAATAAACAACCCTTATTTTACAAGGTTCACTGAGGTACTTGGGCAAACTTCTTGCCTTTGATATTTTTCGGATCATCCGTAACCATTTACAGCTGGGTCGACTGGAACAATGAGGAAATTCAAGGTCGCCAAACTTTTTCACGCACACTGAAAAACTAAAAGATATTTTTTGTTACAAAGAACCTGACATATTTAAGACATTCTTCTATTTTAGACTTCAGACCACCACAGTTTTGAGTTGTTGATGTCTGAAGATAATATATATCCTGATGCTTTTGATACCATACCGGGAACAGGAACACCGATATACTCTAAGTCTACTGTTATTTTAAAAGTCAATAATACAGTTATACTGGATTATGAGACGAGGACTAATATCACTTTTAAGGTGAGAATATCACTGTTGGCATCATCACAAGATCAGACATTTTGGGCGTGATAGGCAATCACTTTTTAATACTAATAACACTAATCATTTGACCGATAAAAAGAGATTTTATGTGTAGGAGAGGTGGCCGGGTGGGACCGTATGTGGGTGTAGGAAGGCACAAACACCGTAGTATTTGCAAGCGTACAATCCAATCACATCGCTACATTCACAAATCTCCGTGAGACAACAGTCACAGGCGCAGTGCGTAAAATTAAGACTCAATTTGTCAACTTTGTTAGAAGTAGCAAACTATTTCTTTTCTTATTCCAGATACGAGCTAAAGAATTAAATTCCATTCATCAAACAGAAACAACTATAGTAGTACAGATTCTGGACGTGAACGACAATTCCCCAGTTTTCCCTGACAATCACACCACGCAGTTCTCTGTTCATGAAAACACGGAAAAAGGAACGTTTATTGGTTTAATGACGGCTACAGACAAAGAATCAGATGTCACCTATACCTTGGATGGCGAAGATGATAAATTTCAGATCGGCAAAGTTACGGTATGTGATAGAGGTGAATGGTATTATCAGGCCCACTCTCGAAAGCACTGGTCGTGGTATTATGGCTTTGAATTTTAGTCAATAGGCGGATAATTTCCAAGTAGATGATAGTTTGCTACCGACTTTTGTAACATGGCGTGTCTAAGACGAGTTCTCGTCTAATACCTTGACTGTAATAGTCATCACTCTTGTATCACGGTATGCATCGATTTGCAGCGGATTGTACGCCAGCGAATACAACCAATCAGAACCCTCTGTCTAGGAGATTGATTGGTTGTATTTGTTGACATACAATCCAAGCAAATTACTACATTAACAAACTTCCGTGATACAAGAAAGTTCGTAAGAGCTTGACATTGTGAAGATGCATTTTGATAAACATTACCACACACAATTACCGTATATTTGCGTAGCTGTATCCTCACGTGAAGTATGCGCAGGCGATAAAATAACCACCAACGCCCTTATCAAGTTTACGATTACATGAGTACATCATTATTTAACATTGATTGTAGGGAAATCTAACGGTGAATGGTTGTTTAGACAGAGAACTGAGAAGTTCGTATACTATATTTGTTGTGGCGACTGATATAGATTCCGACTCTAGTCAACAGAGATCGACCCGACAAAGGATTAACATTGATATACTAGACGTTAATGACAATACGCCTGAATTTATAGACATCCCTACTAGAAGACATATTCCAGAGGACACCAAGCCCGACACCGAACTCTTCAAAATTGGTGCTACTGATAAAGATAATGGAACCAACCAAGAAATCGAGTATTTCCTAACTTCAAACGGAAACATAACTGGATTGGACATACATATTGACAAGGGAACAGTGTTCGTTAATCAATCTCTAATCGGAATGGTTGGGTTGAGATATATAACGGTCATGGCAAGAGATAAGGGCCAACCTCCTCTTAACGACACAGTGCAGATTCTAATAATTATTGAGGATGTTAACCTTCATCGCCCTGTATTTTATAGGCCATCTCATTCTGAGTACAATGTTTCTGCTAACCTTATACCGGAAATCACCGTAGAAGAGGTAAGAAATACGCCCCGTTTCTCGTGGCGATTTTGTAAATATACTGCATTTGTAGTTATGATATTCGTCCAAATGTGTACAATACAGCATTCCAATACTGTACATTAGATTTGATTTTAAAGGGACAGGTGGCCATTTTCAGTGAATAGTCTTCAGAAATACTAGAAATGTACGAAAATCGCATAATTCTTTGAAAAATACCTCAAACTAAGAGTTACACTTATACCATATTATATCTTTTCTCTATGTGATAGATCAAGTTAAAAAGACGACTCGTCTATTTAACTTTCATACGCGGATAATTCTGGACACCCATGGATTTGAAGACTCAAATTTCGGTGGTAAGCTATAAACACTAGTACTGATTGGCTGAAAAAGTCCCGTTTCTGAGATTAAGGTACTATTGGTAAAAAAATGGCCCACGCGTCCCTTTAATATGTGATTACATATATAAACCCTACATGAAGAATAATGCACCAAGACTCTTCATCCCACAACCTTTTTCCGCTATGGGCCAGGTATTTGATTTGGTTAAAATCATTCCGTTTTTTGTAAAACATTTTCATTTTCAAAAACGTTGTAAATTATACATTAAATGGGTTGAATAAAAATCGTATTGTTAATTAAGGTGTTTGACCTAGTTTTGGTGTTTGAAATGGCACAATATTATTAGTTGAAACTTTCAGTATACGTAGGAAACATATTTTCCTACAATAAGGCGTTTACTAAAATTCGTACAGTAGTTTTCTAACAGCTTCCAAAAAGCATAACGAACTTAAAATACCTAAAGTAATGTTTTATATAGTTTTTGCTGGATTATTTTAGTTAAAACTTTCAGATACGCTAAGAGACACATTTCTCAAGATTTTGGTGTATAGTTTTCACAAATTAAAGACAAAAAAGAAAAAACATTGGAAAAAATGTCAACAAGATAACGCCTTACTAATTTACTTCTAGGAGCAAGTCATTGGATCTAACATATTAAATATTTACGCCAATGACTCTGATAGCGGTAATAATGGTGCCATAAGCTACAAACTGGTTCCTGATACTTCTGATGACTGGCAGAAGTTCTCAATCCACAGATCGTCTGGTGTGCTGACTAACGATGGTCGATTGGACAGAGAAAAACAGGAGGTTTATCAGGTATCTAAGGACTAGTATATATATATCTGTAATGAGCTCAATTTGAATAATCAAGACTAAAAATACCAAGACTTGACCCTGGTATAGCAGATTGATATAATCGTCGTATTGGCCAATGATCTCTTTCCCAGACTATGGACATAGTTCGTTTTCATATTGGTACTACAAATGACAACTCATTGTATTCGTCTCGATCACCCAGATTACAAATTCTGGTGGTTATTTCGGTTGCCCTGGTTTTTTAGCTTTAAAGTTAGTGACCAATGAAATCGTACGTTTCCAGACAACACAATCTCTAATGGGTTCGTTTGAAGTTGAATAATTGAAAGATGCCCGGGATAAAATCATCCAACGACGATAACATCTGTTATATCTTTGATAAGCTGAATCCATAACTTTTGATTATGATATTTCTGCATTTCATTCAATTTGTTACCCAAATGATACGATTACCCTTTCAGATCAGTATCACAGCAGTAGATGGGGGAATACCCTCTCTAGAGTCAACCATCACGTTAAAAATAGTACTAGAAGATATTGATGATAACCAGCCAGTGTTTGGTGAACATATCCAGCAACCGCATGGTATATCAGTACAGGAAGAACAGACGGATATCGTCGTGGGTAACCTCTCACTGGCCACTGATCTTGACAAGATACCAATTATCTGCTATTACATTCTAGGTAAATATAAATCTAAATATCATGGCGGGATTAAAAACCATGTTCCCCTATCAATAAATAGACGGGATTACAACCATGCTCCCCTATCAATAATAGACGGGATTAAAACCATGCTCCCCTATCAATAAATAGACAGGATTAAAACCATGCTCCCCTATCAAAACAATAGACAGGATTAAAACCATGCTATCCTATCAATAAATAGACGGGATTAAAACCATGCTCCCCTATCAATGAATAGACGGGATTAAAACCATGCTCGCCTATCAATAAATAGACAGGATTAAATCCATGCTCCCCTATCAAAAAATAGGCAGGATTAAAACCATGCTCCCCTATCAATAAATAGACGGGATTAAAACCATGCTCCCCTATCAATAAATAGACGGGATTAAAACCATGCTTCCCTGTCAATAAATAGACGGGATTAAAACCATACTCCCCTATCAAAAAATAGGCAGGATTAAAACCATGCTCCCCTATCAATAAGTAGACAGGATTAAAACCATGCTCCCCTATCAATGAATAGACGGGGTTAAAACCATGCTCCCCTATCAATAAATAGACGGGATTAAAACCATGCTTCCATATCAATAAATAGACGGGATTAAAAACCATGCTCCCCTATCAATAAATAGACGGGATTAAAAACCATGCTCCCCTATCAATCAATAGACGGGGTTAAAACCAGGCTCCCCTATCATTAAATAGACGGGATTAAAACCATGCTCCCCTATCAATAAATAGACGGGATTAAAATCATGCTCCCCTATCAATAAATTGACGGGATTAAAACTATGCTCCCCTATCAATAAATAGACAGGATTAAAACCATACTCCCCTATCAATAAATAGACGGGATTATAACTATGCTCGCCTATCAATAAATAGACGGGATTAAACCATGCTCCCCTATCATTTAATAAACAGGATTAAAACCATGCTCCCCTATCAATAAATAGACGGGATTAAAGCCATGCTCCCCTATCATAAAATAGACGGGATTAAACCATGCCCCCCTATCATTAAATAGACCAGATTAAAGCCATGCTCCCCTATTAATAAATAGACGGGATTAAAGCCATGCTTCCCTATCATTAAATATACGGGATAAAAGCCATGCTCCTCTATCAAAAATAGACACGATTAAAACCGTGCTCCCCTATCATTAAATAGATAGAAAAAAAAAACATGCTCCCCTATCAAAAAATTGACAAGATTAAAACCATGCTCCCCTATCAATAGATAGACGGGATTAAAACTATGCTACCCTATCAATAAATAGACGGGATTAAAACCATTCTCCCCTATCAATGAATAGATGGGATTAAAACCATGCTCCGCTATCATTAAATAGACGGGATTAAAACCATGCTCCCCTATCAAAAAATAGCTGGGATTAAAACCATTCTCCCCTATCAATAAATAGACGGGATTAAAACCATGCTCCCCTATCAATAAATAGACGGGATTAAAACCATGCTCCCTTATGAATAATTAGACGGAAATTAAAACCATTTGTATTTTGGATTCTGGCAGTGGTTGTAGTGATTCTGTTTATCTGATTATTTTGTACAATATTTTCTTTAAGGTGGAGAATTAATCGACCACTTTTTCTTGAATAAGACATCTGGAGTTCTCTCCCTTGTGAAAAAGTTAGACAGGGAAGTGACATCGGAAGTGAATCTGGTGATAGTTGCTAGAGGTGACTGTTCTTTGACGATTCAGCCATCAGTATCTAGCAAAGGAGATCTTGTTGATGGACATCCTCCAGAATATGTAAGGAACAACAACACGATGCTGTGGGTCAGAATCACCGTCACTGATATCAACGACCAGCCCCCTGTTTTTTCATCAAAAGAAATTACTTCCGGTTTTCTCTATGATATTGATTTTGGGTCATTTATTAAAGATTTACAGGTACGTTTCTGGGAATAGGGTTTGTTCTATTTCGAAAGTTTTTATGTACTCAGTTACACTCTTTATGAATCACCTAATATTGATATCTGTTCTACTCACTACTCACAGTATTAAAGTGATACTACGTCTTAGAATTAACATCAAAATTAAGAGTATTTAACTTGGCGAATAAGAGCCAGTAGATATACCTGGTGTCATAAATAACATAACAGGATCCTTATATAATCAGATAAATCCAAAAAACTTAGTAATTATCCATAAATATGCAATTAACTATTGAAAAACACTTAATATCAAGATTAAGCATTTTTCAATAATTGCTTAGTTTTATGAATTTACTAATTTTCCAGATTTTACAGGGATTCTGTTGTAACTTTATGACACCAGGTAAGTTCACTGATGAATATATACTCATATTGACCATTCTTGAGAACTTAAATTTTATGTTCATTCTAAGACGTTGTATCACTTTAAACAATCTTGTAGACGGTCACTAAGTTTCCATGTAATGGTTAGATGTATCTGTCCCCACTCCTTCCTCTAAATACCGTGTTATCAACTTTAGTCTTTTAATTTTTTTTTTTGGTACTTTTCTACATTGAAACAAAAACTATCGCACGATTAGATTTTATCTTCGATATTCTATCATTGCACTGTAATATTTCAGGAGGAGGTCACCGATGCCGATATTGGTGAAAATGCAACGCCATATTTTAAATTATTAGGACCAATCACAACAAAGGATATAGATATCGTTGATATAGATATTGTGAAGACTCCACCTTTAATCCTTGATATCAATGGTACCATAAAAACCAACATGTTATTTTCATCCGATATGAGTGGTGCCTTTATAATGAAAGTCCAGGCGTATGATATCGGAAACTTAACAGACGAAGCTGTAATCGAGGTACGTGTCCACTGTCCAGTGAGTGAAATCTTATAAGAACAGTGATAACTCTTCATCTTCTTAGTCTGGTTTTCAACTGTAAGCGGATCCTGCATGTTCTTGATTTTCGTATAAAAGAACACCAGCGACAACATTGTAGTGACGTCTATGCTGCATTAGGTCGAGGAGATGAGTAGGGACAAGAGAATTGTCAAGGGGGATGAGGGTCGCTAGCAGACAATCATTTCCATAAGCATAATAATAATAAGACGTGAAGGTGCGGTGAAGGGGGGTGTCAGGTCTTATTTCTGGAGCATGCGCTATAGAAAATAAAAATAAAAATAAAAAAGAGTAACAATCTAATTTTGAAATATTTTTGATGTTTTTTTTTTGGATTATTGGATTTGTCTTAAAAATTCCATTTCATCATTAGATATATCTGATCAGTGATATACAGAGAGTTAAAATGGTTTTCTTAAAGACTCCGGATGAAGTTAGGGCTGTTAAGGATGTTTTGATACAGTAAGTATTTAGCTTTATATAGTTGTGGTGTAGGGTACATACTCATGATCGAATGTGAGTGCCTTTTGACGCACGGAGACTGGCGAAACAGAGGGTCGTATGCCCTTTTGGCGCACGGAGACTGGCGAAACAGAGGGTTGTGTGCCCTTTTGGCGCACGGAGACTGGTGAAACAGAGGGTTGTATGCCCTTTTGACGCACGGAGACTGGCGAAACAGGGGGTAGTATGTTCCTTTGATGCATAATCATGATCGAATGTGAGTGCCTTTGGACGCACCGAGACTGGCGAAAGAGAGGGTTGTATGTCCTTTTGACGCACCGAGACTGGCGAAACAGAGGGTTGTATGTCCTTTTGACGCACCGAGACTGGCGAAACAGAGGGTTGTATGTCCTTTTGACGCACCGAGACTGGCGAAACAGAGGGTTGTATGTCCTTTTGACGCACCGAGAGTGGCGAAACAGTGGGTTGTAGGTCCTTTTGACGCACCGAGACTGGCGAAACAGGGGGTTGTATGTCCTTTTGACACACCGAGACTGGCGAAACAGAGGGTTGTATGTCCTTTTGACGCACCGAGACTGGCGGAACAGAAGGTTGTATGTCCTTTTGACGCACCGAGAGTGGCGAAACAGTGGGTTGTAGGTCCTTTTGACGCACCGAGACTGGCGAAACAGGGGGTTGTATGTCCTTTTGACACACCGAGACTGGCGAAACAGGGGGTTGTATGTCCTTTTGACGCACCGAGACTGGCGAAACAGAGGGTAGTATGTCCTTTTGACGCACCGAAACTATTTTTGGAATGGTAGTTTCGATGTGCATTTCTTGTACAATTTGATTTCTGTAGTACGTTTAGGTGATAATCCAAACAGAGACTCAAGCAGAGTCTTTAATGGAGGGAAACACCATGGTAAAATCATTGGTGAAAATTGTTTGATCTGTTTTATTTTAGAGAATTAGAGAAAGTTCTGGAATATCGAATTATTGTTGATAAAATAGCGACCCACCAATCTTCAGATGGAAGTCCTGTTACAACCAAGTTAGTGCCCTTCTTTCTAGAAAATGAGCCTTATGATAAAGTGATATTTGATTTCAAGTTAGGAGATATAAAGTTATAGTTGAATTTTGAATGGCTCTAACCTAGAAGATTCACTTCAAATTTTACGCCTGCGCTCTGCAATAAGTCTACCAATAACCAACTGATAGATCTATTCACAGAACAATTCTTGCTTTGAACCTTTATACAATATAAAATCATTAATTATAAAACACTTCAATTCACAATTCGCAACACCACAATCTATACAAACTCGGAATGTTCCGTTTCGTTTTGGGAGAATAACGTTCGGAATGGTCAATGATTAATTACATGTTTTACATAGCCATGGAGTTCGCACTTCGTTTAAATGATGTCTTGCAACCAAATCGCGGCTGTATTCATTTTTATTTTGAAAGTATCAGTTTAATTCATGATTTTGGTTGAGCCAATCAGAAATTGAGCCCGCCGAATTAAAGTTGAAAACTCTTCAAATAAATGTTTTAGATCTTTTATTATAAGAATTGCGCTTTACACAAACAATAACATCATGATAAGTGGCACTATCCCAATTAGGGCAAGTATTGATCAACTACAGTTCGTACACATTTTAAATGTTTTAGCTAATACGTAACCACCTTAAAATGACTAGTATTTATGCATTTCTGGTACCTGTGTAATTACAGGAGTGATATGTTTATACACGCCCGGTATCTAGATACAGACAAGGTAGTACCAGCCTCAGAATTATGGAGAGCGTTTGATTTCAGTCAGAACATTAACCTTATTTTAGATAAATATGGTGTTGTTCAGACGTCAGTAAGTCATTTTCACTATTACAGACTTGTATGGCTGTATTTCCTATTGTGTTCACAAATTTGATAAAACTAACGATTCCATCCATTAATACTTTGGCAAAGCATTGGTAGCAGCTAATGAACTTTTGATATGATGAAGTATCAGTGGTGGTGGATTAAGCCCTTCATAATTTTGTAAGAACAAAGTATTACCCACAAAGGCCACGATATTGTTTTCCATTTTTTGAGTTTTTATGAGCTCTTCTGCCTACAAATTTAGTACCGAGGTATTCGATAGTGAAGGATTTTAGAATTGATCCCATATTTTTTAATCTGAATTACAGAGCTCCTTTATTTTTGCAGCCTGTAAAAGCTGAGAAGAAGGACGAAACTACCACAGAAGACACTCTAAGGATAACCTTGATCATTGTAACAATAAGTCTCGGAGTTATAGCCGTTATTCTGGTGTTATTCCTGGTTAGTTTAAGATCAAGGTAGGGTTGGTATAAGAATTCCTTTATGAAGCTTCTTGTTTTCTATTCTGTCCAAATCACACTATCTTTGTCCGCTTTTTGCCTCTTAGAAAACTTCTCTGAATCAAATCATCTTCCTATCATGGTTTGCATTAGGCTATCAATTTCCTTGTTGGTTTTTCCCATTATTGCCTTTTCAGCACTCTGAATAACTGATAACAATAATATAGTCCAATCAATGTATTCACGAGACGTTAATTTTCTGCATCATGAAATAGTGCAGAAAATGGCAAGCGTAAAGATGTAGGGACCAGTATTATCTTTGATTTATTTTTTAGTCTGTTTCCTTATTTTTGTGTGTGCTTTTTCAAACCCTAATCCGGAGCATTGGAGCATTTCAAAACCTTTCTTCCCTTTTTAACCTCCATATAAGCATTTCAGATCTTCTTTCGTTTGTAATAACATTATATGTGCTTGAAACATACCTCAGTTGATCTCAGTGTATTGAGTTGTGTTTGTCGTATGTGTGTAAATGTATCTAGTTATTTAGTATGCTGGCGACTGAAGGTGAGTTACTGATCTTCCTAATATATTGTTGTACCCTGTATATTGAAGGTATGTCAAAGAGATGTCCTCAGTTTGTTGCTTATTTTTAGTTTAGTCTTTACAATATATATAGAACCTCCTATTGGAATAAAATGTATTGATAGAAAATTTGATTCTCCATTATGGATCCAAGCTTTTGAAACTCAGTGGTACAGTCGCAAAGTGTTTCTAACCAACGAGCAATGCCTTCCTTCTCCAACGTAAAGGGGAGGTGGTCAAAAATTCAGACAACCGACCAATTCCATTACTGCAACTAAACACCATACACCATTGCCCCTCCGGATGTATTACCTGCCCCTCCAAACCATCAAATCTGGCAACGGGCATGGTTGGTAAATCACATATCGATACTCCTTATTTGTATTATGTAACATATAAACCCGGGTTTGTAAATAACATATCGACTTTTACACAGTCAAGTAATATTCGTCAAAAATCAGAAGTAGCTACAACCAAATATAATAAAGAAAAACTTATCTCCCTTGCCTTCATTGTGTTTGCCTTGATTAGGCTATGTTTATATACAGACAGATTTATGGGACAACAATCACTGATTGAAGTTTTATAGAACGTTTCGTGCATGAGGACGATCGGGGAAACGTTGCATAAAACCTTAACCAGTGATTGTTGTTCCAAAAAGCTGTGTCTGTGCTACATGTCGTTTATAAGACTAGGCTATTTTGTTTTTTCACTAAAGGTAGTTGACCTGGTTTGATGACGAATATTAGCCTGTTAAAGGTTTATTTCTAACCCATCATTCTCGAAACCTACACTCGATTCGTCTATACTGGGACCAAGACCGGTTTCTATAAATATATTCGGATTCGAAAAATATATTTGATTTTTAAAACCATACAGCATTATTATTGGTAAAGGTTTTAAAATTGTTCGTTTATCCAATCAGATGTCTGTATTTTCAAACTAACTATTCAGTAACGTTTTTGAGAATGATGCTACACACTAATATATTTTGGTGGCGGTTATCTTGTTTGTTATTAGTTTTACGAGGTGTCTTTAAACTGTTTTAGTCGATGTCGTTGGTCATTTTCTTTTTGCATTTTGGAAATTTATATATATATATGTTGTGGTTGGATTGTCTTGTTTAAGATTATCACAAAGGAGACCTCAAAATCTTGAAACATAAAAAAAAGAACATCCGTTTGTAACTACGACAGTCAAAAACACAGCACCATAAATCATAAGATCGAAAGCAGTTCTTTGAGATGTATATACATCCGTTTTAACAGTCGAATTTCACCATGACTGCTTGCGTAATTCGGCACGGTATCGGCTGTCGACTATATCTATTCCATCTAAAAATAAGCAAAATATACTAGATGTGAAACCTCACTCCGGCACCCCTTTGCGGATTTAGAGACCATGGACAAAAATTACTGCGTAGATACGCAACTGTTAACGTAAAGGGCATTTCTGTCGATTCGACAGTGCTGCACATGGTTCTCGCCGATCACCACCAATGGTTAAGATCTCTCTGTTATCACAATTATAAAATAAAACGAGTATGGTGCTTGCTTCTTGTTGATTTCCAATTCTATCTGTGTATTGTAGGTACAGGCGAAAATTGAGGGCAGCAACAACTAGAACATTCGGTGGTGAGTAGGTATTTATGTAGTGCCCAGTTTCGGTTTAAAATATGATTAATCATGCTGTACGGTAGAGTTTAATTGTACATCAGTATCGCCTGAAATCCAGACGTTCTCAGTGAATAATAATCTCAATGTATTCATCATATTCTAGGTTCTGTTAAAGATACCATCCCAGATATAATTCCACCTGGTACCAACAAATATTTCGCTGCAGCGTAAGTTTCTGTTTTCTGGTAAACACATCAGTCGTCATATATTTCTGATAAACCCTGACTCCATCAGGACTTGTGGCTTCTGAGAGGTTCAGAGAAAAATGTTCCATTTTCGTTCACGACGAGTTCGAAGTTTGTGATAGTGATGTTTATTGCCAGAACAACGGAATCAGATGGACAATTGTTAAGGTGCAAATGGATGCTAGCAGTGTTCCTGATACAAATGAAAAGTCTAGAAAACTTCTTTATAAGCCTTTAAAGGTCATGATTGGCCATTTTCTGGGGTTGATTTGGATCTTGAATGTATATTGTATATGTACTTAATGATCTAGAACTGCACGAAAATCGCATTATCCTTTCAAATATACTTCACTTTCTTTTATATCAGTCGTTTTTATATCACGTAGTAATCTCAGTAATAAGACAATGCATTTTGTTTATTTCAGGTCTAATCCTGTATATATGAAAGACGTTAGTCTGAACTTAGCAGACGATGATTCCACCAGGTTTGTATATACGAGAGATCGAGCCATAGTCGTAGGGGCTCGAAATTATTTACAGAATTTGACATACTAAAATGCGCTTTGTCATTGCAGAACAATAACGTATCTACAATTAACCTGTTATAGTTTCCTCTTTTAGTTCCTGCGACTAAGACGCCTGCACGGAGTTGCAGCATTTTGAATTCAGCCTCGACGATTGTCCCCCCATTGAGTCAATCTGCCCCATTTTGTACCCACAATCGCGGGAGGCTGTCGATGCCACTGCATACTGTAAAAATCAAACACATTACCATTCCATTTCAGCCAAAATTCACTGGATGTCAATGAAGTAGATGGCAAAAAGAAACCGGAAATGACGTTTGAACCGGAAGAACAAGAAATAGTTATGTCCCTTTATGACGAGCATGCGCAAGAGTTGAAAGATAGTAACAGAAATACCGCGTTAGATATGGTATTACAGCAATATGAGGAGAAGTTGAATTTAAAATCTAGAGAAATAGTGGTTGACAACGGTGAAGATGATCAATATGATTCTGTAAGTCTAAATGACTTGGAACATACAGATATTTAATCACATTTAAAAACATACCCAGCTAGTAGCAGACGTTCATTGAATATTACTTTCAGAATCTAACATCAGTTCAAACGTTAAACAAATTACGTTCACCTAACGTTGTTATTACTGGGCTGAACGTTCGCCAAACGTTTTCGGAACATTGTTCTGCTAGCTGGGTTGTAAAATGTGGCATATGACAATCCTTAGACTAAGATTACCTTCTTCGTTATTGTGGCAGACGTGGTTTGTGAGAAAGGCCAAGTTTACCTTTCTGGAACACATGATTCCATTTTGTGAATGGATTTGTTAGGTCATTTGTCGAAACATTTAACAGCTAATATATTCGGGATCTTCCCAAATAATTTTAAGTGATTGTTCTTACGCCATTTGATAGAATTTATATTATATTATATTATTTTGTATATTTTTGTAAATGTATAATTATTTTTGATAATTAATACGTTGATGATCTCTCACTTTTATCAAACTCCATCAAATATTATTTGTGTATGTTGCTTAATCATTCCGGATATCCTAGATAAGATAAGATACAATAAACCATGCTTATTTCGAAGAGTTTAAAAGTTATAAAAAATAACTCTGACCCTCTTTAAAGGTATTTGATGATTAGTGATCTTCTAAAATCTTACTACTGATTTATCCAAGGTCTGTGCCTCATTATAGTGTACAATTTTTACTAACTTTTATTACATGACACAAAACTTAATAATACAACATGAATATATATATAGACACAGCTTTATGGAACGACAATCACTGGTTAAAGTTTCATGCAACGTTTCTACGTGTATCCCCCGTCGTCTTCAGGCACATAATGCAACGAAAATTCTTCTACAACCTGTAGATTTACATGAAATAATCAATAAGTAAAGGAAAAACAGAAAATTGCGCATTATGCTCAAAATTATACATTATATGTTCATACAAGAAATTGGAATTTTCGGATGAAAATTTGAAATTTAGTCTTTGAATTCATAGATATATTATTTTTAAGATTTATGTCAAATATTGTAAATTTATATTCATTCTAAGGGGTAGTATAAGACCATAATTACTCTTTACGAAACACATGTTGGTACTTCTCCTTAGAAGAGTCCACTAATATACTACCTTTACTCCCCATTTTTCCATTCTTTGGACAAGATTTATGAATGATGGAATTGTCTTGCTTGTACGGATATTTATTAGAAAAAGATTATATTATTGTATTGTATTATTATATAAGAATTTGTCTCAGTCAATATAAAAGCATAATTTTCTATCCAATCATTGTACATTACAATATATTTTATTATTGATCAGTTTTTGATATTGTAAATAAACTTTGCTTTTTCTACATCAGTTGTAATTTTGTGTGTCGCCTGAACTCCCCCCCCCCCCCTTTCCTCCCGGTTATGACAATATTTCCTTCGTTTTGTATACATGTACATATAATTTATACAGAATAAAAATAAGATTTTGGAAACAAGTCGAGGCTTATGTTAATCCGACACCTTGTGTTATTCCTTTCGTAAATTTAATCTTGAAAGAGAATCCTCTGAATGCTTAAAACTCAGAACGTTTCAAATTCGGGCTGGAAACTGCTCTCTTAAGCCGAAATTCGACAACAATCACAGAATATTAGATTTGTTTACATATTAATCAACTATTGAAATAGAAGGATTGATTGTTTACTATTTGTATAGGTTGTTGTGAGTTTTAGTAACTTTTTTCATCAAGTTTCAAAGTTTACTCTACAGTGACAAGTCTTCATTTTATTATAATAATAACCAGGGGAGTTAATAATGATAATAATTACAAGATATATAGTCGTCTACTGATATTATATTATAATACAAACAAGATATTAATTAGGGGCGTTAATTAATATCATTATTAACCTAAATCTAATGTTTTAATATCCACTCTGGTGTTTATTAGTTAGATGATATCACCACCGTGTTTTGATAAGTTTCTTAAAACTTTTAACTTCAGATTCATTAATTAAACTATCAAGCACTCAGTCAGTCGAGTTTACTTCGTGTTATTTTAACCATCAAACACAGACTAAATAGCCAAGATTAAAGTTGTGACAGTAAATTTTATAAAAACAAAGGTTAATTGTAATCAATTAACTATGGTCTGGACGAGGGTGATTATCTTCTCATTGTGACTATAAAATATAGTTTAGTTGACCAGTGGATCATTCTGTCTCTCCACTCTCTACTTGTATCGTTTGAATTATTACTTTATATCGTGATATTGGACTAACATTAAAATGAAATACACGGATTATTCCATCGAGGCTATACTCGGATTTAACAGCAAACAAGGTAAGGAATTGATTTTGTTGTATCTGTACATAATGAATATGCCATTGCTCTGTAAATAGCAAGTTGAACTTTTTCGTCTGTTACATTCAGAAATTAAAATTTGACTTCGCCATTTCCAATGTAAATAAATACGGCCAAAGTGTACGATTTCTGGCACACATTCGATTGTTACACTGCAATAGATTTAGCATATTAATACTTCCTTATGTCATATGAACTAGTTAAACTTATCTTGTAGAAATCAGTAGAAAGACAGAAATAAAAGAAGAGATAAATGATGATGAAATAATGAAATATTATAACAGAGAGAAATATCCTAGTTTAGATCAACTGGAACACATATCACTTCACCTACATATCAAAACTTCTACTCTTAAGGTAATTGAGATATATTCTATTGCCAATCGCAGTGGCCGCGCAGCTCCGAAAGCAAGTTTTTAGGTTAGAGATTCGGGCAATCTAAGATATCTCGCCCCCCTCTCGGACGTAAACCTGGCTCCGCCACTGGCTAATCGTGCTTTTAAAAGAGAAGATTATGCATGTTGTAACGATTTAATGGGTACAAAACGTATACTCTTGAGTAACAACATCATTCATGTTTCGTTTTAATATCTCTATAACTCCCAAATGTATAATTGAGTACTCCAAAAAAGTGAAAACGTTTTGTTATATAATGCTCAATATTCAAGATTTCTTAATATTTATATCCCATTTCAGGCCTGGTACCGAAATCAGAGGCAGCAAGATCGTAAAAGTCCACCTCGAAATCAGAAATGTTCTGTACCAAAAGCTCCATCACAAGACCAGGGATTGTCTCCACTTCAACCAAGTCCGATAACTCCGTCTCAAGAACAAACGAAGACTCACTCTCACCCAAGAACGACAACTCCACCTCACCCAAGAGAGACAACTCAACAAAGTACAACGAGTCCTCACGTTACATCAACAAGTCAACTCAGTTTGAACGACGGAAGTTATCATCCATACTTTCAACTTATCTCTGAGAAAATAGGTAAGGAATTATGAAACTAACTTTAGCACAGAAATTCTTAACATCAACTGACTCCATTTGTTCCATTAGGTCACACACCTAAGCTACTTCATTTTCTTGAAAAATAATTTGGATAGAAAAAGGTCTAATGTCCTACATGCTAGTTTTTCTTTTTTTGATCACTAATTTCGTTGTTCAACCAAAGAATCAGTTTTTTAACTGTCATATTTTCCTTTTGTAGGCATTTCAACTCCACAGACAGATGGAAACGTCAAAACAAGTCCAAGGATCTCACCCAGTCAACATGACCATCGTACTGATCAATCTTCACCAATTCTTCCTAATCAAAGATTTCAGAACCAAGCCTTTCCAGCGATACCCACAATTCCCCACGTTTTGCCATTGCATCTCCCTTTCCATCACTATTATGGACCCTGTCCAGTTTCTATATCATCCTCGTTAGACAATATGCAGCCTCTAGATCTTTCTAAACCAGCCAGTCGATCCAGTCCAGAGAACCAACGTATCAAACAGTCCAATAGTCCAGTGCATCCTGACAGAGTAAAGACACACAGTCCAAATAATCGAGAACTGCCAGGTAGTCCCAATCTACCAGATAGTACACACAAAACTAGTCCAGAGCATCAAGCTAGAACTAAGACATCACCAGAGACCGTTAATCAGGCAAATACCAAGATCAGAACCAAGTCAACCAAACCTCCTAAAGTTAGATCTACACCATCACCAAAGCTAAGCTTTGTCTTATCGCCACCTGAGAAACAATCTCATTTTGGAAGTGGATTGAGGCAGTTGGTCATTGAAGGACGGTCGTTTTCACCTTGAACGTGGATACCACTTCCGGTAAAGTTATGCTCATTTTGACACAAGATACACGAACATAGTTTGTTCCCAAGACATTCTATGACCTGCTGATTGCATTGAGCATTTTAACTGACGTCGGGATGTCCATAAAGGAATTTTTCATTGTATGAAGTACTCTGATTTACAGTTGGACAGGAAAATTGGCTAAGAACTGCAGTGCTAAAGGGGAAACGCCCATATTCTGTAGATGTTTCGCTTGTCTGAAATTTAAGTAGTCGGCGTCATGTGGATTCTCCGGTCTTGGACGAGGATTCGCAGAGCAGACAAAATGGGACTTGATGAAAGAGGCTAAAATGTAATGTACCCGGACAGATTTTGCTTGGACTTTAACATCCAAGCTGGTATCCATCTATCCAGTGCTATATGTATATTATATGACGTTGTTATTATTGTTATAAATCTATTGAAATTGTTGATTTTATTGTAAATAGTAAATAAACCAATTGTATAGTCAGTTAAATATTTATTTTACCTCAATACCAGCACAATCCACAACATTGTTACAGTGGTCCACAACATGCATGCAGAGGGTGCAACCCCAAACCCCCACCCCCGCAGCAAAAATCTGATAACTAGGTTAGAAATTCGGGCAATCTCAGATATCTCGCTCCCTGGCCCCGCTACTGCATTAATGGGATTCATTGGTACAACAACCATTGACTTTCATGTCTGTTATTTTGGTAGGCTTATCTCAAGAAGGCTTGATATTAAAGCTGCTTGGCCTACCCCCTAGAAAATTGAGAGCAAAAGGTCTTCTTACCTATTTCAAATCATACACTATATTGGCATGGGATATAAATTTCTGTTTACTTTCGCCTAGTTTATTATTTATAGTCGTGTATCATCTAATTGGTTCCGGAAAGCTGATAGACATTTTCTCCACGCTGAACCACAGTTTGTCACACAGTTGGGCTTCACTCCACAGCCCGCGATTCACGACAAATCACACACACACAGGTGTGATGGAATTAATTGATTCGAGGTCATAGTTGAAAGAGCCTGATCGTGTTTCGGGTTCCTGTTACAAAGAAAAACCTGCCAAGTCAATGATGTCACGATAGTAAACACCATTGAGCTTGAATTTTCTTTTGTTGATAAAGAATTTGGATACATGCTTCCTCAAGTCTATTTCCTCTAGGCTTCGATCATTTATATCCTACCGAATTCTTAGACATGGAGGCAAACTTACCGCCGAAATACGCAACTGGTGTTTATCGATGTGAAACAAGCGTAATGTCAAGGTGAGGGTGTGACGAAAAGTTATTTCCCGTGGTTGTTTTCATGTTCCAACGGAACATCGGTGTATCCTAAAATGTTAAATGAAAGGGGTTAATAGCTGTCATCGGAACACCTTGGAGACAAACTAGTTAGGGTTAATTTTATATTATATTGTCAATATTTTGCTCTAGAAAGTGTCAACCGGATGTAACAAGAATCGTAATGATAAGCGTGAGTACATGTATCAGCTTAGAATTCTAGGTTATAAAAGTGGACAACAGATTGTTTTGTGTACCAGCAGAGCACAAGCTGTAAGGTAACGTTATACTATTTTCAGAACTTCCTTTATTTTATGGTGGCTGATGATGGACATTTCTGATCTTCACCGCTTCGTCTCATGAATTAAATGAAGTGATGGTGTGAACATGCTAAGTTCCGTTGAATGGACATTTTAGTAAGGACAAACGAGAACAGGTACTTGCAGGCTGAATAGACCATTTGTCCTAAGATCACACATCGTGAGACTGAGTAACAACATGTCTCAGGTTCTGTTTTAATATCTCGAGATGCATATATTAAAATTGAGTAAATGGTTGATATTTCAGGAAGAAAAATGAAGTGTTTATTAGTATTAGCTGTTATCTTGTTGGTTACTGTCCCTCAAGATGTAGCCGGTTGGAGACGTTTTAAACGATGGGTTAGTCGTCTTAATTTTGGATACGCCAAAAGAAACCAGGAATTGGACACTGTCACCAGACAGGATTTTGCTGCAACATTTAATCTACCGGACACTGTGGCTGAATATTATTTTGATTCATTTGACGTAAATGGTAAGTAACAGAAATCACGCAAATGTTTACGGTCATTTTTCAGTACCCCGTTTATTAATTATTTTAAGATGAAAATTCTTATGTTTTATAACCCTTGTGGTCTGTTAGGCTATTGAGTGTCATGGGTTAGAACCCTACACATACCAAGAGGATTCTGATGCCACGACTGTGCCTCTGAGTGTCGGCTTTCACCCCTAACACCCAAATAACTAGTACTGTTTCTGTTTTAGGGAGCGGTATTTTAGAAGAAAGCGAAGTCACCCAGGCATTTTTGTTTTTTGATAATTAAATTTCACTATGCCATTCTATTCTTCTTGTCGTTTCTCCATTTTCATTAATTATTTCTCATCCTTAAAGATGGGTTCCCTTGAAAATGCTAATACTTATATGAATAGAAAGTAGAGGTGTTCTAATGACCTGGAAAAATACCAGTTTCGCATGTTCATAATTAATTCATAATTAGCTAAATTCCCAGCAGAATTCCCATGAGTGATTAACAATACATGATAATTCATTTGAAGCACCAATTAATAAATAGTTTGCTTAATTTGACACTAAAAAATAAGGAAACCCATCTTTAAGGCAATTAGATGTCGTGAGTTCGATTTCTTAAAATATTTATTTGTTAAGCAATATTCAGCAATATCTCAATTTTTGTAGTTCGTAGAATATACTAAAACATAATATTCGAAATTTACATTTAATATACAACAAAAAATTACATTTACAAACTGATTATTAATTTAGAGTAAATATAAAAAAATTCAAAAACCACACTCGCGTTTGATTGAACTGAACGAAAAGGTAATTTTCCTGAAATCAGACAGAGTTGTAAAAGTTCACTATCTAACTGAAATATAAAGCCATACATACACGGTTTACGATGTCCGGTGTGGTGTACAATGCCGTATTATAAATACAGTCGAAATGGTAGTAGAGAATCGTGTCCGCATCGTGACCGGGCCAGTACTTCGTGTATTTACTTCATCTATTTAAATCTGTATTGATTATCCTCATCGTACACCGTCTATTCGCGGATCTACACCACCAAATCTGGTGTATAGATTAATGAAATGATGAACTGCTATCTGGAAGAAGGCCAGAGTTAAGCGATATCTGGTGTTTCTATAAGCAGACAATAGTACAACAATACAATCATCTTCTGTGATACAACTCAAAGTAAGCTTTGTTCCAGAAACTATTAAAACAAATGTCGAGAGCTATGCTCTATAATATAAATATCTCAAACGCGAAGCACATTACCGAGAAATCTGTTTAACCACAATCTGTAATAGTCTCTATATGTCAACACAGGTTGGGACACAATATTCACTTTCCGAGCTGGTGCCAGCATACGTTTTATTTCCCGTAATAATGGAAATTTTCCCTGATGACAGAATGCTCCACTGAAGTCGTCGAGCGAGATATCCCACACCATTACACCTCCTAAATTATTAGATTTCACATAATCACACTGAAATAAAAATATAAATTACAAGAGTTGTCTCCCTTTGTCATTTCCTATCGGGTTCCTATCCTGCTACATGACGTATACAATTCAGTTAAATTGACTCTCCTAAGTTTCAAATGCCTATTAATGAGATTTTGACTTCAACTGCCTTTGGCATGTTTTCGTAGAAAAGCCTTAAGTGTACTAGTAAAGCCGACATCTAATTGATATATTAGTTGATAAAACGAAATGAATGCAAACTATAATCTTCCTCAGGAGATCAGAGCTCACCTGTTGCAACCATATAAGTGTCATAAAACTTTCCAAAGGTAACTTAGAAAATAGTTGGCCCAATTTCCGAAGACAAAAAAATACGATCAATTCTGTCGTGATAATGGTATTTCTCAAAATGTAAAACTATACATAGCGACGAAAATTTCGTAACGAAAGATTTTCCGAGGAACTGGGCACGACCCTCTTCAAGAGAGACTGGTGATGAATGTAGTGTTACCTTTAATCTGATTGATTTTTGATCATCATACCCAATCCAATCTGATGTACTATAAGCTGATGGTACTAGGGCTTCATAATCCCACTGTATTCTGTATTTAGGATCAGCTAATATCTGACATAGCTGAAACAGTGAACAGTCTTAAGGTATAACTTTGTATCTCTATGTCATCCAGGCTCGTATGTACATGGGACAACGGGGCCAAAAAAAAAATTGTTTGCCTTGACCCTCTGGATATAACTTGTCTTTCCCCGAATTATTAAGTCTAGTTACACCTCAAACGCAATATACCGATGTGATACCGGTATATAACCGAGACGATATCACACCAGAATGTCACACCCGAGAAACGGGTAGGGCCAAATTTATCTGGCTACGTATATGTTGACTTAATATTGTCAATGAACAGTAATATTAAGTGAATAATGACTCCGTCTTACTGCACTGAGAAATTAGCCAAGAGCGTGTAGGGGTCGCCATAAGCCTGCTATAAGCGTCTAGGACACATCATATCATGCTTCAGGTTCTGTTTTAATATTTTTGATCGCTAATTCATGTTATTGTATATTTTTCTATCCCAAGGTGACAGTTTACCTCGAAAGCTCCTATCAAACCATTTTTACTAGTAAAGGGTCCACCAATACCAGCAGATGTAAAAGCCGAGCCTAAAATACTGCCTGTATGATTAGTAATGGCAAACGATCGTCCATAGAATGGTATTCCTACCACAAGTTTCTCGGCTGGCATTCCGAGCTTTATCCAGTAACTTACTACCCAATTCTAGAAATAAATCATAAGAAAGACAGATTAGGTAAATAACAATTGTTGTACAAATGTGAAAACTTAATGCTTTTAAATGTTCAATGTTCATGGAATTCTGTATTTAAAATGTAAGTCTCTTAATTAAGCCATTTTTAGTTAACCCTCAACACGTATCCTCGACAAAGCGGATCGTTTGTTTGCAGACCACGAGAGTTAGCTTGAGGTACTTAAGATTTGATATTAGTTGAGGTGACTACTGCATTACAATAATATTCTGAAACTTCATCATGGTGCATATATATTGTTGGTGTTGAAAATATTAGAATAGCCCTACATTCTACTTACTACATTTCTGACTGCCATATATGGTGTGTCTGAAGGTTTACCATACAGAGCAGAATGATGACCAATCACATTCGCCCAATCGCCATACATATCATACGTCATCAGATTCACAAAATCCACATATCTACAATGACGAGAGCCATTTCTATAACTATTAGAATAGGATATACTACCAGATAAAAGGGAAACTGAACCGACTTATCCATGGTTAGACCAATAGCAGGTGGGATACCGCACCTATATATTATGTGACAGATATGCACGGACCATCCTAGTAAGAAAAGTCCTGAATCAATGGTCAATCAAACGACAATGCGGATATTAAACAAATTTTGGGAAAGGGACAATGATTTAGTGCTAGTGGGCAATATTTGTGCTTTGGCGCATTTCGAGATAATAAAAATCTGGTCCTATAAGACAATTCTCGATTGTCAATCGACTACGGGACAAAATATTACCTGGCTATGTCCCTCACTTCATATCCTTCATCAACAATATATTTATCTACCGACACTGCTAAGCTTAATAACAGTCTCGGTGATCCAGTCTGTGTTGTTTCTTCGTCGAATTTATCATATAATTTCTAAAAATATAACAAGGCACATCCATATTGGCTATAAATCATTAGGTACCCTGGATACACATAGAAATTTGACTGACGTTGTGCTTCAAAACCACCTAAAGAATTTAACATAGAGGGGTGCTATTCCTGCTTCTTTTGGGGTCCTCGAGGGACCGGACATCACCTGTTTCACCTGAGTCATCACCTTTGTTTCCTTTGCTAATTAAAAGGTGTTTCCATGTCATAAGGTTTACCTCTCTCAATAGTAATAGCAGACTTCACCTATCTCTGAGTTAAGTTTCAGAAGATCACTATTAGTTCTTTTTTTATTATTCTTTTTGGCATAATGATTGTAATATGTCACCCTGTCATAAGAATTATATAGTTTTCCTACCTTTAACAATTTGGTATATCTATATCTATCAGTATATGGACTACCTTTCTGACCAGGGTATTCCCAATCTATATCTAAACCATCGAATAGATTAGTTCTAAGATACGGAACTACATTCTCTGCAAATCTCTTGATTCCTTCGTCAGTCTCCACTAGCTTAGAGAATGGTAAAGAACCATAGTTGTATCCTCCAATAGCTAACAATATATTCACGTTAGGGTATAGTATCTTTACTCTAGTTATATTTCTCCAAGAACCTAAAATCAGAACAATTAAAATCCTGCGATACGACGACAATGTGTCTTTATATTGTACCATTCAAATAATAGGCAAACATAGACAAACAAAAGTATCGATATAGATTACACAAGGAACAACAACAAAATGTTGCAAATGTGGCATCATATATATATATATATATAACGTAAACAATAACGTGACACGGGACTCGAAATGTTGAAGAAGTTTACCATTCTGGATCTAGATACGGGTTATTGGCAGTTATGTCCTTTTAAAGGTAACACCATCGCCATAAAGATGCGTCCAAACAAGCACATGATCAATTGATACTATACGAATTGGTTCTCTTTCATTCCTATACATGTATTTGCACATGAACATGGCAAGATTTACGCTGTACAGTTCAGCCGAGAGATTATCAATACATTAGAAAATGCTAGTAACAAATCGAGTCAGTACCGTGTCCAGAGCCACACCTCGTGTTTTAATTTCTTGTATTTTCTTCTGTATCGAGTTCCCCGTATCGTGCACTGCAAGGCAGATCGAACACGTATATTTGTGGCTTAAAGATGCCGATTTTTAAAAAGAATAGTTTCAAACCTTACCTCTCAATCCATCCGCTCCACTTTCTAAAGGTTTAATAGTGAACGTCTCCGAGTTAAGTCCAGCGAAAGCTACCACTATATGGGTACATAGTGAAGGGTCAGAGAGATCATCTATGGAGAATTTATCAGCACCAGGTTTATACTGTTTCCACGAGGGGAAATAACACACTCGTTTATACCTCTCGTTCACATGACCTAGAAATATATAACAACTTACGTCTTTTATTAGGTAGAGATACACTGGGACATAATACCAGAATAAAATCCCTAGGTCCATGAAGATTAAAATACAAAATCAAGATAGACCATTGATGCAATGAAATAAACATGAAGCTTTGTGAATCGACACAAGCAAAAATGACATTTCTTATGAATTTTGAGCTCAAGGGAAATAAATTGTGATTTTTGTATGTCCTAAACTGTCTAATCGCATTATCAACCGATTCAGTCTCTAAACAAATCAGATGAACGTGATAGGTTACTGTCTAATATGGCGGTGTTAAACATTGAAATACCATAAAATCTTCAGATGACAACTGGTGCAAATACAGAACAAGCGAGGCCCAATTTTAATTTTTAAAGTGTCTGGAGTAGCTGCTTATTGCCTGCTTATTATTTGAAGACGGTCAGAGTATTGGAATGGCGTCAATTGCTTTGTTACGTCGAAGAAAAGGTCGTTGGTTCTGATCGGCCATTGTGTGAAAGTTAGTGACCTTGAATATTTCAACTTTTCTCATTAACCAGGCTCAATCGACTAGGCTATAAATAGGTACGGATAGATCTAGAAATGCCAAAGATCAGGTCGTAGAAACGATCTTCGTGAAACCAAAAAATCTTTGCAAAAAATGATTGTTTGTTTCTTTCTTCCCTTTGACGAATTGTAAACAATTCATACTGAAATATCTGTGTTACGGTAATTAATGATAAGCCACAGAACAGATCCGGAAATGATGTCAGCTGCCTTTCTCAAATCCGTGTTTGAATTGTGGAATCGAAGAAGTAAGAATATCAGTTTACCGTCAATAACAAGCCAGGTTAAACCCAATATAATACCACTGGTAAAAACACCCATCTGAAATAACATAACATTACCCATATGATAATTTTGATGCTTACAGCTTACAGCTTTTCAAAATTAAAATTTGACGCCAGGTTCGATTACATTTAAATAAATACCAATTGTTCTAACAGACGGAAGTGTATAGTGAGGCAACTACCATAGGGACTGGATGAACGGGCCCCCACCCCCTAGAAAATAAATGTAGGGGAGCATATGCTTAATAATAACAACATTCCTGTAGGAGGGGTCCCAACCCATTTAAATCCACGGGCCCCCACTCAGTCAGCTGTGCCACTGTAGAAGTTTTGACATCAGAACGTCCAAGATGTTAGGTCTGAGTATTGTAGCCTGTGTTTTTATGAAATCAATTTTTTTTGTTGGTAACTAAATTTCAACCGTCTTTTCGAACTGAATTTTGACTGGAACATTTTTTATGAAATAAGTTCTAGTAAGGAGGTTTAAAATTCTCCGATAAAGCTACCTATTACAATTTTTTTTAAAACTATGTGGCTCCTTTGAAGGTAAGCTGAGCAGCCAGAAACTAAGAAAACATTGTATATATAAGCTGACGACTGCCCAAATCATAGGTCATTTCAAGAATTTTAAATTACCAATAAAACAAGATATAAAAACATACAAACAAGATTCAAATCTTACCTTCATTTTGAATAATTCAATGTTTCTAAATGATCATCCTTTGTGGTTGTTTGTTTAAATACGATTGACCAACGACGGTGTTGACGTTTTATTTGTCATGAGCACTGCGAGTTGTGTTTTATAAAAAATCTCATATATGCAAGTTATATTTGATGATGTTGAATTACTGGGTTGGGGGCAATATCATACTGTTCACTTCATCAACCTACAGAGTTTCAACGATTATAGATTTTTCTTATGTTAAAAATACTTAGATATCAAGGTTGCTTACAGGATAATTTGAAATCTTTACAAAGGTTAGGTTTACATTGCTGTCATGCAAGGTAACCTATTATAGGTTGACACTTTCCACTTCCCAGATTGGCATAATGATATCTCACAACCAATGGCTTATTTAGAGGGCAGGATATTTGACCACCCACCCCTAGTAAGTGAAAAGTAAGTCCTCTTAATGCTCAGAATTCGTCGCAGGCCATCTTCTGGGAGGGGGGGGGGGATCAGCCACCAGATCCCGGCTTCGGAGAGACCCTTCTCACTCTCTCCTTGGCTTGACTCCATTTAAAAAAATGTCCTTGAAAAGAAAACAAATCCACGGCCACTTGGATGTGTTGAGATTTTGGATATTTTTTGCCCATTCTTAAAAATGATTACAGACAGCTTACATTTATCTAGACCACATTCGGAGGCTCAGATGACCCGAACATGTGGTAATGACGTAAGATATTTTCGGGATTATCCACGTGGTTTGTTCGTGATTTAAACGTAATCTGAGATATTTTATAACTTTCAATTTCTTATCTATTCTATTTATTCATTCATTTAACATTTCTCCTATGTCCAACTTTCCCCCATTCCAGTCGTTAGTTATTTCAAAACACTCTTTCATTTGTATGATATTGTAAACGGGCTGCTAGTTAGCATAGGTCAGTTGTCTGCAGTTCACACGTGAAACTCTAAGTAACAACAAATTTTGATATTTCTAATATTAGTTTGTTCAGATTGTTCAATTTCAGTTAATCTATATTGCTCCATTTTCCTTAATTTCTGTTGTTTTTTTTTATCCCCTATTTAAATATCAGTTCAATGATAAACACTTTACCATTCCTTCACAATTGAATTTCATTTGAACGAGTAGTTGCCTCAGCTGAGGAGGCGAAACCACGCACCGGCTAAATATTATTTTATATGTTGATGAGATGGGTTTGAGATTCCACCTGTCTGAAAAAAAGGGATATGACAAATCTTGAAACTATGAAACCTACCTCGCAATTTGGTTATAGTCCGAGTGCATCTCTTAACGAAGAAAACATTTCTAAATTGGTTTGTATCTGTCGAATATCCTCCATGTCGGGTCAAACTTTGACTAAAAATTGTTCACAATTCGCAACAAACAAACAAAATTGGATAGAGTTCAAACGATGTAAACAAAAACATTTTCGTGACTGTAAGAACATTTCACCTCTTCATCAACTTGCCTTTGGTTTTAAAATTCGTTCAAATTCTTTTCATTTCTCTTCACAAAAACCGAGTAAAATAATTAGTGAAAAGGCCAGTACGTTTTGTTTGTGGTATTTGAATGTTACATTCAGTCAGTACGGTGTAGCTATATTGTTCACCTTCTCATTCAATTTTAAATGGACCATTGGTTTGTTTACATCAAGTACAAAATACACTTGCCCCAGTGTCAGAGTGAAGGCCACAGCTATCTGATCAAATGGTCAGCGAGAGAAAACCCCAAAACCTATGCAACATAATGAAAAGGCACCAAAGGATCTTGCCTATCACAATATATCATTTGTTGTTTTTTACGTAAACTTTTGAAATCAAAATTCTAAAATATAGGGGATCATAGTTTCAAATAGGTAGGCCTAGCCTTTTTCTAGTAAACGTCAATGTCAGTATAGTTGTGGCAAAAACAAGTGCTAAGGTGGATTGACAGTGGATGCCCTGCACCCCTATCCCTTCCTGTCTTCCCAGATGATGTGCCTCCGATTGGTTCCGAGCACTTGACGTTATTAAATCCTCAGAGTACCTTAACTCACGTTAATTGAATTTATTTTATTTTCCGTATTTTACAACAAATTCGTAAGTGTTCGGGACTATTCTACTAACGAAGCAGAGTATGCATGCACTCTCAAAACACGTGTTCATTTGTGATTGTTTTCAGGTTTTCTTCACGTGAGTGAACGTGAATACATTCACTCAATTTATACGTGTCTAGCCTACGCTAGTACATCTTTCGACTGAATGGTTCAATGGGCCTGGATTTATAACTGAGTTCATTCATGTTGAACACAATCAAGCTCTACCGAATACACTCTACCACTTGTATATGTATATCGTAGAAAACAAGTTATAGGGCTATTTTATATGTGGGCCAAGTTTAATGTAGGCCAAACGGTTTATTTACTTATATAACGTATTCCATACACAGAAAAGGATATAAAGAAGAGAGGGACAAGAGGAACACATCTTGGACGCGTTCGGTAGTGTGACTAAATGATTTATTCTTATCTATTATATCATACCAGTTCGTGGATTGAAACAACCAGTCGTAAATATTTTAATCACGATCAATGTATCATGGATAGCAAAACGGCTACTGAATAGTGCACCTAATACTTTTACATGGGGTGGGAGTAGAAATGCTAATTTGTATTAGATATAGGACACTGAGTCGGTAGTTTTTTGTAAATCTTGCTGAAAGCTGTGTTAGACTGTTAGTCTATTGTGAAATGTAGTTGAGGACAGTTTGCTGATATCCAGGACTTAATACATTTTATTCGAGGTCGTAAATTGTGTACAACTTCTGCTATTATCACCAACACTGTTTCCAGAAATATAAAAGCCCGACAAACTTGGGGGGATTGACTGAAAGCTTCACATATTGGGGTATTTGTAAGTCAGAAGCTTTGACAAAGGTGTTAGATCTCAGTTGTACTTATTATTAAGGTCTTGTTTCAGGCAAAAACCGTAACACCTACTTGGCTATTGTAGTTTCTGTATTTACCACACTTATTAACCAATTCTCGCAATCGAAATGGATGTGATAGGAGATGTTTTCAGTATATTGTACACCCCATTTAGAGACATGCCTGTCTCTGTGATCATTGTGACTTTTTGGTTGGCATTACTGACTGTGTTGTTGATCCAGTATTTTACTGCTGAGGGCAATGACATCCCAGGACCAAGAGGAATTCCTATATTTGGTTACCTCCCTTACTTTGGTAAAAATCCTCATCTGACGTTCATGGAACTACGTAAGAAATATGGTGACGTATTCAGTGTACAGATGGGGAGTTTTCCCGCCATAGTAATTAGCGGGAAAGATACGATTAAAGAAGCCTTGGTTACATCTGGTGACGATTTTTCTGGTAGACCTGATTTTTACACTGCGACACTTTTGGACGATGCAGAGAGTTTGACGTTTGGTACATTCGGTAACAGGTATATCCAACAGAGAAAGATTGGCAGCAATGTGCTGTACGCATTTAGCAATGCTAGGACCAATCCACTCGAGGACATGGTAGAGGAAGAGGTCAGAAGACTCTGTGAGGAGTTTGAAAAGCATGAAGGAGAACCATTTGATCCCAGCTCTGCCATTTTCCTGTCAGTGGGAAGTGTTCTGTACCAGATATGTTATGGGCAAAACGAAGAGGTTAGAAATGATGAGAAATTCTGCCAATTTGTTGAAGTTTCTGGAGACTTTTCCAAGTTTACTGGAGCCGGAAATCCAATAGATGTTATGCCATGGCTTCGTTTCGTAATGCCATGGAAACTATTCAGTTTTCTGAGGGTTTTAGGCAGATTAGAGAAAGTGATAAAGGCAAATACGAAGGAACAGGTAGAATCGTATTCGGACGACTATAGAAGACATTTAGTTGACGGCATTCACAAAGTTGCTCTGGAGGTTGAAGCAAATCCAGAGATAGGTTTAAAGGGACACCATGTTCGATCCATGATGGGAGATATTACCACCGCAGGTTTCGAAACCATATCCACGACAATTAGTTGGGGAATCCTTTACATGGCTGCCAATCCAAAAATACAAAAGAAGGTATACAAAGAGCTGGAACAGGTGGTAGGATCTCGATGTGTGCGCCTTGAAGACAAACCGAATCTCCCCTACACCGTGGCTACAATCACTGAGATCATGCGAATAGCCAATGTCCTGCCTCTGGCTGTGCCAAGAGCAACAACCAAAGATACCCAACTAAAGGGGTTCAAAGTTCGTAAAGGAACAGTTGTTCTTCCGAACTTTTATTCCGTTACCCATGATGAAAAGATTTGGGGTGATCCACACGTTTTCAGGCCAGAGCGATTTCTCGGTCGTGATGGACAGCTGAATAAAGACAAGATGGACCAATTTACTGCGTTTTCTATGGGCAGAAGGAAGTGTTTGGGGGAATTTCTAGCTCGCATGGAAGTGTTTCTATTCTTCGCAGGGATTATTCAGAAGTGTGAAATAAAGAAGCCTGAAGAACTAGAAGGGTATAGTTTTAAAGGATCGTTTGGTTTGACTGTTAAGTCAGAGCCTTATGATATTTGTGCTGCTTTAAGAACTTAGAGTAGGACTGTTGAGCTTAAGTGATATTTTTCATTCGAAAATATTTTGACCTTATGTAAATAATTGGGCACTCGATGTGTTTTTGAATTATTGAAATAAAAAAGTTAAAAAGAAATCTATTTTGTCTTTAGTCAATCAACAAAGTAGAGCTACTAATCAAGGAATTTATATGACGAATTGTAAGTGACAGAAAAAAGAAAGAATGGAATTCTAAATATCAATCGGAATTTTAACCAGATTGCTCTGTTTCATGCTATTTTAGCACCCACTGTAAAAAAAACAAACTATAATTGAGATGAAATTCATAAATAATAATTTAATCTGAATTAAAATATCGTCTCATTTCACGTTCCCAATTCTTATCTTTCTTTTCTCGATATCGAGCTTCACGTCTTGACAGAGTCCGTACAGAAACACGCCTTTCGCTGTTCTTTTTACATCTCTCTACCGCACTGGCATCATTAGCATCAAAATGAGTCACTTTCGATTTCTGCTTTGTTTCACCACCAAAGCCTTGCCGATCTCTCTTGAGTACAGTTTTCACAGGATATTTGGGACCTTGACCTTTTGAACCCAGCCCTGTTGTTTTGTTCCATCCATGTTTGAGCATCAGTTGGAATCCTTTATTAGATTCAGGGATGGTAAAATGAGGGGCAGATGGTTTCAGCTGCCGATTAAAAAGATGAGCTGTGGAACTTTCATGCTTAATTTTGTCCGAGTATTCCACTTCACAAATCTCACAAAAATAAGTTTCGGTTTTTATCACCTTTGACTTTTTCTTTAAATCAGAATCTGGATCCCACTTCTCTAAAATATCAACAATTTTAGATCGCTTGGATTTTCGAGCCAAATCGATTGCGGTTTGCTTAGAATTATTAGTAACATTTGTATCAGCACCGATCTTTAACAAGAAGCGTACTGTAGTCACATGACTTTCAACTGACGCACACATCAAAGCTGTCCAACCAAATTTATCTTGATAATTTATATCTGCACCACATTCGATAGAGTTTTTCAAACTTGATAAATCACCATTTTGAGCAAATTTCAACATATCTGAATAATCCCTTTCTGAGAGAACAGGCTTTTTAGTAATATCAGACGTCCTTTTTTGCTTATATGATTTGGGTTTTGAATCACACTTTGCATTTGAACTAGAGCTACCGGTGGTAGTTGAGTCATTCATGAGGTTTTCATAATATTCCTTAATTTCCTTTCCACTAGAACTGGAAACCTTCACTGGTTTGATTTCTGGTGGAAGTTTTGGTTTATCCTTTGATTCTGGGATAAAAGTCACCAATCCTTGGTAGTCAGATTTTATATCTCGCAACTTAAACTTCGGCATTTTGTGAGACATTTAGTGAAGTGATCTACCACACATCCACAGTGGATGACAGTCAAAAGATCTCTATCTGGTAGTAGTAGGGCCTACTGTCTATTATTAGGTTTATATTGTCTCATTCACAAAAAACATATTGTTATAGTTCACAGCTACCTCAAGATTACGTTGTATTCGACTGCTAATGCCAATTTATACTAAAAGACTAAATGTTTAAAAGGAAAATGATAAGTGGGACGACGTTGAAATGGATTTCGAAATTCGGCCACACTAATACTGAAGGATTTGATTTGATCTGGATTCAATAAGTTGATCCACTTAAGCTATGGTTGTGGTCACGTTGCAAGATCTGCATCTTATCTATTACATCTAGGTAAAGAAATATTCCAACTTTCCACTTTAGATCATCAAAATATCAAAACAACGACTGGATTATCCAGACTTTCTGTAAAAAATCAGAATTATCTTTTCCTACTAACACCTTCGTTTTGAGCAATGCACTCATTGCAAATAAAAGTTGTCAATTATGAAAATCAAACTGTGCTAATCAAAAATTGAATAGTAAAGATCATCACAGATGAGAGGGATTCATTCAATAGGAAATTGCAAATTTCACTGTCAATGTAGTTAAGGTGCAGAATAATTACTACTAGGCATAAACATACCCAAACGAACTTTGCCTAGTAGTCTTGATCATCCGGTTGTCTTGTATAAAGTCTCGGGTTTTCTCTCGAGACCATTATTAGCCCTAGCAACGTTTACAAGATGGCTTCCGAAATTGAAGAGCAAGAAGATGATTCCTTTTATGACATCCACAGAACTTCTCTACTTGATGTAATTGAAGATAAAAACAGGGCAGCAAATAGGGTAGGCTATGGATAAATTTCTAAACATAATTTCTTACATGAAGGCAGGAAAACCTTGTCCTTTTGAGAAATTACTAAAGGAAGGTAAATCTTCAATCTCGTTTCTTACACCTACTCACCTACTGAACTAGTCTAGGGTTCAGAACTAGAAGTAAAATTGTGGTATTGTAGACTACTATTCATAAGGTCCAACAAGAGCGTGCCATAACAAATAGTAAAAAATAGTGTTGTAACACCAGATACTAGTATTAAATGCTATTTGTTAATTACAGAAAAGTTTGATACATCGAATGGTAATCGTTTCTAAACTCAGAGATCCTGATGCTGATAGGAAACAAATTGGAAGTGAGTAAATTATATGTGCTGTTGACTTGGTTGTGTCAGATTGGCAGATATTATTTTTCATTTTCACTCTGATTATCTTCAACACTTTATTTATTGAATCGAAATTCGAATCATACCATATAAATTAAATGTCTGTATAGGGGAATATATCTGAATATTAGGGGAAAAAAACACAAAGTTGCATAATTATCTAATTCTATGTGATTTATTTCCAGTTAAATATGAAGAGAAATTGAAGAATCTACAGGGTGAAGGAGTGACTGGGTTGATGTTAATTTATATGAAACATGTTGTTCACATTGTAGAGGTACGCATTTACTTGAAAATATTCCACAAACTAGAGTTCTTAGCGTACCACACTTAAGGCGGTTTTATAGGTGTGAGATCTTGATCCTGTTATGTCCACACAAATGAATTGGATGCCTCCCCTGTTTACTCTTTCACTCTCTTAACAATAGTTTAAATAAATAGAATAGTTGGCCAATTTTCGTTGCTAATGAATGCTGGTAAAGGAAGTATTTAGAAACAGAATGATATAATGACAATAATGACAGATTTCATCTGAATTTTACAAATGACATCTCTTTTCCAGACATCAAGTGAGTTTCTGTTGGAAACAATAAAAGATTTATATAACAGTGAAGTGAATGAGAGAGGTTTTGTCAGCAGTTCTAAAATTCTAAATATAACTCATAATATATCAGATAGACTTTTTAATCAGTGGAATTTCCGAGCTTTGGAGATTCAGGTCCATCGATTAGAAGCTTACGAACCCTCCGAATCAACAGATAGATTAGTCATAGATATTCTTTCTCAACTTTTAAAATTAGGATCTTATCTCAGTAAACAACCCAAGGTAAGAAGATTTTCATACCTGTATGAACATTGTTTATTATGTGGACTCTCTGAATGGAATCCTGGGAGCCTTATGATAAGGATGTCTAATTATTACCTATATGGGATCTCCAAAACTATGTTTGAATTTTAATATGGTAACACTTTTCTTAGGCTCATTGAAAATTGTTTTAGATTTTATTTTTCCACTTTATAAAGGCCATGGGGGCAAAAATTTGTGGTAAAAAGGATTTCTTTAAAATATTTGAATTGGGGAGAGCTCGTTCTGTCAACACAGGTTTGATATAAACAGCTGGTTTTGAAATTATTATGGAAAAAGAAAGCATTGGATATGCTTATGAACTGAATCAATTATTAAGTAATTTTGAAATTCTTTGGTTTTTCAGCAATCATTAAAGAATGCTTTAGATTCTCTTCATGAAAGAGTCCCTGATATGTTACCCTTTGAAGGTATGTATTGACAATATTAATGAAGCACCCTGGTTATGCCGTTTAAATTTTAATGTAAATGTATAGCCCTATATAGTTCTAAGATTTTTTTCATGACATTTGTTGATAAAAGATATAAAGGTGCCCTCACACTATAGAGACTACCAGTTGCATCTTGTTACGAATAATGAAAGTGGCCAACCATACACAACTATTGATCTCTATGATGTGAGGACTTCCTAAGTAGAACAAATGCTGAAATTATTTTTGTAATTCTTTGTTTAGCTGCTGTACATTATTTACTTGAGGAAGATGATGTTTGTATGTATGATTTGTCCGAATATTTAGATCTTTACCAGAAACCTTTTGATGTCCAGTCAGACACAGGTTAGTTCAAGAACTCATTTCAGACTGTAGAAATATTTTTCTTGCATATGAATTCTTTAACAGGATGTTTGTCCAATCCAACATGGAGAGATATTCTATTCCTGAGCTCTTAATTGCGTTGTATTCCTAGTGAAAAATTAGTTCTTTTACCTGCAAAACAAAAACGTTGGACTCAAAACGTCTTTTTATTGGAAGTACATTAAGTATAGAATACAGCACATTAAATCCTGAATTATTTTGTTGTAGATTTGGTGTGGCCGTTACCTGTTCGTTTATTTCCTTATAATTAAATTTATATTGAGAAAATAATACTGACAGAATTTAACTTTGATCCAACAAATTGATACATCTTGCAAAGAATGCTCCTGTAGTTTCAGAAGTTTGTCTTAATATTAAAATTGTTTCATGACATTTGAGAATTGATCCAGTAGTAATAAACTACAGTACAGAGTGTTAATGAACACCTCATTGAATGTACGAACCAAGCTGTATCTTTAGAAAAGAATTTTGTCATCAATATAAATGAGATGAAAACATACACAAGGACAAGACGTACATAATCTTGAAGTTTTGACATTTAGAATAAAGATTGAAAGCCTACATTCTGTTATTGATGATATTGACAAACTATATTTAAATCTGTTTTGTGAATTTTTTTAATGAATCAAGATAACTGTGATATATAAATTAAAAGAAATTTAAATTGTAATTTCGACTTGTATTTTGAGGCGGACATTTTTAACAAGTTCAGCAGGTGTTTACAGGATACAATTAGCTTCTATCAATTAGCTATCATTTGGTCTTATATTAAAGGACAATTAGCTCATAGAATGAACATGGTGCAGAAAAATAGGACGTAAAACTCCATTCATTTCATAGAATGAACATAAAAATGAAATTCTCCAACTTGACCAATAAGAGAGTATATAACAATTCCTCTCAAACTATGCACTATTACAAAGGCCCTTAGATGTTATAAACAGCTTGTGTGATAGTGATGTAAGAAAATGCTTTGTTTTAGTGCAATTAAAAGAACCACAGATATCCAACTGAAATTAGAATGTTGAAAATAGATGCTATCAGTATCCCTGATGCACATAAAAAAAAAACCTCTTTACAATCCCTTTCACTTAATCCCAAAAAACTTAAATATTAATTATATTATCTGTGTCCTTGATGCACATAAAAAGTGTACAAAACCTTTTTACAACCCCTTTAAGGTAAATCTGACTACAGTATACTTCAATCATGGTACACTGATCTTTATAGGCCTACTATTATTTGACTATAACAGGAAGCTAATCCTTTCAGAGAAAAATAGACAATAGTGATTATCACCTTATATAATTATCTTCATTAACTTAATTATCAGATTTTTAGAGACTATTTTCAACTTGTTATTTGTCTTGATAATTAATATTCTACCTGATATAATGCTGGTCACTTTGTACCATATCTTTTGTATTTTCCTACATGATAATTCTGTATTGTGTAGAACAGTGTATTATTCTCTTGTTGTGAACGTTTATAGCAGCTAGGCTACAGTTCTATTTTCATATCAAAATGAATAATTTTAAGGACTAAACTGACTTAGTGAGCTGGTCCAATGAAAATTGACTGAAATACCAATTATTCAGAATAGCAGTATTTCAAAAGAACATTTAAATTATCAAAGTTGGGCAACACCAGATTGTATTGTGAGTTGCATAAAATATAGTTTGTGGAGTTTGATGTGAGGAATATATTATTCTAGGACAATTGGAGTATATAGTGTCCCATATTGAATTTTCCAATATTGTGAACAATGGACTTTAGTATTGTGAACACAATATTAAAACATATCATACAGTAGTCATTCTGATTGGAGTGTTTATAACAATCTGCCTTACAATGTCATATTTTGTTTTCTGAAATATAGATTTCATATTTTTGACAAAAAGAATATCTGGATAGATTTCATATTTTTGAAAAAAGAATTCCTACACATAGATTTTGTCTTTTTGAAAAGAATTCAGGCAGAGATTTTGATTTCTGAAAAGAGTTTCTATACAGATTTTGTTCTCTGAGAAGAATTTCGGCACACATTTCATTTTCTGAAAGGAGTATTTTGTGCTCACAAATTAATCATTGAGAAATATTAAGGTCTTCATTAACACAGATAGTTAAAGTCAAGAAGAAAGCCTCATATTTCAGTTGAGATGAACATAACATAATATAATTTGACTCAAACCTACACATCTGGAAGTGAATCTACGTGTGTTAAACAATTCTTAAAATAATTTCAGAAAATGGGATCCGGAGTGTCAAATCTAGAAAAAAGATTTCAAAATGAGAACAAGACTACAAGAACCTTTGTAACCAGTGTAATCTCTGTTCAGGCCAATGTTGCCTTGCCTCATGAAATTATAGATCATAAATTTTCAACACATTCTGTATCTACCATTACTAAAAGTATCAGAACCACTGACAAACCAAAAGTAAATAATACTAAGGAAAGAAAGTATTTTCCCAGCACCTCTAAATAGTGAAACTTGACCTTCATGTGAAATGCGTCAAAACCTTTTTTCCGATACAATGCCTGTACATGTGCAGTTTTCAAATATTTGAAAGGGTAGACAATTTTTCCACTGACAGCGCATTGTTCAGAATTTTATTCGGAACATGTCAACTTTTTAATGAAAATGTTTTTGTGTCCATTGGAGTAAGGTGCTAGAAGCAAATTTATGTAACAAAACTTCTCTTGTTGCTGTGTTAAAATTAGTGTCTTGGCTAAAAAGGAAGGGCAACACCATGCAGTGTGTAATGAGGGAAATTTTGCTGGGACAGCAGTTTATTTCCAAACTGAACGTCTTAGACCTGTATCTCTGACAGAAGGAAACCTAGTATAACAATTGAAAGACAATTATATCTAATGTTCAACTGTTGTCCACTTTACTAGAATAATCAATGTGAAGAAAGACAATATTTCAAAAACTGATTAAGTTATATTTACAATCATTTGTCACAGTAATAAAACATGTTCAATATATTTAATTATGTAGATTAGAAGAGTTAGTTTAAACGTCGCCTGTTATAAAGATAGTTATTGTTTTCCACGTAGTATATCATTTTTAATTCATACCTATTACTAAATGCCATTTAAAGATGACTGGCAGAAGTTTAGATATGGGTATACACCACAAAACTATGCAGCAACTAATGTTATTTAAAGGGGTTAAATGGCTAATTTGTATATATTTATGTTCCTACACATTTGAAATAGGTTAGTCTAAATTGATATGTTAATTAAAAACTCTAAAAATGTGCCCCTGAGATCTACACAAATTGCATTGACTTTTCTAATGGCATAGCTCAAATCATGCATGATATACAACTAAAGTAACAGAGTACTGTTGAGCAGCATAGCTTATTGCATAGGTGTCTATAAGTACTTAGGCTGATATCTACTCAACAATCTTACAAGCATAAGCTTATACCAGCATATTCCTGTTTTTCAAGATATTTTATCACTTGTATCAACATCAAAATAGAAATATAAAACAAAACCTGAGCACTAGTTTAACAGTGAAAATATTTTGTTATTGTACAAATCAAAATATGCAGATTTGGGAATAAATAAACTGTGACTTCAATCCAGAATTACATTTGATAGTTATTTTTCATCTAAGGGTAAAGATATCAAACCTAATTCATCAAAATTTAACCCTTTTAACTGATATAAGAAATGAGTGGTGTTGAATGGTCTAAAACTATATCTTAAATATCATCTACTCTTCATTGTAGCTTGCCCTTTTATCCTTCTCTGAATATACCTTTAACAAATCAGAGTTTCAAAATAATCTATCACTTGTTTATATTTAGATATTTATTAACTCGTTACTGTGGCCAATGATTAATTCCAATGTCGTTCTTATTTACAATTTGGCAGTAGGATGATTTAATACACCTTTGTAATTTGACGCTTTGCTGTCTGAACTAAAATCTCACATCCATTAGTGGTTGTTGACAAAATAATTTAAGTAAACCTCATAAATTCCTAAAACACTGCCTAGCTCTATGTCACTTCCACGACCTGTGTTTCTGTGTTTGTATTTTGTTTTACTCCTTTTTTACTGACCATCATTAAGATTAATAATAGTGGAATATGAATCAGAGTAAAACGGAATAATTTTCTTGAAGATTTGCTGTCACCTTCTCGATAAAAATTCCATCCGAGGTAGGATAAGTAAAGGTTCAAGGGGAGAGAATCTAAGGCAAACATCCATGTTGTAACGTCAAGTAAGGGAGCAGTCAAACACAATCCTGTGGTCACTAGACAATAACGAAATGCTACACGTTTACACAACTGTGGATTTACCACCGACATCATTCGATAGCCGGCTCTAGAATAATCAGGTCGTAGGTTCCAACTTAAAGCATTAAAATGAGGAAACTGCCAAGCAAATAATATTCCACCCAATAGGAAGGCACCTGAAAAATAAAAATTTAATATAAATGATACAATAATGAAATATTTTCACTGTTAAAATAGTACAATTGTAAATATAAAATATCAAAACAGAAATTGAATCATGTTGTTACTTGAGTTTCACGCTACGCAATCTTCACGCAACTAGCATAGCGTGAAACTTAGGTAGCAACATGATTCAAGTTATATAGACACAGCTTTATGGAACAACAATCACTGGTTAAAGTTTTATGCAACGTTTCGACGTGTTTCCCCCGTCGTCCTCAGGCTGATTCAAGTTCTGTTTTAATATTTCTAATATAAATGATATTTGCTCTTAGCCATTACAATAAAAACTGCTAGACATTTAAGGGTAGATATCAAATTTAATATGTGATAAAATATCAGTCAATAATTGTAGAAATTTTGTTTAAAATAAAACTAAGGAGTAATATACTATAAAATATGTTCCATAATTAAATAAAATAAATATAAAGATTTGAACTATAAGATATGTGAACACACTGCAAAGGGTACAGACATGACACTCAGCTGTTCAAGAGGGTAAGCATACCCTGCCAAAATATTTTGCTCAAATTCAATAAATTCTCAAAATCAATAAATCTGACTACTCACCAGTATCTAAGGAACCAGTAGCCGCTGTCCATCCCATTATAGGAGGAATAGCACCAACTACAGCACCCACCCATGTATTGGCTGTACTATATCTTTTCATAGGGGTGTAAGCTAGTGTATATAGCAATAGATTAAAACCACCTAGAGCTGCTGTTATTCCATTCACCCCTAATGTTAAAATGGATACACCTGTAACAGCTGATACTGCTGCAAATCCTACAGCATGCAATGGACTGAAATAAAACAAATACAGCACCATATTGTAACAGATCTGATGATTCATTTTTACCTAAATATGTACATGAAATTTTCTGTTTCCTATTGGGATAAGTCATGCCATACAGTGTGCAGTGAGGGAACTTTGTTACGTTGGCAGCATAAGCTCACTATTTATCACTTGCCAACACTGTTGAGTAATCTCTACTGTGCACAACACGCAAGACCAGTTGATGAAGCATTTGCTAAGTGACATGCCCTCCTGTATGTGTATCATGTTGTCAAGCAAGATTTATAAAACAGTATATTACTAAAAGTACCTTAAATGTCCTCTAACTAAAACTCGATTTTTAGTTCGGTTCATTTGGGAATCAAATGGAACTTCAAAAAACTGAAAATGAAAGAAAGTATCATATATTAGTTTCTTAGTACTCAGTTATATACACAATAAAAAAAGTTACATAGCTAAATATTCTCTTATGTCTTGTGTAGACTGATAATGATGTCATCCATACCTTCAAATGTCAATACTGGCTGGATACTAATACTGAATATTAATTTCTGCAGGTTTTTATGGGAACAGAGTTATGCATTATCATTTTCAAAAACAATACAGCTGGGAAAGCAAATATTAATAAAATCAGGGTTGTTGATTTGGCCATACCAGTTGTTAAATCCTTTCAACAAGAATAACTGACATGAAGACTGACCTGGTTAATGGAATTAGCAGCACAAGAAGTTAAAGCTGTACCTAAACTACAACAAACAAACACAGTAGGATCAAAAACAGTTGGTGCTATACCATATCCAGCCATTGTTGTTAACACTACCAATCCTGTAATTGAACACGGATATTTTTATTACACAAATCTACACATAAGAAAAGATAGAAAACTGTTAAAACAGCAGACTGACTTAAATGGTAGAATTGCATAAAGGTCCATAAAGGGCATTGAAAACAGGCTTTGGTCTACTAAATGAAACTTTGTCCATACTGGTATGGGACCATCCTTATATGAATTTGTACGCAAAAAATATAAAGTCCCTGTTGTTCATGCATGATTTGGCCTGCATGGGCACTATTTTTATAACCTGACACCATTCTGTAACTAAATTTATCAACTCAGACCCTGTCAGCATTGAGCAAGCAAAATTAATATAAGCTTAGTTCTTTTGGAGGTGATTTACAGCATGAAAGGTGAGATAGATAAATTTAATAGTTTAGGTGCTCAAATATGAAGAAATAAGAAACATTGAGTGACCAACCTGTGAGCCTTATTTTCGATAATTTCAAATAGTATCCAGGAAGTTTCTTTAAGTCTAAACTTTGATCTCTATACCCAATGTCTTCTTTCACAACCTCTCTTTCTGCTGGCAGTGGTCTATCTTTATTCAAGTCTTTTATCTGTTCCAACAAACTTTCTGACAATGCCACAATTTTTCTTTCATGATGTAAGAACAATGACAAGTTTTTCACAGATTTTTTATCAAATTTGGCAACATTTTTGAAATATTTTGTTCCTAATAAGAGAGCATCTCTGTGGTTTTCTAAGTTGATTGCTATGGCTCTTTCATTTTCATTGGAGTTTTCATCTCTTCCTTTCATGCCGCTCTTTTTCTCGTTTTCTGATCCATTTTCTAGAATTTTACTTGAAGCTGGTCTTGTAACAAACTATAATATAACATCACAAATGCAAATTATTTTAACAAAATAGTAGGACTACCGGTACCCTAAACGGCAAAGGTTTTGTATTCATACATAACATACAATAATCTTCTGATTAAAGAGGTAGGCCTACCATTGGCTTTAGCTCAGTATGAACTAAAGTTTGGCCATTAAGCATCACTTCTGTTGGTCAAGCTTTATTCTATACCACTTACAAGATAGTATTTAAGTTTAGTGAGATTGGCTGGGAGTAAAGTGTAAAGAAACTTACTTGTCTTGCTGTTACAGAACTATGTTTACTTGTCTGTCTCAACCTCAGATGCAGATTCAGACATGGTACATTATTTGATACGTGGAAAACTTCTAAAATTCGTCTGCTATTGCTTGCCATTGAAAAAGGTCCCATTCTCAAAATCAAGGTTACGTAAATGCACACAAAGTTTTTCACGAAAAAGTCTGAAACTTTATTCCCATTTTCAAAATTATGTTGCTTTGGTCACAGCTTTACATACTGGGGGGCTGTCTTGACACATAGAAGGGTTATGAAACCCAAATTCAGTCAACAAACGGCTAAAACCTGCCAAGGGCACATTTGTTTCGTAAACAAACTCGTTACAGGATGTCGCGCGACAATTACTTCAGAATACTCGCATCGATACTACTTCCGCTTATATTGATCGCTCTCAAAATATCAACAGTTGGTATTTTTTGAATGTTTTCAAGATCAAAACTAATAAAATGCGGAAGTTTTATGAATGTCACTGACTACTTGAATTGAGACGTCTTTCAAGATGCCCAGAGAAGCTCCCCTGTCATTAATCAATAGATATTTACACCACAACAGACAAAATGGGTAAGAAATTGCCTTAAATTTAAATAGTAGATACATGTATACCGGGTATAATTACTGTCTGACTACATTGAGCTTTGAATTGAATTTTTCCTCTCATTTCATGAATATTCAACATAAAATTTGTCTTAGAATTCCTTCGGTTTCATAGAAATATGAGGTTCAGTGATTTTACATTTAAAATAGGCACACTTCCCTCCCAGAAAATTCACATGAAAATGACCCACTTTTTGGACTGAAAATTCCCCTCTGTAAAATCATTTTTACAATTAATATTTTTTTCAGTGGTTAGCATTTTCATCAACCCAAATGCAATATAAGACTCTCAGTTGTATGTATGTGTATTACCCATGATCATCAAGATCAGATCCTGGCCCTGAATGAACCTGATCCTGAATCCTTGAGTACCCACCAATAGGCACATGCAATAAGACCAGCATACAGAATACCAGTGAATTCGTATACTTGTCAACTGACGTGTGACTATTCACAATCACAAACAACCAGGCTTCCGACAGATTATAATTTATAAAGAGGATCTAAAAGAAATTTAACAATTTTGCATCAAGTAGCGAATCTTTTGAAGGGTTAAAACCTTGTAATTGTGTCATTTGTGCAAACCCTACTTCTTTGGCATCAATTGTTATTTTGCCAGTTGGTTTGGTTGATTTTGAGACATTTTATTTGTTACAGGTTGATGAATGAGAGAGCTAAACCTGGTACAGCTTACAGACCAACAGACTTAGAACATATAGCTAATGTCCTTACTCATGGGGTATGTTCCTTGTCCATAATTTCTTCTCTTGGACTATAAAATTTGTTTAATTTTCAGGTTTTATTTTATTTTGAAATTTATTATTCAGATAGAATTATGATTTGTTAAGTCACCTTGAAGACAACCAGATAAAATTTCAGAAGATTGAGGAACTATTGCAGAAGATCTCTGAGACAATTGGTGCAAGTATCAAGAAACACTTGATTGTGTTATTTAGCAAAAAAGATTAATTTAATGTAATTTCTGTTATGTTTAAGGCTTCGGCTACATGGAAATATTTATCTTATTCTTTATAATTTTTAGATATGGGTGTTACCTAGCTTGCTATGTGGCATATGGATGATGTATATAGCAAATAACTCCTTGCAATATGTTAGCGCTGTAATATATGGTGCTGCCCTCTGGCTTCTTTTTACTGTCTCAACAACATTTCATACCCTTTCTTATTCAGGGAAATTCTCGTAAGTTTTTTAACCTTACTAGGTAACCTCCTGAAAAAACTCAGTATAAGATAAACTTTGAAGTATGATAAACCAAGTTGTAGTTTGTCTACAATCAAATATCTATTTAGAATTTGAAAATTGGTAAATGTGAAGACAATTCGCTTCTATTTCAATCTTCCAAATCTTTATTCTTCTTTTCCAATGATTAAAAACCCCCCAGGTTATTTCAATATTTTTAGATCATTAAAGAATTTTTTTCACATCGGTGATCGTGCAGTCATATACATCTTTATAGCAGCATCTTATACACCATGGTAGGTATTCTTTCTTTATTGATTGAATAAATTTTCATAACAGCAACTTTAGAGGTCTGCTAAGCTATTTAAGATCAAGGGTTCCATCCCAGTCTGTTAAGATAATACCTTTCAACCCAGTTAACTCATATCAGTGATGCAGGTCGGGGGGGGGTATTGCTGACATGGAAACAGCATTGAATTGTTCGAACAGGACAATGAATTGAGGCCTAGTATGTTACATGATGTGCACGTTAAAGATCCCTTGACAGTAGGAATTTAAAAAAGAGTTGGCAAATGCCACTGTTCTAGCAACATTTCCCTCATTGCACAATGCATGGTATTGCTAATGCTCATTAGCCCAAACAAGTGCAGCAAAGTAGGAAACTCCATTTCATTATTGCTAAGCTATTTATTTCTTTATATATAAGCTTACATGTCCTGTTTTATTGTAGGCTATGTATAAAAGATTTTAACCAATGGGGTAATATTGTTCTATGGTTGGTGTGGATTATGGCTATATGTGGTATTTTATATCAGTATATATTCCATGAACAGTAAGTATCAGCATTCTTGTGTCTCTCTCTAGTACAAGGGGAGGTAATCTATTTTAACAAGTTATTATAGCAATATAATTCATATATAGTGATATATCGTACTCCTTGTTGGTGAATATCACTTTGTTAATACCAAAAATTTCAAAAACATATTCACTTATATCTTTTTCACTCTTCTTTATTCAGTAGAATAGTATTTCAATAAGCTTATAGAGCCTGTAAATAGGCCTGGCCAGTCTGACCTCTTCAATTAGGCAAGAAATTTTTAGATATAAGTGCAGTAAAGTCTCATTGCACTCACTAAAGTTCAAAACATGTAGAAAATGCCAATTTCTTATATTGTCTTGAAGTTGATGGAAACTATATTTTGTCCTTCACATTTCAGATATAAGTTGATGGAAACTATATTTTACCTGATAATAGGTGTCTGTCCAGCATCAGTAGCTTTTTTGATGGTAAGTCTTGTCAAAATTTCCCACATTGCTCACTGCATGGCATTGCACTAGGGGTGTAGAAAAGAAAACTTTTCATTTTGTTTTCAATTCAAAGATTTGTTAGAGATGATGTAATTGTGAAAGATTGTATATTCGAATAAAATATTCTGCTTTCCATTAATAAATTGAAATTTCGTTTCAGACAGAAGATTCAGGATTAACCGAGTTGTCACTAGGGGGCGCCACTTATATCATTGGTGTGATATTCTTCAAATCCGATGGTTTAATTCCCTTTGCTCACGCTATTTGGCATTGTTTTGTATTGGTTGGCTCAATGTTTCATTATTATGGTGTTGTTACCCATTTATTAGGCCCCAAAGATAATTTGTCTAATGTTGATATACCTCAACCCCTTCATAATGAATTATAATCTTAAGACAAATTATTCTAAAGTCTTTACTGCAGCATTAAGAATGCGTTTCATTTAAAAAAAAATATACTTCATGTTGGTCATACCAACAAAAAAGAAAACATCATAGGTGTCTAAAGACTGCACAATTTCTTGTTAAAAATATAAGGCAGCTCTAATGTGCCTTTCTTGCCTTTTTTCATTTGAATCAAAGTAAAGCTTCTAAGTAATTATTTACACCTTGAAGTCATTACATTTTTTATTTTATGGCAAGTATTAAGAATTAACTCCACAATTTAGGTGACAAAACTTTTACTTTTTACAAGTCTTGTACAAGGTTAAGATATTTAAGAGGCTTAGACATTACTATTTTGATGTTAACAATATAATTGTCCTTGGTATTTTCTTTATCAGCTGATAGAGAATCAAGAATGTTAGTAAATGAAAAGGTACTAGCAGAAGTTATAGTCTACGAATATTAAGAATCTCTAGTGCAGATCAGATATAGCCCATGATGTAGTTAATATTTCCAGAGAAAGTGAACCACTTTCAATTTTGCCAGTATATTTATGTAATAATAGACAGACTTACTTTAGATATCCATTCTGCAAAGTGATACAGAATTCTAAAATTGAACTAAAAACAGGTGTTAAAACACATATTTAGATGACAACAAGATTTTAAATCATTATTTAAACATACCAAGAAAACTTATAACGGTCACATGAGAAATATTTTTATTATTTATCATCTTATTCAATACATCTCCAGATATTTTGTTTCATTGTTTTTCTTTGGGTTATGTCACTAAATTTTAGATTATATCTTTTAAATTTCTTCCTGGTTTCTTACCTCACTCATTCTAGTAGGTTTCTTTGGATAACACCATTCCAATGGCTACCTCACTCATTCTAGTAGGTGGTTTCTTTGGATAACACCATGCCAATGGCTACCTCACTCATTCTAGTAGGTGGTTTCTTTGGATAACACCATGCCAATGGCTACAGTACAGCAGATTTTTTTTTTTATGATCTTAACAATTCAACTACATGTATTTATTTATTTTATTAAGTTTGAAATTTTATGTTTTGACTAACAAATGCTCAAATATTATTGAGATGTATCTTTGTTATATTAGGTTTGTTTTAATATTTTTTATATAGCTCTACAATTGATGTATTGAGTACTATTTTAAAAGGACAGCTGCGGTATATCCGGGGGTTGATTTGAACCTTGGTATTTGAAGGCTGAAATTAAAACGGTGAGCTATAAACACTAATACCGATTTGTTTAGTTGAATAATTCACGTTTCTGAGACCAAGGTATGATTAAGCCTACTCTAGAAATGCTGCATCTGTCCCTTTAACAGTGAATGTGATACCAGTACTCATCATAGTAATAAGAACCTAATGTTTCAGCAAAGTTTTTTGAATTTTTTTGTTCACTGTAAAAACAAATTTTGAAGACATCATGTGTGCTTCTGCTTATATTTTTATCAACACAAATACATTCTTAGATTAACAAATCTGTTTTGAGGCTACTATTCCAATTTTCATAAAGATAATGGGAAAAATTCACAAAACTTTTATTTTGCCCAGACAAGAACTCACAGTATTTTGCTAACAAATGAGATCAAACTGACATATGCTCAATTTTTGATACATAATCAAAATCAATTGAATCTTATTTTTAAAACTTATTTAAAAACGCTCTGATACATATCACAGGCTAACCCACTAAGACCAATATCAAACTGTTTGTAGAGGAAAAAAACAATTTGCAACTATGTGTAATAAAATCTAATTACAACAAACAGTATGATACTGTAATCCTTGTAAGACATTTAGAAGTATCACATTAAGAAACAACAGTTTTTATGGATATAGACTTCTATTTATTATTATACACAACGTTTCATTACGTTGATCAATCACTTGATAACGTTACCTGTATGTGTAATGAAATGTTGTGTTCAATAATAAATAGAAATCTATATCCATAAAACTGTTGTTTCTTAAAGTATGATACTGGTCTCTGTGGGATAACATGACAAAGTTTATTTTTTTCTTTTATACTCTTTGTTTTTATTATACATTCATATTTAAGGGTATTTCAAATTTTGTGTTTCTTGGAAATATAATTTAATTTGGTCAACCCAATATGAAGATACATAGCTTTGTGGTTTTTTAGCGTTAATTTAAAAACATCCTGAATTTTCCTTTTTCGGATTGACCATCTGAATATGACCATTAAATATGTATGTACTTAAATTTTGTGAAATAAAGTGACAATGATAAATGATCATCAATTTTTTTTTTATTTGGAACGGTAGAAATATTAAAACCAAACCTTAAAAACATGTTCTTGTTACTAAGAGTTTCTTATGATGTGATCTTTGGAAGGGTATTATAGTCAATATCAAGTTGGTTATCGCAAGTTGTCAATGTGGGTGCCCAATTCTTTTTTTTTTTGTGGAAAAGTAGCCTACTCTTTTTGGTCTTTATCTTGGATATTTCTCTTTTAACAGGGCTTTGATACTGGGGGATAATGCATTTGGGTGTAGTAGATTTTGTGGCAGCTTAAATGTGTCCTTATTACTTACAATGGACGTTTTGCCTAGGTTAGGTTTGACGAAATATCGCGACAAAGCATACTTTGTTGGACGATTTGTCAGTTTCCGGTTCGCTGTTACTCTACTTCCGGTTAATGGCTAGAAACGTGAAAAATAAGATAAAATAATATCTGTTCCTAACCTAACAAATTTATGAGCGTGTGACCAGTCTTATAGGCCAGTAAAATGGCTTCAAATTATGCTAAGCGTATGAATCGACTCGCTGGGCGAATATTTGGAGAAGTTACACGACCTTTCAAACCAGGCCAACAACGAATTGTTCGAATTTTTGCAGAAAAACCTGTGCATAAGAAAATGGAGGTCATGGAATATTATCCGAGAGTGAACTATGTTAACAATCTCATGAAGGTTCTCAGAAATCACGGATTGTATAGAGACGAACATGCAGATCTCGTGGAGGAATATAAAGAGAGAAGAGAAGCTCGTGGAAAAGTGAAGCCAAAGAAAGGAGAAGGCAAGAGGTCATTGAAAAGAAAGGGCTGAGCGTGAAAGAGAAAGTTTTAGCTATTATGATGAAGAATGTGTTGAAAGGATGTTTTATATGTGTGTTTATTACATTAAAATGTGCCATTAGTTCTGTACCATAATGTCATTATGTTTCATTAATGAACATCCACAGAAGATATTTAGATATCGTACAAACAATATTGATATGAGAAGGAAAGAAGTTGTAATTGCAAGACCTTTGTTTTTTAATAACCAATGGCAAGATTCTGTCATGTTATATATTATAGTAAAATTTAGCATTTTGTTAAAAATTTATCACATTCTTGAATGTTTATGATAATAAATATAATTTCATTGTGATCCTTTTATCTTCTTTGGGCATTGCACTGGTGTGGACGTGGACAGATATGTCATGGACTCAGAACAAGTAAACTGAAGGTGGGATGCAGAAAATTGATCATGCTTGTGGACCAATCATCCATTTTAAGGTCAAGTTGCATTAACAAAGACTTAATGCTAGAAGATGTGGCAAATTGGACCTGGTTTTACACAGATAATTGTAACTCCTCGTTAGGTCCTATTGATTAACAATACCAAGTCTTTTACTGTGGGATTTTCAGCTCTCTAGTCATCCTTCACGATCTCGTAGACTGGCTACCTATTCTCGAAACAATCTAAGTGCTACAACATCCTAGGGTTTTAACTTGTAACACTGTTTCTAGGATATCCTAGCACTAAGATCCTTTTGAGAATAAGTGTCCAGTCACAAAATGCTCTTCTTTTTTGCAAGACATAAAACAGCTATAATATTTTCCTTCTTTCTGTTGAGGGCCCCATCGACTATTTGTTTGCGTACAATCTAATCAAATTACTGCATTTACAAACTTTCCTTACACAAGAAAAGCCTAATGTTGCATAGCTATTTTGAGTTCATTATAGTTAGACAGTTATCATTGTGAAGCTGGACTAGTGGATTTGGAAAAATATAAAGATAATTCAAACTGACAACACATTCAAGTTAATTTTTTTTTTTATTCATTCAGAAATAACATTCTGTTTTAATGTTTGGTAGTTTAATAAACCTTTTGTTCCTGTTTCTGCACTCTGACAGGTTGATGATGTTTATGCAAATGGTCTGAAAACTCCTGGAATGGTTCCTTGGTCAGAACACTGTCTTTCCACATGTCAGGGCTCAAAAACTTGTAGGTCTGGATAATGGCAAAGAATGTAGCTTTGGCTGAAAAAGACATAATGGGACATAATGGAATGAATTGCTTTAACTTCAAATTCAGGATGAAGGGCATTGTCAAGACAATTTGTAATTTGGACAAGACAGCAGCATAAGCCTATTCTTCTATTATTTCCAACAGTCAAGGGATCTTCAATAAAACCATACACAAGGCGTCTGTCTCATCCCCAGGTCAAACCGGGTTGAAACATACTATTAACTATTTGTTAAATTCCTCCACTACTTACCGAAATTGCCAATGGTAGAAGTGGCTCCTTTACAAGATGTATAACAGTCATCGATACCAGCCATAGTGAGTAGTTTTCTGGGTACAGGGGCACTGACAATACCAGTTCCTCTAGGGGCAGGGATCAGTCTGACCAGTACACTACCACATCTTCCTGTCAACTGTTAAGGCCAAAAGAGAATCAGATAATTAAATATAAACTTCAAGACATTTTTTATACCTTTAAGAGTAAAATCATATAGTCGGAAATACTGCTGTAAACCATGGCAGTAAACTGTACAATTTTTTTCCCAATGAATTATGGAATTTGTGTTTGGTTTCCACATATTCTAGGGCATGATCATCTTTCAAGAACACCTGTTGCCATTAGAAATATTGATTGACTCTATAGGATATTAACTTACTTTGGAAGGGACTGTATGGGGTTTACCGATCTTGTTACCCCAATAACCTCGTCGGATTGGTACAATAGACAGTTTAGCTGCAATGATGGCACCTCGAATAGCAGTTGCCACTTCTTTAGAACATTTTACACCTAAACCAACATGTCCACTGTTATCTCCTACAGCTACAATAGCCTGCAAAATAATGTGTCAATAAGTTCACAATCCTTAAGAAATAAAATGTTATAGGTTATAAAAGCCTACATAATTAAGTTTGCGAAAAAAACAAAAGGTAATAAATTAGTAGACCAGTATCCCAAGTTACTGAAATTTACAATGTCAAATTTATGTCAGTACTGTTCAAAAATCTGATTGTTGTAAACATTAATGAGTTATTTGACCCCAGACTACCAATACTTAAAGGGACAGATCCATTTGTGATGTTGATTTGAGTCTTGAATGTGTAAATAGTCTTTACAAGAACTAGAATCGTACAAAAATCGCTTATTTCCTTCAAAAATATCTCAAATTATAATTCTGGACTGATATTCTGAGGCTTAGGTACGATTGGTACAAAATTCACCTATTAGCACTTCCATTTAACTACACAGTTAACAGTGAGAGGATATAAGATCCTGCTTAATCCTTCAAATAATAGAATTTACCTTGAATCTGGTTCGTTGACCAGCTTTGGTTTGTTTCTGAACGGGTAAAATCTTGAGTACTTCATCTTTCAAAGTTCCTTGTGGCAAAAACAAATCAATGATCTCGAACTCCTGAAATATTAAATTGAAATTTAACCCTTTATACTAGCTGACGTTTAATGACGTTAGTTTTTTCTCAGCAACAAAATAATAAAAATTCTAATGACACTATCAATTGTTTCAGAGGTGGTATTGAAATTAAGCCTGTGGCAGTACAGTAAAGTTTTCATTAGATCTTACATACTTGACAGTTAAAGTTTTGGCTGATAATAATGAAAATTGTCCTAAATTTTTTTTAAGTATACTTAATACTAAGGAAATGGAATATAACACTGCCGATCAAACTTTTTGTTTCAAGATTTTGTACCAAATTGTGAGAAAATGGACAATTTTAATATAAAGAAATGGCTAACCTTGATTGGAAGAGAAAAGAGATAAATTTCTTCCAAACTCTTAATTTTACCGTCCTTCACCAGACGTCCTAATTTAGTTGCTGGTACCCAGTCTTTTTCTTCCTTAGCTCCACGACCTCTACCACGTCCACGGCCTCTCCCACGACCTCTTCCTCGTCCTCCGGATCCAAATCCGCCACGGAAACCTCCTCGAGTACCACCGGCTGGTGCTGGGGCTGGTGCTGCATCCGCCATTGCTGAAAAATTATTCATATATTCATAAGCTTATATTACATGGCATCAAATTTGAACGAATAATTTCATGGATTTGGAACTTTCAGTCATGGTTTTGTCATTTTCCCTTGGACTATTTCAACAAACTCTCAGGGCCTACACCCTAAAATATAAGTTCCAATCCAATGGAGAAAGAAACAGTATGCATTGCATTTTTGTTTGCAACTTGATTTCTACAAAGGGAAAAATAAAGCAAAATGCCAATGCATGGGGGGATGTTTCGAAAACCATGGAAATGATATTGAGCTTTATTGTCTTACTTTACTGCTAATGATTCTAAAGAAATCGGATCATATTTATAAATTAATCTTACTCACACTCCTCATACGCTTCAGAGCCTACGGTAGACTTTAGCCTAATGGGCGCATACTTTTCGATCTCATTCTTCGAAAAAGCAGGGGTCAAATCAAAGCGAAAGCATAACAAAGTGGATAGTGGAATAAATAATCAGTTCGAGTTATATGAAATTAGGATGGATGTCAAGTATTTCTTTTGATTTTAGACAGATTCATTCTCACACGTCTTTCCACTTACGTGATTATTTTCAGAAAGATCGATTTCCGGTTTCAAACAAGGGACATAGGCGGTTTATGAAAGTTTCAGACAACAGTTAAATTCTCATCACGAATTAAGATGAAATCAAGTTTTATCTTATGTTATTCAACCATAAGCACTGGAAAGAATCCAACGTATCTAGGCGCTATTCAAAACTGCGCTCTGCTCTTCTAAATAAGAACGACCTAAAAATAAAGTTGGCTTTTTGTACTGGGGGGTTGATGGGCTCAGGATAGGATGGGCATTAGCATAAATTTTGTTTCATGTTATGAGACAACTTTTAAAAAAAATGAGATCGGTTTCAGAGAAAAATATTAGCCTTATAATCTTAATAGCATAAGAAAAATAAAACGGCAATTTAAGGCATATAAATAAGTATAAAGTTCTATGGTTCAATAGTCTCCCCTTTGCCATCTAATGGCCCCATCACACCAGAAAGGCGTTCTTATTGCGCTGCTACTGCGATGGAAAATTGGCTCAGAGCGTATTAAGACAATTTCGTCTCCAAAAGTGAATTATTGAAATGTAGATGTAGCCTATGTATATTTCTAACAACACAATGGTAGTCCTATAGCATCGGTAAGCTTACATCATTGATTTTTTGTCCGTGAAGCATTTGATTAAAAATTTGGACACACTTTTTACTTTGTTTATACAATAGTACATGATGTTCAATAGATTTCAATAGAATAAAAACTTTGAAAATGCATTGCATTACACTAGAACACCACATAGTATAATTAAAAATGAAAAAATATATTTTTATTAACAAAATTACTTGTTGTAATTTAACAAATAAATTTATTTCTTTTATACATAAACAAAAAAAGCTCTAGTAAGTGAATTGTTTTAAAACATGAAACTAATAAAGATACAGTACTTCTCAACCCCAGTAAGGTCATTCCTTCCCTGAAGAGTACTTTCCAATGTATCCTCCTCAAAGTAAAAGTATATCAGTCATTTTGAAGCGTATTTCACTCGAAAAATATATTCAACGATTCACCATGAATAGATATAAAATCATACTCCAGATATCGAGATACTCCAATGTGTTCCTTGAGCAGAATGTTTGTTCGCGATTTTCTGTACGTCCAGGGTTTCTTTGTACATTAACAATGCTGAACCCGGTCGAACAAATACGTAGATTCCTCCCCACCCCCGTCAATAATTGATCACCATGGTCTTCCAATTCCTCCCTTGGGGAGAAGCACTGATATAGAACGTCTATTTACCTGATTTTTTCAAGCTTGAAATCAAAATGATTCCCAGAAAAGTGAGACTGATTTTCATTTTGAATTGTTGCTTTTGAAAATATTAATATAAATATCTTAAAATTTAAAAACAGTTAGATAGGGTGTATTGTAATATTTTTTTATACGCCCACATGAAGTGTAGAGCGTATATTGTCGTCACCCATATCCGTCCGTAGGTCCGTCCGTCCACAATTGCTCGTAAACACTCTAGAAGGCACAATTCTTGACTGATTTTGATGAAACTTCGTGTGAGTGTTTGTAATCAACCAGAGATGAACCCTATTAATTTGTGTTATTGCCCGTGTTCCTAAAAACGCGTTCTATTTTTAGCCTGTAAACACTCTATAGAAGACTCAAATCAGACAGATTTTGACGAAACTTGGTAATATTATTCAGTATCGCATCAAAAAGTTCAAAAGAGTGTAAGACTGAATATTTCATACTGGTGATTGTTACTGTACTGCCAAATATTTTTGTTTAAAATCAAAGCTGCCAGTGGGCGTATATTACTTTGCCTGCCCTTATTAGTATAATAAGGTAAATCGCAGTATTTTTGATTGCATGTAGAGAGTCGCTCATGCAAATAATGAAATGTATAGTTGTAAATCAAATACTGTTTTTTCTATTAACACAGCCTTTGTAAAAAATCATTACGTTATTTTTCCATGTATGGCTATAAGATAAAGTTGTTGTGATGTCATTTATTAAAAGGTGATCATCTGTCAAGTTTATTAGAATCCAGTTTGTTAGAATGTTGTTGACATCATACGGTATGTAATATTACCATAAGGTAAGTAGGCTACGTGATAGTACGAATAGTATCTAATATCACCGTTTCCATCAAGTAAGTATTGGATAATGATAGTACCATTACTATCAGATAAGTAATAATGAACAATATTATTGAATATCACAATAGCAATTCGGTAAGTATTAGACAATAGTATCTAATAACAAATAACACGTTTTATAAGTATTTTTTCCCTTCTTTCTAACTTAAATCTTAGAGAAAACCTTAATCCTAAAATACATTCATTTAAAATTTTGAATGACTATTAGGCAATGCTTTTTTTGACGTAATTGTTTGGGAATTATCACCCTTTAAATAAAGTACGATATTACAAGGTGTTTTAAATATGTCAGGGCGAAATTTGGATAAAATAATTAGTGCATGATAGACAAATAACATATTTGATTAAAAATCGTGTCAACACTCTATTTTCAAAGTTTGGTGAACAAAACACTCTATTTGCAAAGTGTAAACACTCTATTTGCAAAGTGTAAACACTCTATTTGCAAAGTTGTGTGAAGAAAACACTCTATTTGCAAAGTGTTGTGAACAAAACACTTTATTTGCAAAGTGTTGTGAAGAAAACACTTTATTTGCAAAGTGTTGTGAAGAAAACACCCTATTTTCAAAGTGTAAACACTATATTTTCAAAGTGTAAACACTATATTTTCAAAGTCATGTGATCGCATCCCATTTCATTTCGTAAATGATAGTTGTGCATGTTTAACAGTGTGTGTATTTATAAGAGATATCATCAGCTCTTACAGATCTTATCTAGACAACAACAGTGTCTATTGTCTTCAACTTGGTATCACTTCCTTCCTCGCTACTTTCAGGATTTTGACTGTCTGTCTGTAATCATGAATTGGACGAATGAAAATTGAGTATATTTTAGGAAATTAGCTCTCAAATAATATGATTAATTAATACTAGAATTTTCATTCGTTTCGTAATAAGATTTGAGAACTGTACGCAACCGATAATGAGTGGTAACGTTCAAAAATAGATAAGAACAAGTAAACGAAAATTTGAGTTTTGATTTGTGATGCTGACAAAGTTTTCTAAATCAGAAAGAGTATAAATGCTCAAATTTTTACATCAATGGCAAAATATACCACAAATTGAAACATGGATAGTTAGAAATATGCATATAATTGTACTTTCATGTTGTGCTTTCTTGATATCTGACTAAACATCTCACCTTTCGGTTTTCCTAATTTATAAAGCCATTATGTATATTTTCTTTTGCCAATATATACATCATAATGTCACAAATATAAACATTACGGCAACAAGAGAACTGTTGGACTAGTTGGTGGATTATGAACACTGCATTGTTTGTTGTGATCATCTTGAGAAGCTATATTTTGTGTCATTTGGGAAATTTCTGGACACGATAAACAAAATACAGACATCGATGAAAGCTGAGATCGTGATATTCACCCTAATCTTACTAGACACAGTTTTATGTGCTTGAAACTCACCTTTTGAAAAAACGCGAGTGTTTCTGGAGACGACAGCTTGTATTGACAGTGGGTCTGGTGGATATAGACACCTTATTAGAGATATCTGGACCCCTCGGGCTCTATGGTGTGCTATTAAGTGTTTAGGAGATGAGAAATGTTCACGTATTATGTATGATCAAACGACGAAACTATGTTCAATGTTTGAATCTGGTAGAAATTGTTTTACTGATGGTATTGTTGGCAATAAAGTTTGTTATAGACAGGTAATGTAGTAGCCCGACCAATCTTACCCTTTCCGCTCCTCGGAAAAGATATACGCATTGGATATCGACACATTTAGTCCAAGACAGAGAGTTGCTACATTCATGGTTAATCCAGCAATATCTTGGCATTTTATGTCTTTATTTATCTATTTACAAACCTTCCTTGTTCTGTTTTTATATCTACAAAAAGTTTTGGTTATTCTATTTATAAAACGTCATGGTTTTTCAATTACAAAACATCTTGAATTGTCTATTTACAAAACGTTTACAAAACGTCATTGTTTATCATTTTACAAAACGTCATGATTTATCGATTTACAAAACGTCATGACCCGCTTCGCCGGGTCATTTGTCTTGTCACATGATAAACCAGCGTTTATTTCCCAGCGTTTATTTCCCAGCGTTTATTTCCCATAACGATAACAAGATCCACATAAAAAAAATAAAAAAAAACGTCTGAGTTTCTATATTTACAAAACATTTTGAATATATATTTACAGAGTTAGTATATTTACAATGGTTATCTGTTCATTTAGGACTGGTTTTATTTAGTTGTATTTCTTTGATTACTTTTCAGAAATTGATGTGTGAAAGTGCTGGAGCTTGTCGTAGATGTCCTGTTGGTTATTATGGCAATCATTGCGACTCAATTATCAAAGGTAACTTTATTCAATTATTAACATGGTCTGCGTTTGATCTGTAAGAATTATATCAGAATTTTTAGGTCATTGAAATAAACAACCAATCCGATTCTCTGTTCAATAGGTTTTCCTCATTGTCCTGAATTTTTGGGACCTCGACTTTCATTGTGCTCGTAATTCTAGTAATGTTTTTGTTTGATTGGTAATCATGGATCATAAAACTTCAGGTAAAAAAGCCACTTAACTCGGTTTATAGAATAATTTCTTCAGATTATGAATGGTGAATGCAGTAATGTGCAGAAAAACTCGAAATGCGTCTAACCAATTTACCTCTTTCTACCTGCTAAGAATCTTCATAATGCTAAACTATTAAGTGTATACCGTCTGTCTGCCTGTGATTGACTGTATTTGCCGCATTCCATGATACGAGTTGACATTACAGTCATGGTATAAGACGAAGAGCGTAATAGCTTGACATTGTGAAGATAGAAACACATGAACACCTTGTACTTTATTATTTCAGACTGTGTGGAAGGGCCGGTTATAGAAGTAAAATGCAACTTTCAGTTCGGCAGCTTCACCTTTATTCAGCACAAAAATATGGACTGTAAGGAAGTAGATTTTAATCGAGGAATTCAGGAATATATTGATGGCTTTGGTGAACCTTTTGGTGAACACTGGATTGGTCTACAACATATTCATGACATATCTCAAAATCGAAATAAAACTTTGCTTAGTGTCAGTTTAGATACGTTTGGTGCCCCCAAAATTTCGTATTACTACAATTTCAAGTTACAACCTGGACCTGATTTCAGAATATCGTTAAGTGAATATGATTCGTCCTATTCGGCCACAGCTGGCGATTCCCTTACAGTCAGTGGTGAAAGCATCAACGAGAGACCTTTCTCAGCATATGATCGAGACAATACTAGCCATAATTGTCCAGCCAGGTTCGAAAGCGGTTGGTGGTATTTAGACACAGCTGATTACTGTCAGGCCAATGTGAATGGTTTGAGAGCTACCGTATACTCCGAATCAGCTTGGCATTGGCATCACGATTTAGGGACTGAAGTTATATTTTCAGGAACATGGGTCCATCTGAGGTCTATGGACTGAACAGGTACGTCTATAAAATTTGATATCGGCACGAGGGATACATGTAGTGCCACGCAAGGCCTCCAGTAGTATTCATTACTATTCTGTTAGATTTTATACATTGTATTTTAATGTAAACCTCGACTCCATCATATTAAAATTTTGAGGGGTTGATTTTAGTCTTGAATATTTAAAAATAGTCTTCAGAAGTACTAGAAATGTACGAAAATCACATAATTGTTTTAAAAATACCCCAAACTAGTAATTTAACTCACTTTTTCCATATATGTTTTTCTATATATCACAGGGTATCTTAAATTGACGAGTCTGACATTCAAACGCAGATAATTCTTGACACACATGGATTTGAAGGCTCAAATTTCGACGGTGAACACTATTACTGATTTGCTCAGCTAAAAAAAATACAATTTCTGAGATTAAAGTATAATGATTGGACTGTTAACAAAGTCTGACATATCAGGAGCTGACTAAAGTCAATGAAGAATTCCGACTGTTTCGAAAGTAGACTAGATCATAAGGCAAATATTCAGTAGTTGATTTAGTGAGTAATGTATTTCATCGCAAAGCTTTCGCTAAATTTCAAATAGGAAACATCCTATACCAGAGACACCAAAAATACACGATATATTTTTTTAGCGGGTATCATAAATATATTTATCATTTTTTAAACAAAATTTCTTTTTTGGCAAATTCAGCATGAGGCATTTTCCCCTTTCGTCTTGAGGTAATTACGGTCCTGGATATAGACTGAACTATACATTTACTGCCACTGTAGAAATAGATAGGCTACTAAGTAAATTAGAACACTATCATGGAAATACTCCTTTCTGTATTTTTTCTCTCATTATTATTTTATGCTGGATAAAGATTTTGTGAATTGAAACGTTGCTAACATTTAAGAAAGGCGGAGTATATCAATAAGTGTTCTGATTCACTTAATATTTTATAGTGATTATAATTATTATTATTGATTTTTATGTAACGGTTAAACGGGAATAATGTTTTCAGGCGAGATATAAATATCCTGTATCAACAAACCGAGTTTTGTCAACAAATGTCACCATGATTTCTAAAATAGTAAAATGCAATAGAATAATAATCTCGTCCAATCTCGTGTGTTTGCTTCTGTTAATTTCTTCGTTATCGATAATCCCACACCGGGCACCGCACCGCAAATTGTACAACATTTAAGGTCCGTTTATACTGAGCGCGACTACGACCGCGACCGCGACCGCGAACTCGAACTCGAACGCGGCGTTCTCATTGGATTTCTTAATCTGATTTTGTATGAGGTCGTTTATACTAGGGGCGAACGCGAATGCGGCCGAATTTCTGTTCGCGCGGAAAACCGCGGAGATTGCCTCCAAAGCGAATTTTTGGGAAAAGACTATTTACATTAGCCAATCAGAGTGTGAGGTCAAAGTTCATACCTGTCTGCTAGTTAACTCTGAGCTCGTTTCATCAGCGAATTTACGCGCAATAACGCCGCTTTCAATACGAACGATGATCGTGCGGAAGGTCGAGCGAAAAGTCGCAATGGTCGCGGTCGCGCTCAGTATAATTAGGCCTTTATTCTTATCTTTACTGTTTAGTATTAAATGTTTTTATTATATTGACCACAATCTGATTATCATAGAATAAAACAAGGTGATATAAACGTTTATTAAATTTGATATTGGTATGTTGTGATGACAGCAGTGCTATTTTAGCACATGTCCCAAAGGCAGTGGCGTTTCCACGAGAGGGTGGAGGGGATATTATAGTTTGTACATTACCCAAATAAGGTGACCCGACTTTGACCCAACTGTCAACAGTTTTATTCATTTATATAGTGAAAGCAAAACCTATGCCCACCCCCGCACCCTTTTGCAGGCTGATTTAGATTAAGTACCGAGTTGATGCTTAATACTAATCATTGCGATAATCAGTATGGTGATAAATTCTTAATAAATTTATTTTATTTCTCTGTAGCCCCTTCTGCGCCACAACTGGCAATTTTTAGCCTAAATTTATAAATTTTGTGTATCATAACTTTTATCTAAAATAATAAAACATTTCAATTTACAGATCACAAGTTTCAATATGTTGAGCATTATTTGAAGAAAGAGAATAAAAATCCTCGGCAAGATTGGTTCTACTGTTTTGTACTGTTACTGCCTTTTGCCTGGTCTGAAATGTAAAATATCAGCAGGTTTTCTAATTGTCGTAGCAAATAAGAGTTATCTTACCATGTGCATCTGTCGCAAGTCAGAGAATTCGGTAATTCGCACGAAAACAATAAAATAAAGTGGATACGCACATGGTCATACATATATAATTCATAAAGAGTACTATGTACGTATGTAAAACCACAAACTTGCACCATTTGGTCTTATTCATGACAAAAATGCCTGTTCCAGAGGCTGAGCTAATTTAATGATTTCGTCACTCAACTTTTCCCACAGGATTTCGTGTAAATACTTACTCTTTTCAATATAAAACAGTAGTGGTAGATTGTTTCGATGAGTAAAACCAACAATCCCAATCCAATACCAAAAACCATGACCAGGAATATTCCACCCATTGTAGAAAACGTCAATCCATCACTCTCATCAACGTCTGTACATTCCTGGCTGGAGTTACTCCCCTTCCACCACTTTTCTTTTAAGGAGTCAAAAATAACCCCTGATTGCATATCTAGAATTCTACAGAAAAGAACAAGATGAAAAGGGATCATTCAAATCTTTTAAAAGTTCTCAACGGCACCATATATTTGTACATGTCTTTACACTCCTGCATTTCGATGTTTTTCTTGCGGTTAGTCGATGGTGTGCGTATGTTGGAGAAATCAAATTCATTCAGTTTTTCGACGCACTGATTACTTACGTTTTTGATATAAGTTTAGTAAGAAAGGACCGCTGTGGTAGAGCAAAAGCGTAGTATTTGGTACTGAACTGTTTTCCTACTGCCATGAGGCGACAATCTTGGTTCATCTCATACTGTAACATCGGTGATTCGTGAATCATAGCGAAGTTTTCTGCCAGGACCTTCTTCAACCCTTCTTGTGAGTTTTTCAATACACCAGTCTTCTTGATGTTCGTGTTTATAGTCTGGAACGGGTCTCCGAGCGGGTAATCGAACACAGCCAAACTCTGTTGATTGGACCCACTGTTTGTTTTGTAACTCATGTTTCTCCACATCTCGTAGAAATTCATCTCCAATGCTGCCATTCTTTCAAAATAGTCTTGGATTGTGGTTCCCTCCACTGAAAATAAAAAATTGAAAAGGTAAGCAATCGAACGTTTCTGCGTAATACACCTTCATATTCCCTTTCAGTTCGCATAATTACTACCGGAGTGTCTCTATCAACGCATAGCCTATAGTTAATAAAACAACGTTTCAACAATTTACAGAATCAATTCACCTGCTAACGATGTAAATCATTGAACGTTCTTTACAGTAGCTCTTTATGAGTAGTGTATGCCGTGTGATGCGAATATAAATTGCTGAAACGTCGTGTACAATAAAACCAGGGAGAAGTATGTGTGTTGTTGTTGCTATTATTGTTGTTGTTGTAAATGATGATGATGATGATGATGCCTTTGTTGCTCCTACTGCTCCTGCTGATGAATCATGTGTTGATGCTTCTGGAGATGATGATAACGATACTGCTGCTGATGATAATGATGCTGCCGCTAGTGGTTGTGTTGATGATCGGGATGACAATGAAAGTGATGATGCTACTTCGCCTGCTGATGATGCGTCTGAAGATGATGATAGTGATGATGGTTCTTACACCGCTGCTGCTGCTGGTGACAGGTGATAGTGTTGATGTTTGTGGAGATGGTAGTTACGATGATGAATATGCTAATGAAGATGATGATGGTGAACATGCTAATGATGATAATGATGATGATGGTGATGATACTGGTGCTATTGAAGATGATGATGGTGAACATGCTCATGAAGATGATGATGACGATGGCTATGATGATGATACTGGTGCTAATGAAGATGATGATGATGAACATGCTAATGAAGATGATGATGATGATGATACCGATGATACTGCTGATGATACGGATGATGCTTCTGAAGATCATTAAAATTATGACGATGCTTCTAAATATGATGATGATGATGATGATGATGATGATGATACAGATGCTGCTGTCGATGAAGGTAGTAGCAGTGAACATAATATCAAATATAGAAATATTAAAACAGACCCTAAAAACATGTTGTTACTCAGACCAACCTGTTTTTTGGGTTCTGTTTTAGTATTTCTATTAATTGATGTATTGAGCACTAAATTAACAGGGAAAATATTTAATCGTAATACCAAATCGGGTACAAATCCAAGAAAAGTCTTGACCTTCTCACCACAAAACATGTGATGCCACCCTGAAATTCATCTAAATTAGTTTTGTTTTGTATTTTGTTTTTGGGCGCCTATTAGTTTTTCTTTAATACAAAATCACAAAACAAACATACCCCTTTGACTATTTCTCCGACCAGTCCGTCCCAATCACCGTTGGCTTTCTGTCGACCGTACCTGCCATCTGATACTGTGTAGATCCTATATGTGAGTCCAAGTCGTTTAGCTATTTTATCCAATACATCTATAGCGTAACCACTATAAACTGTATCGTTATCAGTCTCTTCTATATACACAAATGGTGGCTCCTGAAAATGAATTGTACTGGAGAATATTTGTAATATATAGAATTGTCACGGACAATTTGCTTGTACTTGATAGAGGTATTATAAATCTTAGCACAACATAAAATATTCAACTGTGGAACTATCATGTGTGATTATTATACAACGTACTATCATCATCGCTCATTTTCACGCCATATTTTGCTTCAGGTTGTCCTGTTGGTGAGGTTTGTCTGTTGACAACTACCCGTCACCCGTATATCACCCGTATATCACCCGTCACAAACGCCATATACAACACACGTACTTACATGTAGTGTTACAACTAGTAAATCTTTAATTTCTGTCTCCTTTAAATACATGGCAAACCCATCAGTGGCAGTCCATTTTCCAACCTAAAACAAGTTGCATTACAAAAGAAGTTGAAAGCTGATGATGTTATGTTATATGTGTATGGAAAAATATTGTTAAATGCATTCTTGGGATAAATTGTTTACTAGTTAAGAAAATGACACATGCTATTGATTGGCAATTAATAATTCCGAATTTCAAAAGAGATTGTGACTGTTTCTAAAAATAAGCCTTTTACCTTGAAACTCGTACCATTTAATGGAAAGTTTTGTTTTAGGCCAAACTCTTGTATCTCGGGTTGGAAAACAGGGAAATCAAACTAAAAAACAAAGTTAGTGTATGAAGTATTTGTATATATAAATGTATGGATTAAATGCGATTCAAAGGTCTATTTCCATATAAATGGTTAATAATTGGCCGTTAACAGATGATTTCAAAAGTATTCATAATTAATTTAACCAAGGCAAGGGAAATAACTCCGATAATCTCACACATCATGCTACAGACTACAAATACTGTATAACCTCATGTAAAGGTAGGTATATTTTGTGAGTCAAAAATAATTATAATTATGCAACTGTGCATCTAAATCAATATCTTACCGTCTGTCTTGAGTAATCTTCTTGACAAATATTCCCCACCATCTGTGAGGTGTTTGTTTCAGTGTTTAAGAAGTTTTCCAACCAAGGCCAAAATGAAGGCAGTATATTATTCTACAAAGTGAATATAATTATTTATTAGGATACTAATGTAAGTTATATGGAAGGCTAAGTCAGTTGGCAAGATTCTAAAATAAAATTGAATGCCATTGTCAAATTTCGAAAAAAAGCTGTGAATGTCTATAGCAAAAGTATAGTTGAATTCTCTGTGGGGCAAGTTTTCGACTTGTCAGTTCATAGCTATTGATCTAACAATGTTTTGAACCATACTTTAAAGAAGATCACCAAAGTGATACCAGGTTTATAATTGAAATATGTCTTTATATTCTCTCGGCAAAACAATCGTTTGTTACTTTTTATTTTTACAAGAATCGGCCATCGGTGTTTAATCTAAGCTTAAATACAAATTTACGAAACTTACGAAAGCTTCTGTGTATTGACTGTTTTCATAATGAGGTCCATCTCGTGTTGTTGTTATTGTAAACAGTTGACTGGGTAAGCAGGACACTGAGCTGTAATCGTGATCATCAAGCACGTGTACGATCCATGTAAACGTTGTTGGTAAACCCATCCGCTTTGCCTGAAATGGATAGTGTTTCTCTGTACATAATTGATGCATATTGACTATATTTAGTTTTGGTAAGTTTGGACGGTGCGTGTCTGCTCTCTTCTTTTAAATTCTTAAGTAATATTTTTTTTTTAAATAGAAAACCAGAAATCAATGATATGATTTCTGATAGTTGATGAAGCTAATCGAAAAAGATTAATCTTATATTCCAATATAACATTTTTTTTAAAAATCTTAATTCTAACCTTCGGTTTTTATATCTGCCATTTTATAAAAAAAATCAAATGATATGAAATTGTTCTAAATTTGAAATTTAATTATCTTCTTTTTGGTTCTTTGAGGATGAAAATACGATTTCAATTAATACTTGATTTAAAATCTATTAATTTATCAACTTGGGATATTAATTTCAAGTTATTATCAGATGAATCGAATGTTAAGATCGGTATCAAGTACTGATACAATCTTCATTGGAAATGTTATCAGAGAGTCCAGAGGCTTTATCAGATTTTAATACATCTATACATGGTGTCCAACATCTATCTGCATGGAGGTTAGAAATTAGCACGAACGTTAGACACAGTAACGACCGTTTTTTCGTGCTCTATCAGAACTGGTTTGATAGATTTGTAATACAGGCTGACATTTATAATTAGAAATCTATATTTACCGCACATAAAACTTCGTTAATTTGATAGGTTGTTCCTACTAGTATAACGTAGTGGCGTATTGTCTCCCGTGTAAATTTGCTCAGCCATTGTGAAATATTGGCAGTTTTCAGATCAGCGGTGAATAATGGTATAGCTGATTGAACTACATCTAGAACTGACGGTGAATCTGAAATGAGAATAAAAGTGCCATACAAATGAGTAAAGTGTTTGAAACAAAAACACAACTTATTGCAATACAATACATTTAGATCCAACTGAGTAACACCATTGTCATTATCTGTTAACAGCACTGTTCTAATTGCAACATACAAAATATATAATTGCTTCTGAAGTTAACATCCCACAGAGTAGCTATTGACTTTTTCCTAAGTAACTAATAAAAGCTTTATTTGCTCTCAAGACACAGTTTTAATAAACAAAATATTCATACATGTAATAGTTCAACTTTCAGGAATAGATCTAACGTGAATGAGCAACGTAATTAAGATTTTTGAACATTGGCAAAAGTTCCCGAATCCCAACTTACAGTGGCAAGTATCGGCAAAAATAATAATTTTAGCTAAAGTTGTTCTCTGGAGCTTGATGAACTCAATTGCTGTAATAATGATTGGATCATTTTCCGGAAGTAGATTTGACGCATGCGCACAGTAACATCCGGTATAAGTTGGTCTAATGTACGGTTGAAATATAATGGCTAGAATATCGGCTGCTAAACAACTGGAAGAAATATCTACTATGATTGTTTCCCCTACTCGAAAGTTACCACATACTGAAAATGAAAATAAAAAAGTTTCTGGCATTTTATGGTAGATGTTAATTGATCGGTGTCAATATTTCTTAAAAGATGAGTTCCCTTATTTTCATTTATGGAAATAAAAATGCTAATACTTATATGAATAAAAAGTAGAGGTGTTCTAATAACTTGCAAAATACCAGTTTGTCTCGCATACCCATGATTAATTCATAATTAGCTAATTTAGAAGAGAAATACCAGCAGAATTCCAATGAGTGACCGATCAAGAAAGGTCAAAAAGTCTTTTTTGTTTATCCAGTCTGTACATACATGGACATTAATGATTGGTTAAAACTCTTAATTATATGCAATAAGAACATAATGATATGGTTAAGAATACATGATAATTCATTAGAAGTACCAATTAATCAAATAGTTTGGTTAATTTGAGACTAAACAATAAGGAAACCCATCTTTAAGCTAACCCGTGTGTATGGTGGATATCATACCATTTAAAAACTGGCTATACCAGGTTCGTTCATAGCTTTGATAATCAGTTAAGATATACTCATGCAGGATCATGGGAAACAATTACAGGATTATTGTAGTGGTGTTGTCATAAATTAATAAATAACTTACAGTACTGGATGATGTATGCAAAATTATCTGTTTCTTGAACATCCAGGACTTTAATTGTAATTCCTGCTTCGTAGCTGGTAATAACTGGCAGGTTTTTCCATTTGGATTCGAGTTGTGTAACTTCATCGCTTTTATCTGTTAATAATACTACAAAACAAGACAAACGGTACTGTATAGGACGATATGCAAAATTTTCGAGTCCTTTGTAATCTATCAAGTTGTCTACCGCAGTCTAGTTCTAATGACGTTATTTAAGCCAATCAAAGCGTGTCATGTGGGACCCGTTTCTTGATAACTATGAGGAATTGTGGGATAACGAAGCCTAAACAAGCTGTTGGGTAAATATATCCCACAAATCGCAGGATTTATGTTATGGAATATGGGACATTGACCTAACGACGATATGAATTACCTTTCCTTTATCCCTTCCATCACATGGTAAATTGTTATGAAATGGTCGGAGAATCGTGATGAATCAACCAAAGCATTTTTTTTTACTTTCATATCTGTTTAAAGCATATTTCTATCTATACACACTCTTGTTTTGTCCACAGGAAACAAGCCTGTAAATGTTCTATACCGCACCAGAACAACAATAAGGATTTTTGTAGACTTACCTATTTGTGCTGTGCGGCAAGATGAAAGAAAACACACTAGTAAATATACAGGTAACATTGATGACGTCACAGTAGTAAAATACAAACAAACTTAAAACGGTAAACTGTAGAGAAAGTAAAAAACAATGAAAATGGTGGTTGAAAGGAAGTAATTGATACGAAGCGAAGTGAGTTTGTTTGGTTATTACCACCAATCAATAATTTACTCGATGATTTCTCTATTAGTATGATTCTAGGGTATAATTGTTATATTGTACTCATAGCTGTAATAAAAATATTAAAACAGGACCTTAAACATGTTGTTACTCCGAGTTTCACGTTGTGCGATCATCACACAGAAATGATCATTTGCGATCTTACAGCGACATGAATTAATTTTCTTAGTCAGACGTGACGAAAATAAGAGAAAATGTCCCTAAAAAATTACAAACTTAAAAACAGTCAACCTCATACCACGAGTTATGCGATCAAATTGCGTTCTGCGTTTTTATACCGCTCAAGGTGATGTTACAACGCATTGCAGAACAGATCGCCGATGGACGAATTTAGTAGCGACAATGGCGACAATTGCAAGATGTCTGGTGTGTCCTACACGTTTATACCACGCCTTTCTGGTGTAACGGGGCCATCATGGTCATGTATGAACAATCTGGTAAAGATAACAACAAAGACGTATGGTCTTGGATAAGTTGGTAGTCACAAACCTGGGGAGTAATAAGTTCTTTCTCTTATTAGTTACAAAGAGAATCTTCTACGAAACCCATATTTTTCAAGAAGAAAGAAAGAACTTCAATACGGAGCTAGTTATACTACTACTAGCGAAGAGGAAAAAACTTCCTCCTACAAACAATGATCGATTCCAGTTTGTTTTCTTTCCATCCACAACAATTATCATCATTAGCGCTTGAAGTGAGGCAAACACTTCTGACTGAAGACAAATATTTCGATTATTGGATTTAATACAGTGAAAGTTAAACGTTTGTTTAAATCACTCTATCATCTAGAAGTGGTCCTCAAAGGAAATGTAAAGGGATTTTCTTAACTTTTGTATGTTCTTGTGACACTGATAGTATCGATTTCCACCATTCCAATTTTACATACTTTGAGACAGTGATGCCGTGTTGAATTTTATGAACCATAGACGTCTGACTGCAAAATAAAATGATGCAAATCGATGCTGTCAGTGTCACCGTTACACACAAAATGAAACATCTTAAAAGCTATTCTCCCTACTTGACACCTGAAGTCATTTTTAATTATGAAACACTTACTCACTTACGATTGATATACTTCCTCATGTGAAAAGTTCATTAGCTGGTCCCAAAATGTTCTGGATTTCGGGTTTCGGTTTGCGGTTCGAATCGTTGGTACTTGGTTTATTTATTCAAGGTTCTTTTTGTGGCCTAATAATTAACAAGAGCCCTGATGCTACCACACCGTATTTAGAATACACAATTCCACACAGCTAAAAATAAGGTCATCTAATCGATATAGGCCTTCAAGGATATGAAAAATCTAAGATTCAGTTTGTTTCATTACAAAAAGGACAATCAAAATCAGAATTAAATTGTGGGATTTTGAGACATGTTCACCTTTCCGACCAAGTCAATTATCAAAATATTATACAGACATCATTTCGGCCCATAAAATTAAACTGTCGTCACTTCAACCTGTGAGTATTATTTGCTTGTAGACGAACCTAAAGTCCTAATTAATCCCGCAAAGTAAACATAATATTTTAGAGGTCTACATGCAATAAAGTTATTTTAAAAAGGAAATACTCACCGTATTTGTCTCTTTAAACCATAAACGAACAATAGCCTATTGTTATTATAGTCAATTTCTCTCTGTTATTGTTTTCCTTAGTTTATTGTCTCTCTATCTTAAACTATTAGTCAACCGGAAGTACAACATTAGTAGATTTTTTGATTTCAACCAATCAGCTGGTTGGCATTTGCTGACATTAAGTGACGTCTAGTTACGGACAGTTCTTCCCTGGCGGTATAATAAATATATATCTTTCTGATTTATATATTATCCTTTATTATGAACACCGTACGATTCCATAGCTATATATTAAAGTTTAAATTGATGACAGAAATCAAATATAAGCAATGATAAATCTTCATTAAAATCCATCAAACCGATAAACATCAAAGCAAACAAGAATAAATAATTCAGATATTAGTTTCTAGTATTTTATTGAGACTACTCGAACCTGCCAATTTGGTGTAAATTTACTGTGAATTTTAATAAAGATTCTATTATATAAATTTTATTCCTGTCTATTTTCAAATAAAATAAAATTTTAATGTAAATACTTATGGATCCATAGATAGAATGTAGTTCTTCGTCCTATTGTGCTCTACTTTATTGAAATTAGGTTTTATGTTCAATTCATTAAAAAAAAGCCAATTGAATGTTTCATGTGCTAAAGATAATTAAAATAAAATAAAAAGGAATTTCATGTTAATTTACTCTTAGTTATTAGACCAGAGCTACGACCTCTTAATCCGAGGGATTAGGGTTTCATGGTTTCCAGTTTAGAATGAAATGAAACTGTTTTACGTCCTTCTTTTCTGACTCTTTATTTAAGACATATAATGTCACCTTAAGTTCAAATTACATAAAGATTTGATCTAATCTCTTAGTTAGTGCATTTCATCTGATTTGATAATTCGCGTTGTAGAACCTACAAGGGGAAGTAATTAAGACGGACATAAATGGTGATCTTTACAGAAAGGTTAAATTCAAGGCGTTGTCAAGGTTTATAAATGTGAATCTAATCTAGAAAATAAGTGAAAAGTGTGATAAAAATCAGTGTGAGATTTTGATTTGGATTAAAATAAGATACATCTCTTCGTCCGAGGAGATAACACGCTATCTGGAATGTTATCAAAGATAGTTATCTCCCTTTATTAATGACATTAACTAATCAAGACGAGCCTTGACTGGCCACTCCATTAATTATGAATAGAACAAAGGTCGTTTGAGTTTGAGAAACCTTATTGATGGTTATCGATGAGATTCGATAAGCGATAAGATTACTTAATTCCTCGAGGATTACAGTAGTAAATATTTTATTGCACACACCTATCCTTTGTTACTCGATCGTAACACATTTGTTGACTGTTTTAAGGCCTTTAGTTTTTCAATACTTTGGACTTTGTTTTCTAATTTTATTCATTATTCAAATCTTATTGACTTGTGATTATTATAGTCTAAGGCCAGTTTGCCTAAAAAATAAATCAAATTTTTATGCGAGTATGTTTCACATCATCATTAACTGTAAGTTCGTATAACTGGGGTGGGTTTTAAATCCTAACCGCTCTACCGAGTTAAGGGAAGTAACTCTGAAAATCAAGTGATTTTGTCGTCGTTATCATGATGGTGATAAATTCCTAGGTTTTTTTGTGTTCTCCATTTCATTTTTTACATTGAAATTAGTTTATTGCTATTTGGATCATGCGTTGAATCAGACGAAAAATATCTTAGTGCAAGAAAAGAAATATTTTTTTGTTTCGTTTTATCTTTTAAAAATCTGTGATTCCATAATATGAACATCACCAAAAATTCGGCCAAGTTTAAAATGTTTCGTTTCGTAGTATGAAATCTGTAGTCCTTGAAATAAACAATATTTATTTTAGCGCATATTATTTTGCGGATGGGTGGATGGGATTAAAACCCACTCATGTAAATGAATCTGTAGACTCAAGACAAACAACACGATTATGGAATTGCTTTAAGCACGATATACCAGCATGAAAGCATGTAATAGGGCTTCGTATTTCAACTATCATCCTGTTTTTATCAATGTTTGTTTGAAAGCGAATACCACACAAAGGGACGGTTAATCAAAATTAGGTTTTTGTACAACGCCATATTATTATTTTAGGTTAATTAAGCTTGGATATAGAGACGCGTCTTTTATCTTTCTTTTTGATCATACAAGAAACTGGATTTTCTCCAATCGATAAACTGGCCTTTGGTAAATATTTTGACGATGTTTGTTATTTATATTTTGAAATTGAGTAAATGGAATCTAATGATAAATAAATATGGTATTGTTTTTGATGAAATTAAAAGTAAATATTACAACATGTCTTTTTAATTAGCAGGAAATTCTTCTAAACTCTTGTTGTTGTTTTAAAAAATGTAGGTGAAAACTATTCTTTGTCTCCACATAAACGGGGTTAGTTCATGTAGATAAATATCAAACTGGTATCACAATTAATCGCTTCTTTACTTACAGTTTACATTAAGCCAAGATCTTGCAAAATTTCCTGCAATGTCAATTTGGCCACAGACAGAAACCTGAACAACTACGTGTGATTAGATGCGTATGTAATCACGAAGAGCAAGAGACTCTCTCTGTGATCCGTACCCAAATGGAGAAGCATCAATGAGTCTCAATACTGATTTCATACCTAATCGATATTTGGATATTTATATATAGTGATGCCGAGAAGTCTCAGAAATTTCAAACGCATTTAAACCACAAACAATAGCATGTACATCATTGTCTCGTATAAAATTAACACAAATGAAAAATATATAACTTTAATGTTCTATACATATCAAGTATATCTAGTTCCTTCTACACAATTTTGGCATTTTATTTGACATCAACTGTTCATAAACATTAAATAACGGAACACAATTTTATAGTATACTAGTCCTTAGTTTTATTGTACACAACGCTTCAGTAATAAAACTAAGGAGTAGTATACTATACAACTGTGCTCCGTTATTTTATGTGATCTCTACATCTATACTTGGATTAGCTGTACCCACATTTCGCATTTAATAATATACTAAACTACAATATTTAAGGCATAAATCGATTTTTTAACATTTTGTTGTTTATAGTTCATTCTGATTTATAACATCCTTATCTCGTTTTACAAATTTGACGTACAGTTCAAATATTTACCAATTTACTCGATGTTATGAGCTTAAATTATTTACTTATAGGGTTAATTTTACAAGTTTAAGATTTCAAACGTCCAAGTAAACTAATATATTATGTTCATCTGAACACCAGTTATTGAACACCAGTCATCTGAACATCAGTTTTTGAACATCAGTCTTTTTCTGGTTCAACTTCGTCCTCTTCATCGCCAGTTTGAATACATTTAACAAAGTTATTAATAGTTTCAGAATAATAGCACAATTCTATAAATAGTAACACGGCGGCTAACGCTGCCACCGATAAAAATATAAAGAATGGACCAGCCAAACTCTCCAAATCTAAAGTTTGAGCTTGACTTGTTCTATCTGAGCCAGAGCATTTATCTGAGCTTGGCCACCATTTTTGTTTCCACTTGTCTATCAGACCTGCTTCTTGCATCTTCATTATACTGAAAAGATATAAAAAAATTTTAGGATCAATCTGACATATGTATATAAAATATTTAACAATTCATTTTTACCACAAATAGTTGTGAAAATCTGAAATCTCAGCTTCTTATAAATCTCTGTTTTATTAGTATAAGCTTTATCAAAACTAATACAGACACCTTCATTGATAAAAAACTAATCTTTTCATCTCTAATTTTCGAAATCTAATTTGGCTAATATAACCAGAAACGAAATAGCGGATTAAGTTTTTGTTAAAAGACGATAGATATTAAAAAAACAAAATTAAAATCTGATATCTTAGACTGATCAATTAGTTTTGAAATATGATTATTGGAGATAAACGGATCAAAATATCTTCGCTGGTAATTTGAAAAGTTCATATCAAATCGAATATCAATTAAGAACCGTAAAAAGATAATCTATGTACATATTTAGAATCAGTTGACAAGAAGTGGGCTTTCTAATATAAAGATAAGTGATAACGTTATTCTGAATCAAAACCGATATCTTTATTCGATTCATGCCATTTTCTTAATCATTGAATTTTTGCTAGTTGACATCTTCTGACTTTAGATTAGGTTATAACTGAAAGGCTCAACTATACAAGGAATTGTAGAAATACATGGGGACATAAAAACAAGAACAATCGTACTGCCAGAACCCTGTTTAAATACCCAAAATAGTATAAGTATTATACTGTAAATTATCTAAGCTTTGCCTGTAATATCATCAAATCTTATCATGGAAATTTTGCTTTGATTAGGTTACAATGAATAGACTCCAAATACACGATTTGCCAGAATCCAGTGTTAGTGTCCAAACATGAGTTAATATTACGCTGTACATTATCTACCGCTTTGTATAGTTTTCCTGATTTATTAAAACATATCTAATACAATTCTCTTGCCTCGACTGCTATAATCGACACAGCGTCTACAACTGCCACCCGGTTTAGACGTTATAACTATAGGTAATTCATAAGCAAATTTTGCAATATGAATTAACTACCTAAGCATTCAGCCAAACAAAAACATGTAAGTTCATTATTAACTATGATTCAACTTACTGGTAATTAAAGGCATCACTAAAAGGCGCATTTTCAGGTACGATAAAGCCCAGACCAGCTGTGTTGAATGATTCATCGGCCAAAGAATAGGTTTCACAATCATTCAATACTATATATTCCAGCTGAGATCTATCTGTCATGAAGGCAGTTGTCCCCTTTATTACATACTCCAAGGCATCGTTATTATTCTTCAATTTGGGCATTCCATCCATCTTCTCCCAAATATCTCCATAAATACCACCGTTAGCCTCCTGCAATTAAAAGAATTGTAAAGTCTAATACCGTTAAGAAATCTGAGAATTTACGTAATAGAAAATAAAGTGTATTATCAAAACAATATTTATTTTCTGGTAATCAATAACATAATATGTCTTAATGTGATGATATTTACTAGACATTTTGCTTACTTCTATATTTTGGTATTTTGGTGATTATCCCATTTGTTTCCCAAATTTATTGCAAACTGAATCTTATCCTAGAAGACAGGCATTTTAATGAGTACAAATTTAGTACTGACCTTAAACAAGGTGTATAAATTGGAACCATATTTCGCTAATGGTTTAATTCCATCTTGTTGTGATAATTCTGTTAAACTATTGATAGGTTTCTCTGCAATGGTGACGGTAAGAAAGGCAGCAAGGTTAGCTGTATATGTTGAGGCCATAAGAATGGTAAATAACCACCAGAATCCTAGGATTAGCCTCCCTGATATACTCCTTGGATGAGGTTCTCCACCTGAAATAGACGATTTGATGAAAGAAAAACTTCACCTTCACAATTGTTTGTAACAAATTCGAAAACAATGCATATTCAAAACAGATCCTTCATGAGCTGCAAAATTTGCTGTCCACACAATGCGGATTTTGATAACACTAGCTGAATAAATACGTAATCTACACAACTCGCTTACCTTGTTCCATATAAGAACCATACACGACCCAAAGACTTTCTTTTAACGTCATTCTGGGAGTCTCTGGGTATAATTTATGGTCTGAATAGGGTGAGGCTCTGTTGACTAGGTACAATAACACCCCAACCACAGCTACCCCTATAACGATACAACTCCATACCACGGGAGCAAACGGTGTGAACATTTTAAACATCTTGGTAGATTCATTATCGGGTCGTCTAGTCAGGATCCCAATACCTTCCTCTGTATACGGTTTGGTAAAGTCGATCACAGTCTCTCGTATAGATGTTATGGTAAATGGACCAACACCAAAAGCATTATTCTGAAAAAAGGTGTCATTAACAGAAACATAATCGAAACGACTTATTATAAATCAAAATGTGGCTGATTTTGAGAACAAATCAAATAAATACATGTACATGAACTAATCTTATAACAAAATACATAGCTGGCGACAAAACGTAAGTGTCAAATAGAATCATTAATGCTAATTTATTGGTGCGGTTGTGTTTGCTAACAAATGAAAATAAATGTTGAAATACTTGTGAAGTGACTAACAGGTTTGTTTTGAGACGTTTTATATGCTTTCACATTCCAAACCAACTGGCTAGAAGGAAATGTGACAGGGAGACCTACCCCTCTTACAACTTCCCCTACAATACCATTCCATCGACCATCATCTTCTGGAGCACCCCATAATTTATCATCCGATTCTTTAATAACATATCTAATAATGATACATTATCTGTTATTAATGGAGTAATTCTACTAATAATCACTAGTAAGTTTTATTTTATGTTATATATTAGCTTTTAAAGCGTGTATTGTTATTATTTAAAGAACTAATTGCTTTTCCAATTTTGTTTTACCGCACATAAAGATATATTAGTCCGCCTATACCTACTTAAAATTAAATTTCGCTGCCATCTCTTTTAAAATATCAATACAGAATCCATCCCATATTGTTTCATTACCAACTACAGTTTTTACAGTGAACGGAATTGCCTGAAATTCATTAAAACAGAACCTGAAACATGATTTTCACGCTTTGCGATCTAAAGATAACTGATCTATTTCAGCCTGTGTCGGAACTGAAGTTTGACAATTAGATATCTTTAGACAACTGATCTATTTCAGCCAGTATTCCTACTGAACTAAAACAAGCATACACCTTCAGACAACTGATTAGTCGGTCCAGAAAGTCTAAAACCATAGAAATTTGGAACATTTGTTGTTATCCGTAATTTGTTTAATTACTATATACTTTGTTTGTCCTTTGTTTGTCCTTTGTTCCTTCAATTAAATAACCTTTTGTTTTATAAATTTACATACAATCTAAAACATCCCATTACATTGAGAGAAAAATTTCTTATTATTGTATCTTAAATGGATTTCTGGATTATTCTCTGGGGTGTAATCCAGAGTTTGGAAATACATATATACCGGATGATCAGTACCCTCTGGAAAATATACCAGATGATGTCTTGTTAAGAGAAGGATCATCAACACCCTTTATTCTATAAATATCATCTAACCTGCAATGTACCTATCACCAGGGTCTTATTTCCAAAATCACTGAAGGTGTTGAGATATAGCTTAGCTTGTGGTAGTACCAATCCTTCCAATGGTGACCAATATCCGACCTCATCAAAACCACCTTGTAACCCATCATGTACGCTACATATATTATACATTGTACCCACTTGATAACCACGACTATCAAAGTTCAATCGTCCAGAACTTCCAGGTATATCAATCTGGAAACATAATGGAGCCTAGTAAATTTTTATATGATTTCTTCGGAGTAGATTTAAATATATAAAATGATTGCTAATACTCTGGTTCTAATATGGTGCAGTATTTACAAGAGACATTCAAGTCGAGCTCCGCAATTTTCCTTGAAGAAAAAAACAAATATACCACTCCTACTACATCTTGATACCTGGAGATCGTTCGAGTTAGTCAGTTGATAGCTTGTCCATGAAGTCGATGAAGTCGGAAAACCCCAATTTATGAAATATCACATATAAGTGTATGAAAAGCGAGAATTGTTTGCAATAGAAAATTGCACTAACCTGCAATACTCGCTGTGTAATATTTCCTCTATAGAGTTTATAATTAGTATCATTATTACACGTGCTGTTTTCATATTGACCTAATTCTTGTAAATCATCTTTGGTAATTACCTCAGAGATCATTCTCATGGAGTCGAGTAATCGTAATTGTAATATCTGAAATGAGTAAGGAGTTAGTAAGTGATAAAGCATAATCATTTTGTGATTAGTGACGTCATCAAACGCTTAGTTTTAATGGAATTTGCAGGAACCACTGACGTCTCATTGGAAAATGGAATGGTGCAAAATGATGTCCCCGATACACATACGATACATAGAAAACCTCTTTAACATTGGCGTTACAATGTACAATGAAAAACATTAACTTCTTACCTCCTCATTGTTTACACTTGAACATGTACCACGTGATTCTTGACAAGGGAGATAATGATTGGCGGGAAACAATAATTTCAATACGACAATGTTACTGTTGTTTGTATTGGCGTGTATTAATGATTCCGGTATTAATGAATCAGAATATATCAACCAGTAAAATATCGAACCAAGCATAGATTTTTGCTGAGCCTGAAAAACAGAGAACCAAACAACTAAAGATTTTGAATGGCTAAACAGACCAGAATCTTCTGTGAACCAAGCAGTTTCCGGGAAGTAAAAAAACAATTTCTAAGAAGATACAAATCTCATTCATTGTTATACACTTGACTTACATTGATTAAATAAAATTCACAAGATTTGCAACTTTTCGAACAACCCTCGAATAGAGTAAACCTTGCGAGTCTTGACAATACAGTGTTACTTCGTCATAGCTCCTGGCGAATCATGGAATCCTCACCTGTTGAAATATATAGGGTATAACGTGCGAATGGACCATAACTATGATATTTCTATATTGTGAATTCAGTATGGTCTGTAAATGGTTTGAGATATCCTCAGTAAGAACTGTTGTGTTTATCAATAAGCATATCACACCAATGTATCTATTTGAGATGTGTTTCACCATTTCCAGCTTTTCATAATGATCTGAAGTGTAAAAGGAAACACTTATCAAGTTTTTGATTATGTATCAAAAGAAAAACCAAAGACTAAACATGACTGTCTTGTAGGAGAAACACTGAAGCAGACAAATATTCAACGTTCCTGGTAAGCATGTTTTCCTACGGCGGTGGGTAAGGTAACCAATGGGACGAGATATTACTGTCGACAAACACCTCTAATCGCTTCAAGATCCTGTGTCATGATTACGGATCACAATGCTAATAGCCCCAATGGACCCTACGTTCCCTATTTAAGAGCATCCACAGATCGTTGCCGGTTGCAGAAGATTGTAAAGGTTATTATTACCTAAAAATTCATCATGTAGTAAAACTATTTCACTCCATTCTTCATTCGTAATGACCGCCATAATGGTCCCGGTAATGGAAGTAGAAAATGGCGTCAATTTAATCCCATAATGCAGTGTATTAGAACAGGAAGTGTCTGTGATTAGTATATGTGGTATGGAGTATTTGGAAGACCAGGAAGTCACGTGAATACTACTAGAACAATCTGATATGGTGATCAAAGCTTGACATTCTGCTGGTAAAGTCGTACAACCTGATAACAAAAGAAGTAGAGCGACTGGTTTAAAGTACATACCAAGATCACATCTGATAAATCCTCAGAGATAATGACAAGCTTAATGATGATCTTTGAAAGGGTGGTCAGAACGTTTATTGTAAGAAGTGAAGAACGACTATCTCTCCTATTATTTTAGTATACCAGAAAGCTTTAGACAACTTTTGAAATACTAACAGATTGGTAGATACCATGAAGTTTATCTATTTCATGTTCATATGTTTAAAGGGACCTGTTGGCCATTTTCGGGGGTTGATTTGGGTCTTGAATATATGTAAATATATATCCGATATGTCATTTCTATTAGGCAGTCTTTTTAACTTTTAAACGGGAATAATTCTGGGCACATGTGGATTTGAAGGTTAAAATTTCGACGGCGAGCCGTGAACACATTTACTGTTTAGCTTAGCTAAAAAAAATCCAGTATGTGAGACTTAGTGGTGACGGATGGCAAACCCGTTCCTTTAAATCTATCACTTACATTTCTTTATTTTGTTTTCTTTGGTTCACCCAACCCACCCATTAAAGGTCTGACTTCAATATAAATAATTAATTTGACCGGATGATCTTAACACAACACAGCACGTATCCACAACACAGCACGTATCCGGCTGTATATTTGAAACAGATTGATATCGTTTGTATGCAGGATATATTTACCTAGTTCAGAAAACTGTAAAAGCTGAAAATTTGTAAAACTTGTGATATTTGTTATGAATGTCAGATCCGAACTTTTCTTTTCTAATCGAAAAACGTCTATAGTATCTTGAACGATTCGACTCAAATTTGATTCTGTTGTGAAAATGTCCTCTTGATGTACAATACCTGAAAAATATGTCGAGGGAAAATTACAAGATTTTCTCATATTTTCTCATTAGATTTTCAAACGACATGTCTCTTTTGATTTCCAACTGACGAAGGATCTATGTCTTGCACAGCCTGTAGCACATGGGGCCTCGGTTAAATGTCCGATCTGATCGACTGAACAGCTTTTCCATGTCCAGAAAATGGTAAAAGCTGAACATGATTGACATCTGTGATTTTTGCATGCAAATTAAGTTACTGGATGATAAAAGTTGATAAGGTAAAATTGGTAACAATATAGAAAACATTTCAAATGTGTTAATTAGCTACCACAGAATTTCATCACATCTCTTGTAATGTCGTGAGTAGAGCGTTGCAACCAGTGGCGGATCCAGGTTTACGCCAGAGGGGGTGGGGCGAATTATCTGAGCTTGCCCGAATTTCGAACCTAGTTATGAGATTTTTGCCCCCTCTGTGTCTCCCCACCCCTTGGACTCCACCACTGGTTGCAACACCAGGATACTAAATGGTCCCTGGTGATTAAAAATTCAATAAAGTAATAGATTGCCATGACAATAGCAAGTGGTAAATAAATAATAAATAATAATAATATCATACCCATTTCATAATAGAGAATACACCAGATAGAACCGGGTTGAGGTTAAGCAGGGTGTACTTAATAACTCTTGGTTATGGTTTAATATTGATATAATCTATTTACAGCATCACATAGCTTCAAATTGTAAGGAAGGTCGGTTGTCTATTGTGCCAGTGACTACAATTGTTATCCATTGTCAGCTTAAAGCAATACAAAATCATGCCAGGTGTAGAATCAGGTAGCACTGGATCAGTATGTCAAACATAGATATGCCCAAAGAGAAAACGCCTGTGCAGCTTCGATAGTACCTTATTCTGTCAGGTTGGAAGGCGTTACTCCGGATTAAAAATCAGACCGTGCCCCTTTATTAATCTCTTTTCTTCATATATATTTTACCGTTTGTAAATATGTAATCTACATATCTCTACATATACATGAAACATTACTTACACAAATTCAGGGTCATTGAAGCACTGACATTAGTCGTTATCATTAGAACTAGACAAATAGTACAAAGTGACATATTGTCGTTTCAAATTGTCTCCTTCTTCTACATCAATTTACTGTCAGTTATTTATTACAAGAAATATTTCATGATTGGCTCCATTCTTAATGGCTGGGTTCATTCTGAAATTCTTATTTCTGAAAAAAACAAATGATGTTCTGTTCAGAGTTTATTTATACTCAACCGGAAGTGGTCGAGCGGTTGATTGGCTGATTCGGTAACTTCGGTTTATATGAATGAGTAGATCAGTAAAATAAATCAAATCATTAATTCAAAATTGAATTCGACAGTCTATTTGGTTTGCGAATAGAGGTAACCCTAGTGGGAAAAGAATCAAGGCCAGATAGTCAAATAGAACAGATCATTCAAGCTCAAATCTCAATAATACGGAAGTTATCACTAGAAAAATAATTGAAACATGTTCTCATGAATTCTCTTTTAAACAGATACGACTGTATAGATCCACAAACAAACACAAACATAGCATATGAAAAGGGAAATAGTGATAGTGTTTTATTTGATTCACGTTACAAGGTTGTTTATCAGGGTTTATATTTACACAAAATACATTCATTAATAATAAATTCATAGCTGATGGCACTTTACCAAGAATTATAACATGTCTTCTCGAACTCTGAATAGAATAAACACATAGTTACATCATAGTTTCACGGGAGCAGAGTACACAAGAGACAATGCATGGAACGTGTATTACAAAACACAGTTCAGCAGCTGTTTACTGGTCAATCTGTATGACTCTATGGCATATCCAGGTTATGAACCTGACTTTTATTCTTTAATTTCTCAGTCTAAGTGTACATATGATATATTACATCCTTTTCCCCTTTTCTGTGACATAATTTTTCTGAATATCTTTCCCGAAAAGAGTTGATAATAAAAGTATTAAAAATAATAGAAAGTTTGAACAAATACTTACATTTTTCATTCAGCATATTTTCTTCCTTAGTATTAGGTTTTATCTGTTCACAAAACATCCAATCTTTAAACAATTACAGACTAATCACAAAAAGTAACAGAGGTGTTTACAAATCTAGAATTCCTTTGTGAATCTGCTTTATTAGTAGATAATAAGAACTATAGAATGACACGGTCAAGTCGTCACACGAACCATTGGGTATCAGAGATCAGTAGATGTACAATGACTAAACAAAATAACTATTCGGGCTCAGACAGAGCCAGATGTCAACAGGAATACAAAGCCATGCTGGAACATTCAAGATGTTATAAATCGTCACTGCCGGATGTCTTAGATAGTCTTACTAACCAACATAAAATAAAACAATGAAATAGATCACGAGATTTTTTATTATGAGATCACTCCTATCGATTACTGTAAACTAACGAGGTTTTTCCGATATTTACTTTTTCTGCTTAGAAAGTGATCAGAAATTCTACCAATTAATGAGATTATTGTTAGAGTGATAAAACAAAAGAGTGTCACACGAACTTAAGAAATATTCTTAATTCCGATAATCAACTGAATTCAGAAGATCAATGGTGTTTAAAGAAGCTAGCTTTAAAATTTGTGCCCACCTTAAATTGTCTTGATGAACAAAACACTTGCCAAAATCCTGATTTCAGGTCAACTACTGTATTCTGGTTTATCAAATCAAGTCTTTTTTGCAAGTTGATAAGTGATGACCAAAATTATGTTTAGAAATATCCTTTCTCGTTTGTAAACTGTTAATCCATATAAAAAACATTTCCTCTTTTTTGTGCACACCAAGGAGAGAACAGTGAGTTTGGTATTATACGTAATGTTGATGTTATTGTTGTTATAATTGTATTGAGTTATCGGCCATTGATACTTAGGTATTAATTACACAGTTATTCATTTAGAAATCTCTATATCGCTTTAACCGTGAGATTTTTTGTTCTGTTGTATTTATTCAATTATTCATTTTCATTTCTTTATTTTTCGTTTATTTTTTAATTTTTCAATTTATTTAATTTTTTTTTTATTTTTTTTAATTTTTAATTTTTTTTCTTTTTTTAAAATGAGTCTTCCACTTCATCAGCGGACTTTCCCGGGGACAAAACTATACGACAGAGTCTCTCAATGATCTAATAAATCCAAACAACTAAGTAATAATTCATTTCACTAGAAGCGTTTTTCTTACTTAGGTTAATTATTTCTATTTCTATCGTGTTATATTGATGAATATGTACTCTTTTTGGCCACGTTCGAGACTTTTATCTTATGTCCATTCTAAAAAGGAGTATTCCTTTATGTAACTGAACCTCAATATTTTCAGAATATAAATATATATATAATTTTCTTATAGATTTGGATGTTGTATTTCATGGATAACGTTAGTTTTCTGTGCAATTTGTAACAGAATATTAATGATTTAAATTCCCATACAGAAATATTCCGAGAATGACATTACAGTATTTTCAAATGGGTATACTTTCATTTATTTCATACGGATTTGGTATTCGAAATGAACATGGTAACAATTCGATTGGTTTGAAAATGAAACGTGTAAAATCGATCTGTGAATATCGATCATTAGGTAATATTAGAATTTGTTGATGATTTCATTATCGATTTCTTGTGTGGAACCGTGTTTATCTTAGGATTCGAAGTACTTTTGCTGCTACTTAAACAGTTCTTTGTTTACATTATGATATTATCTCACAACTTCCTAAAAGAAAAGTGTCTGTCAGTCTGTTATACGAGCATAGTGTAGTAAATACAAAACCGATACACAAATACAGATCATGTTTATAATAATGATAATAATGATAATAATAATATAAATAATGATAATGATAATGATAATAATAATAGTGATAATAATAATAATAATAATAATAATAATAATAGTAGTAATAATAATAATAATAATAGTAATAATAATAATAATAATAATAATAATAATAATAATAATAATAATAATAATAATGATAACAATAGTAATAATAATAATAATAATAATAATAATAATAATGATAACAATAGTAATAATAATAATAATAATAATAATAATAATAATGATAACAATAAAAATAATAATTGAGTGTAAAATATAGGCATATTAGAAAGAAAGAGACACATTTTACAACTATAAAAACTTTGGTTCCCGACTAAGGATCTATTCGACCAGCGGCTCTTTGGCCAAATCTCTTGGCATTGATCGTTAGGTTTTGCGTCTGGTTTGACGTGGAATATATAGTAAGTTGCATTTAGGATGTATAGTATGAAATATTGATTAATAAAACATGGGAGGTTTTATGATGATTTTTATAGCGTTTATTACACCTCATTAATCAGACTATCAGAGTTTCCTTCATATCAATAATTATTATGTATTGTAGTACTAGTATCAACCTACATGTAATATTGTGGTTCCGGTTTCCTGGTCCCTGGTTGGCAATAATACAACAATGGACCACATTATCATTTATTATCGAAAATTAAGTGATGTTTATTTCATATACAATCATTGACTTTAATGCAAAGTGTTGATCATCACCTATATGAGCAGAGAATGTAGTTGCTGGCGAGCAAAGAAAAGGATACCATGCAGTGAATTTGGGGCTCATTATTTTTTCTTGTCAAAGGATACACATATAATAACGTTTCGTCTTTTGCTTTTCATGATTTCGTTGCTCCTATCATATTCAGGATAAACCTGACATTTGTGATATGGTGCATGTGATAATACTTGACACAATCACCTAATTATAAGGCTTGTGGGGATCATTTACTATTGTCCAGTGTTTAGAATGATCAGATTATTTCAAGTATAAGGCGGATTGGAAAAGAAAAATCGTGGCACTAGCCAGCTGACAAAGGTGAGATAAGGAATAGGTGAAATAAGGTCTAAGCACTTTCCTGTTCAGTAACTTATCATCAATCATTTGATCTAAAAACCTATTCATCTGTTATTTTGTTTAATCATCCATATTTCTTTGAATTTCTACCACAGGTAAATAACGAATTTTTAAAGATTTTAATAATTTAAAGTAAAATGACATTCAAATTGGGATAAAGCAATAACTCAATGCATCAAAAGAGTAAAGGAGACCAACACATTGATACAATGTACACTTTGATATCTTTTGAAGCAGTCAATCAATATTGTGGTGTTTTTTTCCCCTTTTTGATAATTGATTTTAATACAAATGTAATAGATACAGTTGATAGACTTCTTTCACTTTCATGTTACAAATTGTAGCTCGGTGTGGTATAAGATGATTCATACAGTAAGATAGGAAAAGCGAATACAGAAGTAGTACGGGGATGGACACGGATTCTAGACGTCTTAAATGATGTATGCTTCTTCTATTATCTATTGCATCGATATCCCCACAGCCTATACCACACCGGACACTCTACCTCGTCTATTGGCACTTCAACACAATGAAGTCTACAGTTTTATACATATTTGCAATGGTGGTTTCAAAAATCATTGAAAAAGGGGATCAATGTTCAGCAAAAACACCGGTACATCAATTCAAACAGTCTATTATTTCTAGATTTCTACCATGGAGTTAAACTGACTCAAATATGAGTCCCTTTAATTGTCATTTATTGACCTGATCTTGTTTCTGTTGGTCTGGTGGTTTTACAACTGTCGGTTGGACAGGTTTCACTTGAAGTACATTCGACTGTAACATAAAACATATTTAATATATAAATCAATTGACTGTTTCTTTCTTTTTTGTCCGACCAATCATACACTTGGATCTCAGAAACGGGAATTTTCGGCTAAGCTATGTGTTCACAGTCCACCTTCGCAAATGGAGCCATTCAAATCCTGAATTATCCGCGTTTGAAAGTTAAAAAGACAACTCGTCTTCTCTTGAGACTATGCCTTATTTAGAAAAGACATATATAGTAAAAGAAGGTTAGATTGCTAGTTTGAGGCATTTTTGAAGGAATTATTTGATTATCGTACATTTCTAGTACCTTTAAAGACTATATACAAATATTCAAGACCCAAATCAACCCCCATAATGGCGCACCTTTTATAGCCGATAGACGTATATATTTCTGTAGCTACGATACAAGATATCATTGTCGCAGTGTTACACAGATAATGTTTTAGGCTTCATTGATCTGAACCTTTCTGACGATAGCGTCATCTCTTTTCTGTTTTCCTCTGACTGTGATGCTGTTAATTGAATTCAGTGAAGTACAAAACTTTTTTCCCAAACGTATTCTAGACAGAGGTTTGTCCCAGTTTCAGTGACAAAAAATAGAGTACAATTGAACAAAGGCTAGAATCGGAAACCATTAGACTGTGGTAAAAGTTTTTTTTTATTTAAACCTCAAACAAAGTCCATCAAATAAACATGAGAGATCAAAGAGGCAGTAAAATAAATAACAGAGGGCAATAACAATAATAATTTCCACAGTTTTAATAGGGTCATCATGACTAATTGTTATATGGTCAGTTACTGTCCCATTAGGACTGTCTAAACCAGAACAGAGTACATCTGGCTGGTTAGAACAGAGAGCAGCTGGGCGTTGATTTAAGTGTAGGTTAATCTCAAAGGAAAAATCACACGCAAGGTTGAATTGATGCATGACAAAGAGCTAACAAAAGATAGAACGACTATACGAGTCTTTACTTGTAATCCATAATGGAAGTCGGCGAGTGAGAAGTCAAGCATAAAGGTTCGCATCTTCACAATATTACAGGATGAAGATGACCTGTGGCATATAATTATCAGTCTGCTCTCGTAGCCAACAGCTGGGGTTATAAGTATCTAAGATAAACATTTTCATAGGGGTGAGAGGTCAAATAGTCCATGGAAATATAAGGTTCAAGGCATATATTACTTCCGGTGGTTATATCCAAGGTATATGTCATCCATTCCATCGGTTGTATCTATCAATTTGTACAAACAATTAATCAGGATAACCATTAGACGTCAGTATCCGGTTACAAAAATCTATATTACCTTTTTAGTTACTTTAGCTTTGATCCATAACAATTCTATTCCCAACACTATTACACCGGATACAATTCCCATGACAACCACAAGGAAACTTCCGGTAAGTGACTGAAGGTCAAGGCCTTGGTTACTCGTGTCTTCAGGACAAGATACCTTCCCATCATCCCACCACTTCCGCTTGTAGGTTTCTAGTTTTCTATCTTGTTGTAGATCTAAAATTCTGAAAAAGAAGATCTGTGAAATTGAATTGAATGGGGTTATAAGTTGACCTGAAGACTGAGTGTTAATTTTCAGAGGAAAATGCTAATAGCATATCGATAACAATTTGGTTTTCCATCTAATCTCAAACTAAGACCAAACTAATCCTCCATCTATGAGTGTTCGATTCACACCTATGAGTGATCACAATAACGTTTTCTATATGGTAATGCCACATATTACATTTCTATAGGAACAAGAAGTGGAAAACAGATGATAGAACTTCATTGCTTAATCTGGTATGGGGTGATAGTCAACAAATAAAAATGATTCTTACGCTGCTGAAATCTTCTTAGTATACACTGATTTTTCCTTCAATGCGAAGGCGTATGGTCGGACACTAAACTGGTCACCTATAGCAGTGAGTTCACAGTTTCTGGAAGTGATGTACTTGATGATTGGTGAGTCTGTTAACAAGGCGAAATTCTCAGAAAGGACCTTGTCTATGGCAGCATCACTGGTTTTAATAAAACCTGTCTTTCTGATCGATTTCCAAATCGTAACATATTTATCACCTAAAGGATAGTCCCACACTGCAAAACTACTGTTTCCATTTTCAGCGGTTCCTAGACTCATCTCTTTCCACATTGAGTAGAAGTTCTCCTCAATGGCCGCCATTCTTTCAAAATAATTGGCTACTGAAGATTCTGCCACTACACTGTACTTGATATCAGATTGTTCTGCCAAATCATCCAGTGATGATACAGTCACACCCAGTCTAGAAACGGTCAGAAAGGCAGCAAGGTTAGCAGTGAATGTGGACATCATAATCACAGAGAAGAACCAGAATCCTGCTACCAGAAGTCGAGCTGAGAAACTTCGTGGTGGATCTCCTCCTCCTGAAATATCGTGAGTTATTCAAATCAGAATCCAAATAGATACACATTCAGAGAGACTTGGAGGGTGGAACGACGGATGTCGAATATTGTCAATATTATATATTATTATATATTGAAAAACTTGAGGAATAGTTTTAGTCTACGTCAAAGATGTAACAAGTCTTGTGCTTGTTGCTAAAAAAAATACCACTTTTTGATTGTCTCAAAGTTGTGTATGTCTTCAAATAAAACAAGTTCCTGCTAAGGACTACAGGGGTTACAAGATGAATATGGAAATAAAATCAGGTATTCATGTTGAGACAAAGAAGAGAGCTGTTGTTGTAGGAAGTACGGGTGGGAAACACATTACCTGCCATAGTAATAGAACCAACCACAAACCAAATACTCTCATGAAGGTTAAACTTGAACTCTTCTCTCTTTTCCACATTTTTAGAAAATCCTGGACCAGGAGAATATTTATCAAAGAGCAGGAGTAGAATACTAGTCAGGGCTATCACACCGCCAAGACATAACCAAGCAGCGTTGGAGAACACATCAGCGAAGTAGAAGATGTTGACTTGCTGTTTCTGTTTCCGCATCAGAATCTGGATACCAGCGAAATCGTAGTATGGTAATGTATAGTCTACCACTGTTTCTCTATCAGCTGTAACTGTCATGGCACCAACTATGATATCGGCATCCTGTAAAATAAGGATTGTCTTGAAACATAAAGAGTGGAATTCAAATTCGAAGGTAGTACAATGGACTTGCTTCAACAAAAAATGCCTGTAAATGATCTCGAACTACCACTTTTAACAAAAGAAATGATCAATCATGGATGTCTCTATATATTTAATGATTTTGCATAGGACCCAGTATCTCAATGAACTTCTTCCAAAAATCTAAATTACAGTTGCAAATTGACATAACCCATGTTAATTGCACAATATTGGAATGGAAGCAAAGCAGCCTACCCCTTTGAGTATATTACCGACACATCCTGTCCATCTTTGATCGGAATCCAAATTGCCATACACTCCGCCATCACATTCTCTGATAGTATAGGTGAATCCTACTCGTTCTGCTACATCATTCATTACATCTATACTATACCCTTCGTACATCACTTCCTGTCCACTAGTATTACGAAATACAAATGGCGGCTCCTGTAGAAATTCAAATATTCTGTGAATACATATAGGTACATATATCATATCCATCCCAACTAGCAACACGAGGTGGTTATCAACCGTTTTCACCATCTTCAGTACTAGCATTAATCGTTGGATTTGAAAGTTACTACGATGAGCACTAGTTACTACATAAATCCAGATACCAAGATATTTTTGTTATATGTGCTCTCAGCTCTAATTGTCTTTCAAATCTTATCTTAGAAATAAAGGGTAACCTACCACAACAACAGCGACTCTCAACACTACCATAGAATCTTTAATCACAAATATCTGTTCATCTGATTCTATACCAATACCAGGTATCCATGTTCCAATCTACAATTATCAATATTTCATTGTTAGAGTGCAGCAGATTCAATATTGATATATAAACGCAAAGTTAACTATCCAAGAGTCTAAAAAACAGTATCATTTGGGACCAAATCATCAAAGATAGGTTTCCTTATTATTTAGTGTCAAATTAAGCTAACTATTTGAATAATTGGTGTTTCTAATGAATTACATTGTATTCTCAATCACATCATTATTTTCTTATATTGCATGTAATTAAGAGTTTTAACCAATCATAAATGTTCACGTATGTACAGTCTGGATAAACAAAAAAAGACTTTTTGACCTTTCTTGAATTCTTCTGGTAATTCTCTTCTAATTTGGCTAATTATGAATTAATTATGGATATGTGAGACAAACTGGTATTTGTCCAAGTCATTAGAACACCTCTACTTTCTATTAATATAATTATTAGCATTTTCATTTTCATTTTCATAAAAGAAAATAAGGGAACCCATCTTTAATAGTGAACACTTTAAGGAGCAAGATCACCCTACCATCCTCCAGAAACTTGTGAACACATTTCGTGGTAAGGACCATCAAATAAGTACATGTATAACATGGGAATTTGCCTCAGTACCTTTTCACAACGATTATTAAACCTGTGTATATCAACTACCACTGGCTCCTGTGTAACACCATCTTTATTTATATATACCCCAAAACCATTCTCTGTTCCCATCTGAAATACAAGAAAATACAATAAATTCTCTCAACGTAGTACTCTCGTGAAGGATAAAATACTTTTTTCACAGACATAATTATGAAATTATCTTGGAAAACACACATTATGTTGTTTGTTCCATAAATATAGATAGAATAATAAGGTTTTCTGCATTCCATAAAACACATAAACAAGAAAAGATTTTATCTTCCCAGCAGACAAACCCGTTCAAAGGAATCGACAGCCACTGTGAAACGTATATTTTTCTGTGTTTTTTTCAAAATTCATTCTAGGATCACAAGAAGGCTTTGAGATACAGAATAAGTGAAGTACCACAGAGGAAAAATAAGCTCGCATCACCATACTTCCCATAAAGTTTATGGCACATCTTTGTGGACGTGTGCTAGTGTTTTTGATGTGCACAATGAGTGAAGTATCTAAAGATGGTTTATAACTCACCTCTAGTAAGGAGTCTTTAAAGAGCTGTCGACATTGACCACACACTGCACCACAATCTAATGGACAATCAATAGAAGGGTCTGATTGTATCTTCTGTACCATAACTTTTAGAACTGAATCCACCAATCTTACCAGCTTCTCTTCACTGTCAACATTAATTATCTGCAAATGGGAAAGTATTAGATTAATTAGAGTTTACGTCCTATTTTGATATACAAGTGTTTACAAGAAACGGGAATCTCCACTGAGGTCCGTTAGCTTTGAAAGGGATCCCTTCCCCATAATTAAAATTGAAAATTAACCTAGCATTACGGGGGTGGGGGGGGGGGGGGGGTGTTCTGTGTCCACAGATCCAATAACTTTGACAAGGAATTCTCAGTCTCTAGACAAGGATGCTTATGGGAACTATAAGAATAACCTTACATTATGAGATTGTTCTGGGTCTACCAGTAGAATAACATTAGCTTCCTGACATATATCACAATGTGGTAGTTTTCCATCAGTGGCAAACGTCACCCATCTGTATCGACCTCGTAACATATCCAGACGATACGCCTGGAAAAAAGAAACAAAAGTAAACATCTTTATTCTATAAAGCAATAAACTATCAAGTTCTGTTTATTAAAACTATCTCAGAAGGTTCTAATAAATATTTTTCTTTGAAATCTGAGTAATGAAATGAAATGCCGTCCTATATCCTATCTTTCTACGCATTACAATAATAAAAATAAACCTACCTCTTGTAACATTATCTCAATACAAGAGGACGTAGCTGAAACAAACACAACTTTCACCTCAGTTTTAGCTGTCAGATTTTTCAGTTCATTAGAAATATTACACGACTGTATAGGAATATCAATCTGAAACAGAATCTTCTTGGAGGAGAGATGGCGTTGGTGTTGGTGAGCTGAAAGGGAAAGTGAAATACAATAATTATGATCTATGAATTGCTTCAGTTGAACATAACCGATTTTGGGTAGTGATGAGATCAACGAAGCAATGTTTTTTTAGCAGGTTCCAGTAAGCTTGGCGGAATTTTGTACGAATTGTGCACGTAACACATATTTCAACAGGTCTGATGTCTGTGGGTATTGTAATTTCAAAAACAAACTTGATAAGTAGTTTAAGGCATTTCCGGTAGTATCGTCATAATCTGGAAGGTCATACCTCGTCCAGATTCATCAAACATCAAAGCCAGGGAATCTGTAGAAGCATTGGTGTAGATCTCCAGGTCCGACAGGAAGTTCTTGTATTCAAATGATACAGTTCTCACATTGGATATCAATTCTCTAAAATCATTGGGCAATCTAGAACACGTGGTCATGGCAGTCGTGACGTAAGATAATGAGTGTGATTGCAGCAATCCCATTGGACAGAAATCTGTGGAGGTGTCGATGACAACCAACCATTTGTTTTCAGATTCATATTCTTGAAGTAAAAAAGATGAAAAAATTAGTTAGCAAGAGTAACTGAGCTCGGGTGAATTATATATCATAAATTGCTCTGAATTGCTTTCGTGCACAACAAAGAAAATCCACAAAAATACACCCCGTGGTGTTTTAAATTAAGCAGAACGTAGAACACCGCATTTGACCATCTAGAAGATTGCATCTGATCTGATAGAAACAGAATGAACAGAAAACAGTGCAATGATTGACCTTCTCTAGACTTTAACCCAGAGATAAAATACATCTAGGGTAACTATAAACAGACAACTTAGAACATAATTGGATATGGTGTCTGCTTTATAGGTTGAAAACAGCTTACTTAAGAACGGTTTCTTAAATCTTAAATAAACCCGGAATAAATCGATCCGAACAGAAAATTCAGAAATAACAATAATATAAAAAATATATAGCATACGTACCAGTCCTCCAATATTCAATAAGCTGGTCACCTTTTAAATATTTCACCGGAAATGACGCAGTGAATGTTGATGCAGAAGTGTTATTGGCACCTAAAACTGATAGACTTATTTGATGTTTCAAATCAAAATGATATTCCGATTTCTCTAATACCACTGAAATAATGAAGATGAAAGTGTTTCAAATTACACTGAAGTGATCATGTTTAACGGAAGAGAACAATCCGTGCTTACTCTTTTCAAAACACCTGGTGGTACTTCTCTTTGGACAGTCCACTACTATACTACTTTAACTCTTGATTTTGCCATATTTTGGACTGAATTTTGATCAAATTGCTTGTACAAATTTTTAGTATCCCTTATTGTGTTATACAGCTTTCGAAGGTCTGTATATTTGATAAGAAGACCCAAATATCTGTTTTGTTAAAGTTGCAGCCGATATCGGTACATTTTTCATTTTGCTAGGATGTCCTAGCACTAATGTCGTTTCGAGAATACTGGGCCAGGATACTTATATACTGATACGTACCTATTTGTGGATTAAACGACTCTGCAGTATTGATTGTAATAACCAATATCATTAGAAAGATCTTCATTTTTACGACCTGAAATATAGAATCTTTTTGATTTTTCTTGATGTATGAATAAAGCCAAAAGCGTTAACACGTGTTTATGCTCATTAAGTTGGTGCCAGTCTGACAAACCAATACCGCAAATCAGTATTATTATTAATATTATTACATAGCTATATTGTTCTAAATGTTGCAAAACAGTTTTCTATTTCAGTGTTTTATTATATGCACCGTGTTTGCTTTCTGACAGCCTTCCCTTTAACAGTCGTTATCAGCAATAGAAAAGTGAAACGTGAAACGCTCATTTGATTTCTGTCAGCTTCTGATTCTTCCTTAATCTTTAAAAGAAGGACAAATTAATTTTATACCGAAAGAAGACAAAATCATTTAAATGCCGAACTTATGAAAATACACATCTGGATGTACAGTTTCATGGTTGTTTTCTGCAAGGACACAACCTGTCATCCATGTAAAGGTAAGTCACGTATCACAAAACGAAGGATAGTGATCTGCAATTTAATCAGATTTTACAATAATCTGAAAAATCAACCCCGCCAGTCCCTCATACGTGGTATACTGATGCCTATATCACATCCGGACATCACGTCTGAGGAACTGGATGGGGCCAGATTTGTCTTGCTAATTGTGTAAATGTACGATATAGATATACGAGAAATAGTTTTCTTTAAATACGTTTTCTTCTTGAGTAGGTTAATGGTACGATATAAGAATATTCGAAGCGCTGTACTGGAGTTTCACTTTCAGACACAATGTCTAAAAACCGGAATGTCATTCAGTAAAACTTGATACATTAATATTAAAATCAATAACGAATGAATGTTCTACTTACCGATGATTACTGGAGGTTGATTAATTATTGACGAGCATCACTAATTTACCTGTTGATTGAAGTTTTTACCTGTCGTGATTTACCTGTGTCCCATTCCGGTATGGTATATCAATGATTGCCTTATAGGAAGCATTGTTATCGGGCTGCTCGTGCTATGGTAATTTCCGTCATTGATTCACACGGTCATCATTATTATATATTTACTCGTCTATTGCATGCAGGATTTGTATGATTATTTTCTGAAAATCAACTGTAATGTACCATGTAATTTCCAATATGGCCTCTTTTTTTTTTACAAATGGCTGCTATAGCTTTCAACTACTTTGTACATTTGAATGTAATGTTGAAACGTTGCCATGTTTACAATACGGCTGTCGTTTATTTCAATATGTCTGGTATGGTTGTCATTGCTCCAATATGATTACCATGTTTCCAAGAAGGTGAACAAGGTGGTTGCAATTCAACATTAGACTGGGAGTTCTAGAAAAAGCTAAGGGGCCACAAATTCCAAGATGGCTGCCAATTTTGCAAAGACAATTTTAAATATTGCGGCTGCGCATTTGTTTCAAACATGTTAAGTGTATCAGAACATGGGGGATGTTAATAAGTAAATATAAACATGAAGTAAGAAGACTAAAATCATTAATAAAAGGAAGAATTAAGGGAAATAATGTACTAAGGAGCATCAAGGACGGATTAATCAAATTGTCAGGTTTGTCTAATGAGCCACAACTCATTTACATTGTCGTTAATTATTGTTTTTCGAGTAGAATCACAATGATTTTGTCAAATGTTTGCTGTATACAGTGTCAATATTGGTATTAGTTCTCATCTATAATCTATATATTGAATATCAATAGACACTGGTGATGACGTCATAGATCAGATTATAGATCACGTGATAACAGGTGCGTGTTAAGATGTATAATTATGTGAACAAGATAAGAACAAAACAAGAAGAATGTCGTAACGAGTTTATTATACACTTGAAATACCTTTTCCAATCTCTCTCTTATTATCTTAATAGTTACAGAACAATTGGGAGTAAATCTCCAACCATTAGAAAAGTACGATTAATGTCCCTTAAAGTAGGAATAAAGAAAGCTTTTCAAATACCGGTGCAAATTAATGAGTTCGGGTATAGAAGATAATTAGTATTTGAACGTGGGATGACATCTAAATAAAGATCAATAATAACGAAATTGTAAGTTTTGGCACACGGAAAGGAAAACAGGAAATGTACATGTTTAAGTAGCTCCGTAATACTTATTATTATAATATTATTGGCGATTGCAAACTCCTTTTACCCTAATTAGCATCAAGTATTTTCACACGACATGATGAAAAGCACGATACTTCAATAAAACATGCGATAGTGCTAATTCGACCCTGCCAATGGCTAGCCTTTCCTCTGTGTGCTCCTGTAAATTATCATTATTTTCAAACGATAGAACCTTGACGCATTCTGTAGAAAAAATCTTGTATCTTGGAATCTGACTAAAAAACAGGAGACAGGTTATCGCAACGAAATTCTCTAGGATAAGGTTAATCTTGGAGATGAAATAGAAAGATATAGTTTTATCAGATCGTACGACTTAACTGACCTATCAGATAGCCACACCCAGTTCTCTCTCCTTTCCATTTAGTTACCACTATCTACTGAATAAATCTTCTATCTAGTCGGATATCGAACTAAGGACATGGTCGAGACTAACTAGGCTATCTGGCTCGTGGATCTTAATTGGTTATCGTCTTACTTAATTAGTATATGAGCCTAAACAGGTGCCGTTTCGTAGAGAGAAATAAAGGGGAATAATTAAACATAGCATAGTGCATAAGGGGAGATAAACAACTTCCGGTTTCATTAGTACTACCATTATGAAATGATATATTAATAAAAGATAAATTGATTGCTGTATGCAAGAGTCAGGGGAGTTGTAGTAATACTGATGAAATATATTTTGGGGTTTGAAATATTTAGGGGGCAATGAAGAATGTATTGAAAGAGAGGTTAGTCTTTTAAGATCAGGCACTTCCGGTTTCAAGGACTGGAAGACGATATATCAAGGGGGCTAATTATGAAGAGAGATTAAGGGAAATGTAACTGCTCGGACTTACGTACTGTAGAATTTAGAACCGTTTGGTAACTATTATATGATATAGAGCCAAGGGGTTATGACCGCTTAAGAACTGCAACTTGCGTTTGCTCTGCCATCATGAAATAATATCAGCGATCGCGTTACACAGTATCATAAAATTATGGAGGTAAGAAGATGATTTTAGTGTTCCAGTCATCTGATTGGTCAATCACTATAATAAATTTTATTTTAAGTTTTATTATCCAATTAGATTTCTGTATTTCTTAAAATCTGGAGCTTATCTTACTTAGGGTCGATTACCCTCTTGCACGACCACATATATATTTGATGTTTTAAATAAAAACAGCTGAAAAATACGTTCATTTAGAATAAAACGATAATCAGCATATCATAATTGCAATCATGTAGCTATATTGTGAAACTGATCATCTAAGCAACTGTCTTTGATACCCTTCCCTTGGTATTTTGAAGAACAAACAAGACGTTTCTAGATTTACAATTTATTAAAAGCACATTTAGACATTTTGTCGATTACTTATTGTCTCTTCATATCTATTGACATCGACCAGACTTATTAAATGAAGTATCTTTTTTAAAAGGGCAAGATAGTTATACACATCAGAAAAAACTAGAAAATCTCCTTACAACTTTAAAAGCTGATAAATACTCTTGAAGGGACGAAAGCTGTGGAATTCGGAGTTCACCATGAAAATTAAAGGCGCGTTCTATTTCGCCGACATAATTGAAAATGTAGTTATATAAGAGTTTACTTATCAGTCTAACTTTGTGCTTTTGGAAATATATTTCCTCACTAAAATGCATCATCTTATTCTGGAAACGATGCGCTGTTTGTAGACTATACACCCATGTAATATTACAGTTCACGACATTGTTTCCTATCGAAGCATGCTAATGTTCGTTCTATGCGTCCGGTGGGCTATTGTCTAGTGACAAGCCTTGCTGTGATAACAACGCGTTATTAGAAGGTGAAACTCACATCCGGTTTACGTATTTGAAGAAGAACTAAGACCAAGACCAAGTTCAGTCAGTTGCGGTGTTGAAGGAGACTGTATTATTACGCGGGAGAGTAGCACGTTTAACACACTTACAACGGAAGTACAAATGTTCTAATACTAAACATAAAAACGAAATTATTGTAGTCCCGGCAAAAGCTATAAATGGTCCACTAGTACTGTCTAATTCAAGACTTTGGACAACATTTGTGACTGTGCTCTCTGTACACGTGTTTGTTGATGTCCACCATTTCTGTCGCCATTTTCGTATCAAACCAGCTTCTTGCAGTTTTATAATACTGAAAAGACAGATAACTGATTTTAAAGCAAAGGAAATAACTGGATTGTATCTTGACAGTAAGATATTGCGTCAAGAACTTCTGATATCCATTAAAGCCTTACTAATCAAGACAATCTCGAGGTCTAGAACCTTGTGAACGAGTATGGTGGCAATGGTTTATCAAAATCAATGTTATGTGCTCAAACAATGTCTCTGAAATATTCCGATGGAAGAAAAGCAATAATAAAACTAGTGCCCACAATATTAAAAAGGCTTACTTATAGGAGAGCTGGTCTAACAGCGGTGAATCTTGACCAACAATAAACCCCATTCCACCAACATTGAACGGTTCTTCTCCCAATATAAGGTGCTCACAGTCACTCTTTCTCAAGAATTCAAGCTGGGAATCGTCCGATAAATAGGCGTAACTTCCGGTTGTCACCAACTGAATAGCTTGGTCATGAGTGTATACTTCCGGTGCTTGAAGCATCAGTTGGTATAACTTCCGGTATCGCTCTGTTTCACCTTTCTACAAATAGTTTGAATGTGTATGTAGATATAATGTATTATTTGGAAGGTGTATTGGTCAATAGAAAATTAGAAGACATCGGAGGTAAAAACTAAGAAGGACCAAAAATGTCAAGAAAGAAGCAAACGAAAGATACAAAAATAACAAATAATGCACATTAGAACATAGAACATTGTCATTCTGTTCAATGGAACATAGAATTGAGTTTGGCGCAACACACCGTTTACTTAACAACAGCAAGGTTAGAGAGCTAGCGATCGTGTAAAATCGACTAATCGACTGGTTCTGAGAGGAAACAAGCCATCAAATGTGTGACTTACCTGTAAAAGAGAGTATAAATTCGACCCCTGTTTGACGAGAGGTTTAATCTCAGTCTGTGCCGCCAGATCGTCTACAGTTTTTATAGGTTTATCATAGAAAGCTACTGTCAGGAAGGCAGCTAGACTGGCTGTGTAGGAGGAGATGATTAATATAGTAAAAATCCACCAGAAACCAAGAATAAATCTTCCAGAGGCATTGGCAGGGGTAAACTCAGCACCTGAGAGATAAAAATGTATTTCAAATTATGTTTGATCTATATAATTGCAGGAACAAGTCTGACTTGAACCGAATCATCTCTTTTAGTAATTTTTGAATAATCAACAAGCCATGATGTTCCCCATTTAATCAACAGATATCTAGATACCACACTTCTACCAATTACCATTTGTTTCAAATCGTCCATCACCAGCGCTACATTCTTACCTTGTTCCATATAAGATCCATAAACTATCCAGATATCATCACAAATACTCGTTTTCTTCTCTCCGTTGACTGAAATTTCTCCAGTCTTACCACGAAATGGACTGAATTTGTCCACTAGTCCTAACACTAGTCCCACGCCAAGCAGGACACATCCGATCGTTATCCATACGTTTGTAGTAAATGGTTTGAAGGATCGGAAGATTTTCCCATAAATATCTTCAAACTTTCTGAGAATGATCCCAGCCCCGTCCTCCATTATTGGTGTAGTAAAGTCGATGACTTCTTCCCGCTCGGAAGTTAGTGATATCGGACCAATTGACATGTCAAAATTCTGAAAAAATGGTTGATACAAAAAATATTAATTTCAAAAAGATTATGTATAACGTATATCATTCCTTTTCCAGGTGTTCTGATTGTTTTGCTGCTATTATTCGCTGCCTCATTATGCACTGTTGCCAATAGCACATAATCATCAATGTGGACTCTCTAAAACTAATACCTGGTTAATAGTATGCAAATATAATATAAGGACGCATAAACTTCTTTACAATCCCTTTCAGATAGGTGGGGAAAAGATGTGTATTTTGAGTAATTTGAGATATATGAACAGTCTTATACCTACCCCATCTTTAGTCTGTCTTACCAAACCATTCCAGGTACCATCAGGACTCGGGGCTCCCCACTGTCCATCCCCTGGCTCTCGTATTGTGTATCTATAACAATATTACATGTTTTAAATCTGCATATATGCTTCCGGGAAAAACAATAGTGGAAATAGAAACAAGCAGAAAATACAACTTATGAATGGGGTGGACCAGCAGGAATTTGAGAAGTGAGAAGCAAAACAAAAGCTCAAAAAGCATTTGGATTACATGTAGCCCTAAGTAAGGTAGGGTCATGGAAACGCCAATATGATTCGTTTTATCATGTACGGCAAAAGAACTGTTTCTAGATTTACTGTAGGGAAAAAAAGGGTGCGCGATATGTTCGCAATTATACAGTATATTTTTAACTTGTGTTTTTACTCTTTATAACCACATCTCTTCCTACAAAGTTGTTTAGTTCAACCCAACAGGTACACAAGAAACAATTTGAGACATGAAATGTACCTGAATTTCAATCTATAAGCCAGTTCATTGAGTATATCAATACAGAACCCGACATATTCTCCATTAGCCAGTTTAATGGTAAATGGCTCAGCCTGGAATATCAATATATATGATTAAAAGAACGAAACAACTATACATTATCAGGGGCCCTTATTCTCCAAAACTTAACTAATATAAAATCAAGATTTTAAGAAATACAGTAATCTGATTGGATAATAAAACTGAATTTAAAATCAATTTTAGTGATTGACCAATCAAATGTCTGGAACACTAAAATCATTTTAAGTTAAGTTTTCGAGAACAAGGACCCTTGGTAACAACTTAGGTTCAGAGAATCCGTTCTACCAGTATTGTTATACATGTAATTGAGGTTCAAAGTTATGAAATGTACCCCTATGAACATTATATTGCACAATCTCTGTCATAAACTACGAAGGTGGTATACTAATATACAGCTCATACTCCCGATTGTTTGGACCAGATTTTTGATCAACGGAATTGTCTTGCTTGTACGGGTTTTTATTGCTGACCATGTACGGGAATATGCATTCAGTAAAGCCAACAACACTTATTACAATAATACTACAAGCCTGAATACTTCATAGCTTGGACTGCTACTTTCTAAAGCTTCACAACTAAAGAGAGATACGATGATACCTACCGGAAGTGTACCAACTATCAAGGTCACGTTGCCGAAACCCGCGTCTTCTTGATCGAAAAGATCAGCATCAGTTAGATTCAGTCTGGTTGTTCGAGACCATTCTCCTACAGTCTCGGTTATTCGGGGAAACTTTGTTATATAGAGTTTAGCATCAGTTTTGTATCGAGTTTCGTCAAATCCGTTTTTCGTCATGTAAGTTTGTATCTACATAAAATAGAACGGTCGAGGATAGAAAGATTGCTACAAATTTAATTTGCTACAGAGAAGCCGATATTTGCGAAAAATGGGTTCCAATAAGCACAGCAAGAGTCACAAATAATACTTTGATAAGAATCGAAATTGAAAGTAGTGTTATGTTCTTCTTTTTACACTCTTTTCGATGGACAATGCCTGGAATTTAACCAGGAAAATGACCCAGCACACTAGTTCAAAATGTTGCTTTGAGTAAAAGGAAATCGATCTTAATGTGCCAAATGAAAATTTAGTTCACTCATAAAAATTAACAAGAGGTTGTTGATTTAAGACAAATAAAGACTGCTAAGGCGGTTGCCCAAACACACATGCTCTTTCCCCAGGTATCGGTATTTATGTGTCACAATAAAGGAACTACTACAATTATCAAGTAGGAGGTTGTGAATTAAAGATAAATACCTTATTAGAATACGCCGGAACTGCTTTCTCTGTGGAACAATCGACAATCTCGTTTAAGTTATTTATCTCGGGCTGAAGATTCAGCAGTAAATTTAAACTGTATTCTAGCCGAACGTTTACAAACTACAAGTGAATACATAAAGAAATCCATTGAGCGTTTTCCTTATCGTGCTCTTAAGATAATATTTAATATTTTTCCCCTGAAACAGCAATATCACTGGAACTACAGCTTTTGATGTGTCAGCAAAATAAGTGAACCTCCGAATCAGATCAATAAGCTAATGCCAACGTTCCAAACCGCAAAACGAAACCCGAAATCAAAAACAACATTTTGGCGAAACATTGGTAGCAGCTAATGAATTTTTCAAATGAGGAAGTATGTCAATCATAGGTATTTCATAATGAAAAGTAGTATCAGGTATCATAAAAATACAGATTAAAAGAATATGTGACTCCTTTGTCAGATCTTGTTAAAGAGATAATCATACATACATCAGACCGGAAGTTGTTGGTATTATGATCGGGTATCCAGGACGTCAAGATTATACCACATGTAGGGATTTTATCGGAACTATGGTATACTCGAACATCAAGTTCTTCTTGAACGATGATATTATGGAAATGACTAAACTTCAACTGAAAAAAGAGTATCCAATAGGGCCTTAACTGTTCTTTACTGTGGGCACTGCAGCTAAGCAGAGCATGCTTATCCTTTTCGAAACACTTGGTGGTGCTTCTCTTTGTCGGAGTCCACTTTTAGACAACTTTTACCCTGGATTTTGCCATGCTTTTACGAGATTATCATTCACGGAATTGTCTTGCTGAATCTTGCTTGTAAGGATTTTTATTACCTAATGTAAATTTGGTATTATTTGACTTTACATTTAATGAAGCAGAAGATCCCTGTCTGAATTACTGCCTCCTCTGTAATTCAATCTTATTATTGGTCCTGCTTATTTATTATTCTTGTTCTATATATTAGAAATGGGAATGAATACCTTTTGAATAACTAGTGGTATATTACTGGGAGTAACCATTAACACAATACAGTCTGTAGAATTATCTAACCCTTCCAACCATTCATTGAGTATTACGTCATCAATTACTGTGCTGATTTGTGTACTTAAAGTAGTGACATAGCGGAGTGATATATCTTTGAAAAAGGTGTCAATCATGCCGAGATCTGGAAATACAAAGGAACTTAATCAGACTTCTGTAATATAAATCCTAATATTAGGTTTTAATTTATTATATGAAACTTTGATAATTAGTTTCTAATGACAGCTTTTGCGAAAACGGAAACCGGATCATCAGATTAACGTGTAATTTCACATAATAAATATGAATATTTCGTTACCGATAAGATATATATTTGGCATAATATTTAATATCTAGAGAAATTTTGACTTCTTGAGAATTAACAGACGATATTTTTTAAATCGGGTTCTACAACGGATCCGTAAATTTACAAATAAACTTACCATAATATTCATCATACAGTACTGCTATCTGAGTAAAACCGCTGACGATTAGAATGTCGTGAATGGCCACTAACAACATATCATGTAGATAAGGTTGAATGACATACGCTGTTGCTGAAACAGGGTTGGCACTACATGGTGTAGTAGGAATATAGAATACCGGAAGTTGTAATTTGCCGGTGATATGATTGAAGAACCAGATATCTTCACAGGAAGTGACGATTATGAAGCCATTGGTTGAATTATCGACAAGATTACACACTGGAAAACAAACATGATTTTACATTTTGAAAATGTTTTATAATTGATATATGGACAGTCGAGACGTTATGGATATAGATATTTGCCATGCAAACTTTCAAATTACATTGTACATGCCTGATATGTAAATAACGTTGGTTTTGTCTTCTTCGAATGTGTGTAAATATTTGTATCCACTAGAATATTGTGTAATAATATTTGAGAAACAAACAAACTTCAAAATTCAATAAAACCACTTGTAATACTGTTGATAAAGTGAGACGACAATAAATATTGTTACGTATTCAAAATAAAAGTCTGTACCTGAGGTGGCATTCAGAATTGCAGATCTGTCATAAGATTTTATTCTGACTTCCGGTTTATCATTTACTCTAGAACTTATGACGTAGTTCATTACATCGGTGACGTCAAAGTTGTTTGCGACGAGAACATCTGAATAGCAAAATGGCTTATTGAAAACAAGGGAATGAAATTAAATGGAGTTTTACGCTGTAGACTATTTTTTATATTATATAAATAAGGGCAAACGTATTTACAATCCGGGCAGGGTGGGGAGTATGAAACTCATGGCGATAACCTACCTATTTTAGTAGAAGATAAACCAACCAACCGGAAGTAGAAAAACACAAAGAGGAAAACGTAATTGGTCATAGTTAATCTGCAACAAAGCCAACATTTTAAAATTACTAACGATACTTAATTTTATTCTGCATATATTCATTATTATATAATTATGGACGCTTTGTGAAGACAAACCTATACCGAATATAGAATTCTAACCATTTGAAAGCTCACAAATCAAGCTAATGAGTGACGATATAAGTTTCCACTTACGAAAATTATTTATGGTATCGGTTTTAAATGTGTGCTTAGTAAACTACCAAAATTCTTTGACAAATACAAACAAAACTTATTCGTTGACATTTTCATTGAGAAACCAAACATTTGAAAATAATGTAAATAAAGACAAACTTTACCGTTGATGAGGTTTAATTGAACTGGCACTGGTATCTGGTCAATTTTGCTCTTAGACCTAATATTCCACTGCATCGAATACAATTCCAAAATTAAGTATCACATCATATATGCATATGCAACGGGTCACTTTTTCGTGCAATTGTTAGTATGAAAGCACTTTATTTTGCGATCTGTTTATTGTTTTCTACGAATGATCCTACATCAGCAGTGGAATAACAAAACCATATTATAGATATATTTCTCAACGTAACACTTTTCACGATTCAACATTTGTACGACACCGGAAATGCACTGTTTATCTGGCGGCTTAGCAGAAATCACATTTGTTCTACAAGTTCTACGAGTTGTTTTGAGTTGACACGCTCGTGGAATTCCTGACAATACAACAGGAATTGATTGATCTGATACGCCGTACATATCAAACTCTATACTGTATAGAAGTCAATAATAGTTTTATTGAGATAAGTAGGCCTATGTTAGGGTATGCTAGGGTAGAGGAGGGGATAGATTTAGCAAACCGTGTTCCACCTTAGCGAAATTAAGACGGAAATTTATATGGGAAAGTGGGGTTTTGTAGGGTAACGTAGCCTATTTCCTCAACAGAGAGAGGACCATATATTATATAGTGGCGGTGGCAGTGGGGGAAAGGGGGGCAGCTGCCCCCTCTGCCCCCCCCCCCTCCTTTGGCTCCGCCACTGAATCTGGAAGGTTTAAAATTTACAAAATTGCTATATGCGTCTTCTGATTCAATGAGTTTTTTGTTACTTCATGTCACATGTACAAACATTGCTCTAATCTATACAAACGAATCTGGGGAAGAATACCAAGGTCTGATACGCCCATGTTCATAACGTATTGATATCCTATATCCAATTTATTTTATGAGACCAGACGATTTGTAAATATAAATATCAATAACTCTGATTAATAAAAGGGAGAAAACCGACACCGAATCATTAATTAAAAATCACAACCGTTGGGCAAATGACGTATGACGTGTGAAATTTACGTGCAGGTTGCAATTTAGTGTAAACAACGAATCAGTATACAAGGTTAAGTTGTTGTATTAATGAATGCTGTTGCTGCTGTTTGCTGCTGCTCTTGCTGGTGATGATGAATTCTGCTGCTCTTGTTGCTACAGCTGCTGCTATTGATATGACAAATATTGCTGCTGCTGATGAATGATGTTGCTGTTGGTGCTACTTCTGTTTCTGCTGCTGTTGATGCTGTTGATGCTGATCTTTAGTTGATGGTGATCCGTAGTTGGAATAAATAAATGAATAAATGACGATGCTACCCAATTTTTGAAATATAGATACGACTCCGAGCTAGCATTTGATTAAATACAAACGAAAAGATGTTACGATAACGACTTCATAGATTATTGATAAAGTATGAGTGATATTGAGACTGTTCCCTGGGGCCCTGTCTAGGTTTACCACTAATTACCACCAACGATTGTTTTTATTTGATATTTATAATTCCTGTAACAATATTGGCGTATCCTTAATGAGGCCTCTCAAACACTCGCGATTGTTATTCAATTTTCACATCGTACGTTTGATCTTATATCAATATAATTAGGTGAACTGTTAATTTAAGGTATACAAACCCTCGCTAGCTATGTTGGTATGGTTATTTTTGACGATCCACTCTCAAGCTTGATGCTGTTTATGTTGCAGAGCGCGGGTGGAACTACTTAGCACAATGACAGTACTTTTTGGTGTCGTCAGAATTAAGAAAATAGTTCTCGGGGCAGCATTTACTACGCTTCAAAGCTGGATCACAGACAGTATTTGTTGCAGCACGGGTATCCACTGATTTTCAAGCAGGGCTCATGTCTGATCGAATAAATTAAAAGATAAAGACGTACATTAGTCCTTTAAAGGAAACGAAAGATTAGCATATGCTCTATGTCGGGGGTTTTCTTTCTATTACACCTTTCAGAATCGATCGCATTACCTCCATTCCCCAAATAAATCCTTACTATTACCCCCCATTTCTTTATAAATCCTTACTATTTTATGCCGGATTACAAAGCAACTCATCTACCTCTCTCCCAAATTCTAAAGTACCCCATTGGTTGAAAACCCCTGCTCTAACTAAATTTAATCGGATGAAAATAAATCAAAATTCAACGTGAAACAAAACAGAAAAACTCAATAAATAAACTCTAAACGATATGAGACATTTTATTGAACATTAATATCAGAATATTTAAACTAAATATTGCACCCAAATTATAAATAGAGAGAAAACAATAAAGAAACAGTCTGTAGAGATTAGATTGTTGATCTGCACCCCATTGCTGTCGTATTAACACAGTCATTTTATTGACATCTTACCGTCTTGTTAATTGTACAAGGTACACTACGTACACATAGCCAACAATGTCTTTTATTTCTAAATCCAAAAATTTGTGTGATAAGAGAAATTATTGACACAGAAGCCGGGCATTTAATCTGATTAATCCACATTGTGATTTCTAACTGCTGGTCATCACGGTGGTTACAAAAAACTTTTACTTTTACACCGTTAGAAATCAGCTACAAAATTTGTATCAGAAAAACTCATTATATATTTAAAAAGTGCATGTGTGGATTTACGTTTTTTTGGAAACAATTGATGATAAGAGTATTATACTAAAACTTACATGCAAATATCAGATTATTGTGCTTTTTTATCAGAAAAACGTATCATAATACTTTTAAAAAGTGTTTGCCTCGCTTTATGACTTTGGTGAATAAGGAGTATGTGTATACTAAGAATAACATAAAATAATCAGATGATCAACCAAAATTGATGTTTTTTCTTTTAGCTAAAATCCGATACAATATAGTTCTATATTGTTTCATATATCCATACATGTGATTTAAGGAACGTGTTGAATCCTGCTATGCTGTTGGTTATAGTTAGATATACCTTCTGAACACATTGTGCAACTCTGAGATTTAGATTCTATATTATTATATTTTAAACTGGATTAGTTCTGAAAGCTGACATCTTTATGAATAATAGTGAATATTGAAGAGAGTGCTAATTATTCAGACCATGTTAAGACAAACCATATTTCTGTTTTTTGCAATATCAACTTTACTACCAGTGATTCGTAAGTGACAATTCGTATCTTCTTTAATGAAAAAACACTAATTATGTTCAAATGAAGCATGCTTACGCTCAGGCAGCATCTGATGCTTCCCAAAAAGTGGCTAGAACTAGATTTCTAGGGTGCGGTCCACTTACGGGTGGGGGCCCGTTGAATTGGTTCAGCCAGTCCCTGTGGTAGTGAAACCACTGTTTCGAGAAGAGGCAACTAGGTCTCCCTGTCATATATTTCCTCATCTAATAAGCTATTACATGTAATATTTCTTACTATGTTAACTACTGCGTATGTTTCTGGTTTGGAAATAAAAGGCAAAGACTACCCTTATAGATTTCGGAGTTTCTCCTCTACGCCTACGCTTATAGCTGGACCTGAATCGAATTGATTAGAAATCTAATGTGCATAATAGGAATATTTATTTCAGAATCAGCGTGTAGTGTCAACTCTACTATCCTGTCATTTAAAGAAGATGTTCCAAAAGGTCGAAATTCTATTTTAGTCTTTTCTCTACCATAACATCCTATCGTAATTTCAGAGAACTAAAAAACAGCGCAACTATTAAAAAATCATATGGCAAAGGTTTTCAAGTGGGAAAAATCTTCTTTTTAATATGTGTTCTATTTATATTTTTCAATTAGCGATCAAATTACTACTCGGACATTTCTTCTCGAACAAATTCATTATAAAGCACATTCCTGATTAAAATCAGTCTTGACTCCGGGTAGCTATATCATTAATGTAATAAACACCCAGAGAACAATCGTGGCCAAATTCTTTTTTTCAATTCAGTATGGTAATATCTGAGGTTGCCCGAATTTCGAGCCTAGTTATGAGATATTTTCCCGAAAAAAACATGCTTTCGGGGCTGCGAGGGAGGGGAGGGGGGGGGGATGACCCCTCTGTCCCTCCCCCCTTTGGTTCCGCCACTGGTCTGTTTGCTCTCCTGTTGTCACTACTAGCCCCGTTCATAGAAACGCCATTAAGTCCATAGTAATGTTCTGTACTTCTGTGCAGAAAAGGCAATTATCAGGTATGATGTTTTGTTAATGTTTTGTATGTCTCATGTTAACCTTTATGTTGAAAGTCTGTTCCAAATCTGACCAGAACGACCAATCTCTGTACCAACACAACGGTAAGTCATATAACAAGGTACGTATAAACGATTTCATAAATAATCACCAAATTCTGTCTCGACATATGTATGGGATGCATTTCATTTATTTCTAATACAATATGTGTATAATTATGGCACTCTTTGGTATGGAAGTGTAGTCTGTTCACAGTAGTCTTTCTTTGCTACAAGCACAGTTTATTGGCTAGTTGGAAATGATAGCTTCGCATGTAGTTTCAGTGATGACCAACTTTTCAGAAAAGCATTGTTTTATATCTGCAAGTTGCATGTACATCTAATGTCTTAGCATAACACCTGCTTATCAAGTGCTTAAACGCGTGAATTTTAATGTTGAACTGTATTTATACCATTTCAATACTGTTGGTATACATTATTTCACCGCTGGTAAAGTTAGCACGCAATGCGCACGTTTACGAGATTTCAGTGGCTTCTGCTTTACAATTCATGGTAAGAGTTTTCTTCATAGGTCTTGTCTGTTTTGAAAATTTAAGATGCTTCATTTTGCTTTGAGGTAAGGAAAATGTTGGGTTGTTTTATGTTAAAGCTCACTACATCACATAACAACGTCCAATGGATCTATCTCGTTTTGTACCCACATCTGAACACCGAGTAAATCCGTAAATGGACGAGGTACGGTGTCCGGTGCGGTGTACGTGCGGAATAATCAATACAAACGGAACTGGAAGAAGTTAATAGACTAGGTAAGGGTCCGGATTTATTTCTTGTATTTTCTACTGTATCGATAATCCCTCACCGTACACCGCACCAGACACCGTACCTCGTCTATTTAATCATCTTTATTGTCTACAACCATCATACTTCAACAAGTTTTATTACCTCGCTGGTGCATATAGTGATTGACTATATAATATATCTTTAACTATTATGTAATTGTAACAATAATATCTTTATTCGATTTGGGAGACTATTATTACAATGTGCCATTGTTATTATAGGAACTATAATTATGAAGATACCTCGTGTCAATGGTGAGATGTGGTCATTTAAAGAGGACGGACCGAAAGGTTACATAGAACTTAAATATAACGGACAGTTTGTCATCTTCTACTTTCAAAAATCTCCAGATCTCGAAGAAATCAACCCGTTTAATACTAAGGTAAATTATACACCTGTTCCCTCCCTGGCGGTATTTCCAGGAGTAAATCATACTTTGGTCTCAAAAACGTCAATTGTTGTGCTAAGCTAATCAATAAAAATGTCCCCAGCTACCATAGAAATTTGATCCTTCAAATCCAAATGTATCCATAATAATATATGTTTTATATTTTAACGAGTCTCATTTTAAAAGACTTATATTTTCAAATATGCGTTGATGATGACTTAAATCATCCTGCCCCACTTCATCTACGCACAGATGCGACGGACATGTCTTGGTGTCAGAGACTATATCAATAATACGTTCAACTTCGGATAAATCAAATTTCAGAGAGTAGATAAGTTTGTGAACAAAATAAAAAAAATGTCATTTTTCTAGTTCGGGGTCTGTTTGAAGGAATTATGCGATTTTCGTACAGTTTTAGTAGTCCTAAAGACTATAATATACATATATTCCATGTTCAAATCAACCAGAGTAATGTCGCATCTGTTCCTGTAATAGCCGATTGACACAACTTAGGTTGACATGGATTGTTGACATCCTGTTCGGTTACAATTAGCTAAAAGTGAATTGAAGTATCTGTCAGTTTTGTCAGCGAATGAGTATACGACTATACCCCTAACCAAATGGTGGTCGTGGGTTATTACCTCAATCGGCGTGTGAAAATCTGGTGGCCTGAATACATCATCTCTCCTCATTACACCAGTCGACTTAACTAAACTTTATATGGGCAGGGTCATCCGAGAAAGATCAATGTCAAGAGGTTTGGCTGAAGACCAGTTGGTAGAAAGGATCTTACAAGTCATCCGTAATCTGTGTAAAATAAATTTTTGTTTGTACAACATAAAAACACTGAAAATAATGTACATTTTGCAATTTTGGAAACGATATTACAGTTACAAGTCAAATTATATTAACTTGTCTTCCAAAGTAAGAGAAAATAAAAAGAAATCAACTGTATTTAGATCTTTATTATAATCTGATCGTACTAACTAGCGTCTATTTACAGGACAGAATTAAGGAAGCTTTACCATTTACTCTAGAGTGTAAATACAAAGGCTGGAAACACGTGGTAAGCTGTTATATTTCAAACTTATTGGAATTCTTTTTCATTTTTTTTGATTCATTGACCCCCCTGTTCTATCTAGAAAGGATAAAAGAGGGGGGGGGGGGATGTAGCTTTCTACAGGTTGACATGGAAAAAGTGTCTGGTCGTTCGGAAGGGACAATAAACCGAGGCCCCGTGTTCTAGCGACTGTACACAATGAAGATCCCTCGACAATTCGGAATCGATAAAGAGCAGGTTAATGCAAAATTCCCGTCATCGCACCCTGCATGGCGTTGCCCGTTTTTATTAGCCCACGTGGGGTAGAATAGTAGGACGTAAAACTCCATTCATTTCATTTTCTACATAAGATAACAATACACGCTATTTCGAAAACTCTAGTCGGCGACAATTTTGCTGGATAGTAAAGCATTAGTATCAGGATCTAATTTTATCAGATGTCGCCAATGTAGCTAGTATTTGATGAATTAGCAAGGGCGGCCTGTGGCCCCTATAACTCAGTGAATACATAAAATTATTCCATATTCCAAGATGAATTAAATTATCATTTAATCTGATCAATATGTTGTTGTTGTTTTTTGAATTTTACCACAACTCTGCACAATCTTTAATTTTCAGTACAAACAAGCAGTGGTTCTTATCGACGTGAATGATAACGATCCAGAGTTCAACACCAAAATACCGCTCAAAACTCGCATACCGGAAGTTACTGCTACCGGAAGTATAATATTCAACCTACGCCACCTAGCGATAGATAGAGATATTAGAGGAAGTGTTGTTGGGTATAGTGTTCACAGATTGACCAATCAAACGGTAGTTATTTACTTGTATATTCCAGAATTCTTAATGAAAATTCAGCGAAAATTACTTTCATTTTAGGATCTAATCTCTACTCTGTAGCTAACAGCAACTTTATCAAACCGATTTCTTCTGAAGAGTAAAAAGTAACACAAATTCACGGTAGAATATCCTTGCTATTTTGTTGTAATATTTTCCAGATGACAGCCAATGATGGTTTTGAATATTTTGATATCTCTAATGAAGGTCATAATGTGATTTTAAAGAAGAAGTTAGATTTTGATTCGATGGAAACGCCTTACTTCTTTCTGAATATATCCGCCATTGTAAGTCATTGTAGGCATGCCAAACATTTTAACACATACCTGTACCTATTCTTGGACAATGGGCCAGTGGCGGCGCCAGCCCAAATAGTGGGCAGACTGACTCAATAGGGCTGAGGCTGAATTCAAATTTTGGCTACTCTGTGGCCTCTAACAGAGTGTCCTTGAGGGTTCTCTCAAGAAATTTTAGAAAAATGAATTGATTTTGTGCATTCTGACATATATTTTGGAGAAAAAAAGGTAGACATTCAGATTTGTTGAAAATAAAGTGGGGGTATAATTGAACAAATGAAAAATTGAACAAATGCCCCCCCGTCCCACCTTTGTATCCCCACTGGCACCGCCTCTGCAAGTGGCATTTGAGAAAAAGATTATACTCATTTTTTCCTATCCTTTTCTGCTGTATAATATTCCTTAAGATGTAAATTCTTTTCTATTTGTGGTCAGCTCCGACATTAAAACAATGGACCACTAGGAAATGGGTCTCCTATTCTACCCATCGTCTCTGATGTCAGTTCTGGAAAATGACCTAACCTGATAGATAAACACTGCGTCACAAAATGACAGCGTTGGAGGGGGTAGAAATTTGATTGGTTAAAGCAGACATCGCGTTAACTCAAAAAAATAATTTGAAGGACTGAAGTAGCTATACTAAAAATAAAAGCTAACAAAGTTTATTTATCCATTCCTACTCTGTTGTATTCCATTCCAAGAAATGAAATTTTACACTATTAAAGAACTTCGTGATGTAAACCTATTCCAGGATAATGGGCATCCAGTTGGAAGACGAACCTATACAGCACTCCAGTTGATTGTCGATGATGTTGATGATTTAGGACCAGTGTTTGTCTATGAGGATTGTCCTATAGTTGAAGGTTACTGTTCAACACCGGTATATGAGACCGCGGTCACCACTGCCTATCGGGTGAGTTAGCTTGCTTTATACATCCCTTTTCTTCATTGAGCACAAACTGTTGATTAGACCGATAAAATCTGAAGTAAGTAAGCTAATTATACGCATATTCATATTTGAGAACAGTCAAACGTTCGAGCCTTAACCCTAATTGGGTTAAAACGAACAAATAGGGACTGTGTGATGTAAACTTTGTCGTCGATTTGGCTAACTGCCGAGAAGCTGGTAGACAAAATCTATAGATCTATACAAACTTGGGGTGCCTTATCTTTTTTGTTCAGAACTACATCATCGACCAAAATGCAATACAGGACAACCGATGATACACCAACTAATGGTAAAGGTGTCTGATTATAATTACAGGGTGCACTGAAGATTTGGCCAGGTGAAGTCAAAGCTATCGATAAAGACAAGCTGAATTATACAATAATATATGAGATTATTAAAGGTAAGACATCCTCACTATATAAAGTCACCTGTTCCCCTGATTAACACATCGGCCTCCACAAACCAGTGGTTTTGATCTGATGAAAACAATAATGAATTTCGCTTCCAGTCTAGAAAACACATTGTGCTGTGGTATGGCATGAAGTTCTCGCCTTGATGAAATGGTGGTTGTTGTTATAAAATTGCTTTGATCGTCCCATGAAATCCGCGATGTACTTAGGACTTCGAGTAACAAATCAAGAGGTCTGCTTTACCAAGTCTAAGTTTCGACGAACAGAGGTCCAACGGCGATATAACATATTCTATTTATCTATGTAGGCGTTTTGTTTAATATTATTTCAGATAATACAACTCAGAGGTTTAATATTAAAGCTTATTGACTGAGCTGTATGTAAATGTGTACGATAGAGCGTATGAAGAATATTGTAAAGAAATTGTTATTAGCGAGTTTCGTAGCGTTAGACTACCCTTATAAATTGGTGTCCATTCTTTATCTCGGTTCACCAATGAATGTAGTATGTAAAATATTTCCAAAAATCTATTGTTTCAGTTGAACCAGTAGAATACAAAGATCATTTCACTATCGATAAGAAGACTGGACAGATCAGGTTGAACGAAGCTATAGAAAGATTGAACATTGATATGATTGTAGTCGGGATTAAGGTAGGTCATGCTGTTTCAGCCCGAGCGGCAATTCAGCGAGATGTGACACGTGGTTAAAGGGAACTAACTCCAGATTAAATATTATAATTTTAACCAATTTTAGTGTAAATCAAATTAACTGATATATTGGTTGCTGTGACTATATTTACGCTTGACTATTCTGAAATCACCCGTTGGCTCACGTAATTTCCATTATTCATGCTTACTGCATTCGACAGTTCACGGAAGGTTTTCGGCGGTGGCGGAACTATCGCGGTTGACCGTTTGAAACGGTTCTATTTTCTCAAGCTTGAAGTTGCTAAATATAAACCCTTATTATCATTCCAGGTCACAGAAGATTCTATTAGTCATAGGTCACTGACTACTAATCTCAGGGTCAAGGTCACTAGCAGATATACCCGGATGTTCGGTAATGGCGGTGGATATCGAGATGTACCAATCAACGACTTCTACGGTATAGAACAAGGTGAAAAAGTGTCGACATCCATTCCATTCTCGATCTTCATGTCGACTGTTGGATTACTGCTAGTGGTCATTGGCGTCTTGCTCATCGTTTTTGTTAAATATTTCAAAGAAAAACCTAACACAGTCACAATACCTCAGACAACGGGAATTTATACCACACAACCAACAAGACCACTTCCGCCCCCACCTCCGCCAAGACGTATCACTACTGATTTAGCGCCGTCTACAAATCTAGAGCCTGATCTTACACATGTTGGAAATTTCTCCACTCGTGAAGAAGATGGTGGGTCCTCTTCGACTTCAGGGTCATCACTTGATCTTGGATTTGATGACGCAATTTCCTTTGCCGTTTCAAAATGTCGTAATTCGAATGTGACGTCATTTCCCTTTTCAGCCAATCATTTTACAAGTTTCAACCCAACGTCAGTTCCACCGCCCGAGGAAAACGCCGGACAAGTTTTAAAACGTAAACTGCATAATATATTTTCATCTCATAGTGAAGTCGAATCTAATACAAAAAATACAACAGGTCGGGTGAGGTTTGACATCAGGAATATTTCCAGTTTCTCCTGAAAGATTTTGTGAAATTGCGACAAAGGAGTGATAACTAGAACCGAAAATGTAATTCAACAAACAATAAAAACGGTACAAACAGAAAAGATTGATGCCTTGAGAGAGAAAATGATTATTGGAAAACTCCTGCATTTAGAAATTAGACTACACATATATTATAAATGGAGTTAACGTCTAACTTTTCTGCACCTGATAGACTAGTCCGAAACATCCGCATCTATTCCTGCCTCTGATAGTTATCTTGACAGACGTCTACACTAATCGACACTTGTCAAAATAGCTATCAGTAACAGAGGCAGGAATAGAGGCAGATGTTACGGTCTACTGATTGGGCGAAAAGGCACAGAGAAAGTATTAGAAAGTTATAGGTATAGGTACATTGGCTCAACTAGCCTTTTATATTCATTCTTATTTTTATGTATTGTATTAGTAACTTATCGATATGAAAGAATAGAAAGCATGTATTTGGAGTCACTACTTTAAATGATCTATGGGATACCTCCTTATTCGTGTTTTGTGTGTCGCGAGATTTTTAAGTGAATAGCACACATACTCCATGACAATCCGCTTATTCAACTTCACAAAAAGATTTACAGTATTAACAAGGGTTAACTGGTTTCAAAAAGAAGTGCATATGTAAGGTGTAAGGTACACTAGCTTCAAAAGAAAAGATGGGGGGACTGAAGATTTTGTACTGGAGAGAAATCCTCATCAGGTCAGAGTGGTTGATTTTCAAGAGACACTAATGATGTATTTTCGCTATTTGGAACCAACTCTAAACTACCATAAACTGCCATGAAATGAAGCGTCAATCCTATTTTGTTATCAGTTTTCCGTGTGATCAGTTTGCTGTGACTTTGCACTAATTGTCCCGTAAACAAGTTTCAGCGCCCATAATATAATACTATTAGGCTTGTCATTAATATATTATATAAATTAAACGTTTTTTCGAAGGTGAAGTCAGTAGATGCTTTTTAGTGTAGCGAAATGAACCTAGCTACAAGGTAATGATCATTCATCTGTTAATTACACCTCTCTATCTGGAAACCTAGCTACCAGAGTAATGATCATTCATCTGCTATTCACATCTCTCTATCTGGAAACCTAGCTACCAGAGTAATGATCATTCATATGTTAATTACATCGCTGTATCTGGAAACCTAGCTACCAGAGTAATGAACGTTCATCTGTTAATTACACCTCTCTATCTGGAAACCTAGCAACCAGAGTAATGATCATTCATCTGCTATTCACACCTCTCTATTTGGAAACCTAGCTACCAGAGTAATGATCATTCATATGTTAATTACATCGCTGTATCTGGAAACCTAGCTAACAGAGTAATGAACGTTCATCTGTTAATTACACCTCTCTATCTGGAAACCTAGCAACCAGAGTAATGATCATTCATCTGTTAATTACACCTCTCTATCTGGAAACTTAGCTACTAGAATAATGAACGTTCATCTGTTAATTACACCTCTCTCTCTGGAAACCTAGCTACCAGAGTAATGAACATTCATCTATTAATTGCACTTGTCTATCTGGAAACCTAGCTACCAGAGTAATGAACATTCATCTATTAATTGCACTTGTCTATCTGGAAACCTAGCCATCAGAGTAATGATCATTCATCTGCTATTCACACCTCTCTATCTGAAAACCTAGCTACCAGAGTAATGAACGTGCATCTGCTATTCACACCCTAGCTATCAGGGTAATGAACATTCTTCTGTTATTTACACCTCTCTATCTAGAAATTCAGCTATTTTAAACTATTTCAAAGACATATTATAGACAAATTTTAGTTCTGTATCGAACGTTCTTTTCTTTGGATCCATGAGGCGGAAGTGATAAACTCCAATCAAAACATGATCTATTTTACCAAAAATGGTTATGATTACTGATCTTGAAAGTGAATTATAGATACACAAACTTAATTATATGGAGTTATTTATTCTCATTTAACTTGCGTTGCAATAGGTGCAATTACCAGTCCGCTTCGGTAGACATAAACAAAATAATATTTACAAGCATTTTATTAACTGCATAAAGATTCAAGCTGAAAATACATGCAGTGAAGTTGAAACATATTATAAAATTAGAAAAATATTTCCTAAAGGGATTGTAAAGAGGTTTTCTAATTTTGAGGACGATAATCCCGAAGGCTTCATGTCCTATACAAGCATATTTGCGATTAGTGATATCATCAAACACTTCTTTTTGTGGAATTGCAGGAACCACAGACTTCTGATTGAAAATTGGAATGTTTCAATTAGATGCTATCGGTGTACCCGATACACATTAACAATTTAGAAATCTCTTTACAATCCCTTTAAGCTTTTGTGTGCTCTGTTCATGTTCCGCTTCAGAAGCCACGAATCTCACTTCAATTTAAACAAGCAGTAATAATTAAATCTTTTGCGTAATAGTTACGGGTGCGGCTACGCGGGATTTCTAGGAAACATCACTTGAGGGGGGCGAGCAGGGGCCACACAATTTTCCAAGGAAGCCACAGGTCATTCTTTCACTATGTTACATGATAAAAAAAATTGAAAGGGGGAAGGGGAAAGGGGAACAATAATACGTTCCTGTTAAAGGGAGATTCCGCTTTTTTTGTAGGTCGAAAATGTTTTGTGAAAACTATTCACCAAAATCTAGAGAAATGTGCCTTTTAACATTTCTGAAAGTTATAACTAAAACTTTCCAGCCGTTAATTTCGCTAAACAATATTCAAAAAAAATTACGTAAGTGTATTTGGTAGTCAGAAAAGTGTTTTTTTTGAACGAATTCATAGAAAAGGCTTATGAGGAGAAATGACAGAACCGACCAGATCTCACGAATTATCAACAACCAAATCAACAACACAGAATCATCCAATTTGAACCAATCAAACTACCATCAACAACTTAGCTTGCGATGTCAGCATCCGCTGGAAGCGGAAACTAACCTGTCTTACGACGGTCTAATCCCAGCTCACGTTCCCTGTTGACGTTAACTTGTCATCAACCTACCAGCCTTTTCCAGCCCTCACACCGCTATAGCAATCATTTACCTCGCACCCAAATGGACAAAATATTGTAAATCCCTTATTCAAGCTGATTATAATACTCCCTAGGCTTCCTAGCGTTATTTGGCGGACCAAAAGTACCATTAATCATTTTTGGCGGCCATCTTGGATTTGAAAATGGTGGCCAAACAAAAGTCCGCCATAGCTCAGCTTTCAATACACATACAATTACAATATTGGTGTCAACATAAATCCACAGACAGTCTTCTCATACATAAAGGATGACAATTATGGTCTAGGAATTCGATCATGGCATTGCAGGCAGATGATTTATTGGTGGCCATCTTGGGTTTCGATATATCATATTGTTATAACTATTAGTGTTGTTGGAGTATGTGTTTTGTGCGCTAACTGCTATATGCTTAGGTTACCCTGATCTCTGACAAGGTAGTATGACGTCAACAACATTTTAACAATCTCCACGGATGGTCTAACAAAAAACATCACAAAACACAAAAACATATCTTATCAGTGAAGGCACCAGTGGGGGTCCTAGGGGGTGGGGGCAGAAAAGTGGTTTGCATCCCCAATTGTACCGCCACTTTATTTTCAACAAATCGAAATGTCTCCCTTTTGTCTCCAAAATATGTGTCAGAATGCACAAAATCAATTCCTTTTTTACTCAAATTTTCTTCGGAGAACCCTCTAAGACACTCTATGAGAAGCTTGCGACTATGACACCACCACAGAGTAGCCAAAATTGGAATTCAGCCTCAGCAGTCGCCCCCCCTCCCCCCTTTTTTGGAGTCAGTTTGCCCCCTATGTGTACTCCCAGTGTATATTAGCCATACATGGACAACCAACGTAATGACTCAAAATTTAAACGTTTCTACTATACGATTAGGATGTTTGCGTTTTTAGTCGAAAAAGATAAAAAAAAACAGTATTTTAATTTACAACAATTATACATGGATGTGACTTACATCACATGCATGGGCGATTGTTTCTCGATAGGCAATCGAAAATACTGTGCTTTACCTTATTATATTAATAAAAAGATTATTACAATACATATCTAACTGTTTTGAGATTTTGAAAGTCAGTTAGGTCTTTCTCCTCGGTAGATTCAGAAGATATTTATCTGACGTAATATGTTCAAAACTAACAATCAAAAATGAAAACCAGTTTCACTTTCTTGGGAATCATTTTGATTTTAAGTTGCAACCATCAGGTAAGTAAGCTTTATGATACTTGAAGCTTAGTTGATGATAGTCCAGAAATCTCAAAAGATTAAAACCTCCGAAAAAACACTGTTTTCCATTAGAACACCGCATGGAATAATTATATACAAAAATGAACACCTTTTTTGAACAATTCGCAAGAGTGGAAATAGGATAAAGTGGATGTTATTTTTTACCAAAATTACACTTAAATATTTACCACACAAGTTAATGTTCGAAAGTTTGTCATTAAAATCCCCGATATAGAACGTTCCGATAACTTATAGATAACGGTATATGCTACTAAGACCAGACTAGCCGGCGTATGCAAGCGACACAATTGAACCCTGAAAAATGTTATTCCGATTGGTGGCAGTACTCAGCGAGTGCTCGCTGTATAATATAGACTTATGGCAGGTGAAAACAGCACAAGAATAAAGCCTCCTTTATGCATATTTCAGGTTCGAGCTCTAAATTATATCGACGTTTACTGTGATGAAGGTAGGACTATATTATTTCCCATTTGTATTCAATAACCGCTCCCAAATATGTATTTAGTTCCCAAATTTAATTTTTAGCGTTTGTATTTCCATACCTAATGTATTGCAATATGTATATAATTGTTTGTCATTATTTTTTCAAAATTGTATTTTCACTTTTCTCCGGTAATTCTTAATCAACAATTATACTGCTATCACACCTTGTATTTTATATATATCTTTTTGGATAACAAATAAAACCATGTGTCCATGCTGGTTTCTAATTCATATGCTGTGCGGTAGGGTTTCCCATTCATTAGTTGACCCGATCAGGCCCGTAGCTACAAGAGAAGCATAATTATAAATGTGACCTGTTGCTGTATAATTATAAATGTGACCTGTTGCTGTATGTTTATAAATGGGGCCTGTTGCTGTATATGTATAAATGTGACCTGTTGCTGTATATGTATAATTAGGGACTGTAGCTGTATATGTATAAATGGGGACTGTAGATGTATATGTATAAATGGGGCCTGTTGCTGTATATGTATAAATGTGACCTGTTGCTGTATATGTATAAATGTGACCTATTGCTGTATATGTATAAATGGGGCCTGTTGCTGTATATGTATAAATGTGACCTATTGCTGTATATGTATAAATGGGGCCTGTTGCTGTATATGTATAAATGGGGCCTGTTGCTGTGTATGTATAAATGTGACCTAATGCTGTATAATTATAAATGTGACCTGTTGCTGTATATGTATAAATGTGACCTATTGCTGTATATGTATAAATGTGACCTGTTGCTGTATATGTATAAATGTGACCCGTTGCTGTATATGTATAAATGTGACCTGTTGCTGTATATGTATAAATGGGGCCTGTTGCTGTATATGTATAAATGGGGCCTGTTGCTGTGTATGTATAAATGTGACCTATTGCTGTATAATTATAAGTGGGATTTGTAGCTGTATATTTATAAATGTGACCTGTTGCTGTATATGTATAAATGTGACCTGTTGCTGTATATGTATAAATGGGGCCTGTTGATGTATAATTATAAATGTGGTCCGTTACTGTATATTTATAAATGGGATTGGTTAAAATGACTTTACTTTATATATCTTATGAAGATGGCGTGAGGCTAAATGAGGTAGAGGGGCAAAAGTGGAGGAAGGGATAAAAGGGGGAGAGGGGGGAGCGTTTGTTATGATATCCAAAGAAGTTCTCATATTATGATTTAGCATTTCTGATGTGCGTCTTTTTTGGCTCTAGTTATAAATTGTAAGTGTTTCATGAATAGGAATTGTTTGTTATTGATTGGAATTGGTGTTTAAAGAATGTTTTGAAAATGTAAGTGTTATTTTTGTTTGATTCAGGATGGGTACGTGATGAAGGTTATTGTTTTTTAGTGGTTGATATCCCAACAAGCCATGTAAGAGCTTACGCAATGTGTGAATGGTAAGTATAACCGATTTGAGTATGATTATTATTTGTTATTGCTACGCTTGGTGCTGATATCCATTCATTATTTCTTATTTCTAGGCTTAGAGCTGATATCCATTCATTATTTGTTATTGCTAGGCTTGGTGCTGACATCAATTTCATTATTTGTTATAGGTATGATTTGGTGCTGATATCTTTTTCATTATTTGTTATAGGTATGGTTTGGTGCTGATATCAATTTCATTATTTGTTATAGGTATAGCTTGGTGCTGATATCAATTTCATTATTTGTTATAGGTATAGCTTGGTACTGATATCAATTTCATTATTTGTTATAGGTATAGCTTGGTACTGATATCAATTTCATTATTTGTTATAGGTATAGCTTGGTACTGATATCAATTTCATTATTTGTTATAGGTATGGCTTGGTGCTGATATCAATTTCATTATTTGTTATAGGTATGGCTTGGTGCTGATATCAATTTCATTATTTGTTATTGGTATGGCTTGGTGCTGATATCAATTTCATTGTTTGTTATAGGTATGACTTGGTGCTGATATCAATTTCATTGTTTGTTATAGGTATGACTTGGTGCTGATATCAATTTCATTGTTTGTTATAGGTATGGTTTGGTGCTGATATCAATTTCATTATTTGTTATAGGTATAGCTTGGTGCTGATATCAATTTCATTATTTGTTATAGGTATAGCTTGGTACTGATATCCAATTCATTATTTGTTATTGGTATGGCTTGTTGCTGATATCAATTTCATTATTTGTTATAGATATACATGAAGTTTGGTGCTGATATCCAATCCATTATTTGTTATAGGTATAGCTTGGTACTGATATCGATTTCATTATTTGTTATTGTTAGGCTTGGTGATGATATCCAATTCATTATTTGTTATTGGTATGGCTTGTTGCTGATATCAATTTCATTATTTGTTATAGATATACATGAAGTTTGGTGCTGATATCCAATCCATTATTTGTTATTGGTATAGCTTGGTGCTGATATCAATTTCATTATTTGTTATTGGTATGGCTTGGCACTGATATCGATTTCATTATTTGTTATTGCTAGGCTTGGTGCTGATTTCTATTTATTATTTATTACAGCTAGGTTTTGTGCCAATATCTAATTCATTATGTGTTACTTTAAGCCCAAGGTGTTGATATCCATATATTATTTGTTACTTGATAGGCTTGGTGCAGATCTGGTTGAAATTATAGATGAAACAGAAAATGATTTTGTTTATAACTTAATAGAACCACGGACAAAAATTTGGATACGTAATTCAGGTAACTGATTCAGTCATGTATGTCGCTTGATGTTTGAAAATGTGGGGAACTAAGAGTCTACTTGAGTCTACTTGAGTCTACTTGAATCCCCAGAAACGCGAAACGAGCCGTTATTCAATATTCCAATATGTCAGCTTCGTATTCAGGCCTTAAAGAGACATTTCCGACTGTAAATCATATCTTGGTCTCTCAGAAACGTGAATAGTTCCGCTTAACTAATCAGTGATAATGTTCACGGCTTACCGTCGAAATTTGACCCTTCAAATCCATGTGTATCCATATTTATCTATGCTTGAAAAATGTTTGAACGAAGTTGTCATTTCAAGAGACTTTTTATTTTGAATATTCGTCTACGCAGAGCTAGATGGAAGATATCTTGGTCTCAGAGACTATATCAACAAGGCGTTCAACTTTCGGAGACCCAAAATTTCAAAGAGAAGCTTAACTCCTGAACGAAATGAATAAAACGTTTGAATTCTATTCGAAGGGATTATTCGATTCTCGGCCAATTTTAGTGGTTCTGAAGATTATTTACATATAATTTCAAAGTTTGAAAATGTAGTCTGTGACGCCCAATCTCGTACTTGTCCATTACGAGAAAATAGTCTGGATGTCTTCATTGATATTTTTGTCACGACGCTCCCAAATTCCATTAAGCGAGGTAACTACAATTATGCATATTCGAACTTAAAGCTTCAAACGACTTGTTTACAACCGAAAGAAATTAGCAGTTTTGTCAGTTTATACTTAGTAATTTTATCTGCAGATGTTATATTTATTGACTTTTTTCGAAATCCCTTTAATGAGATTGTAAAGAGGTTTTCTAATTTTTGTATATCAGGGAAACAAATCCTGATTGCGTATCCGACAAATTCTTCATAACTTGATATACGCTTTCTTAATCGTCAAATGTGATAGGGTCCTACAAACGGCTCACCGTGAAAGTTACAAATGACGGACATATTTATACCGGAACCATCTCAATATTAATCCTTTTAGGACATTTAGGGGTATAGATCACATTAAATACTCCTTAATAAAACTAAACCATAGACCATAAAATTGTGTTCCGTGATTTAATATCTCAATATTGTCACGTGAAGTCAAATATCATATCGCCCAGGACCACAGGTGTTTTTAAGCAAAGCCTATGAAAACAAAAATGTTTTGGATTCAAACTGATAACAAGAACTGTAAACAACTACGAACGTGGTAACGAGACATTATCCCATGGATTTCGAACCTTTTGAATTATCTAGCCTGTTACTGTTAGCTTTCAACTCGGGTGCTTTTAAAGATGGGTTCCCTTATTTTTTAGTGTCAAATTAAGGAAACTCTTTGATTAATTGGTGTTTCTAATGAATCACATGTATTCTTAATCATAGTATTATATTCCTATTGCATATGATTAAGAGTTTTAACCAATCATAAATGTCCATGTATGTACAGTCCGGATAAACAAAAAAATACTTTTTGACCTTTCTTGATCGGTCACTCATGGAATTCTGCCGGTAAATCTCTTCTAAATTCTGACTTGCTAATTAAGAATTAATTATGGACATGTGAGACAAACTGGTATTTTTCCAAGTCATTAGAACACCTCTACTTTCTATTCAATTATTAGCATTTTCATTTTCATAAATGAAAATAAGGGAACCCATCTTTAAGCCTAGATTTTTTGAACAATTTTTCGGGCTACTGATAAAAGAATCAATTAGACTCCTGAAATGTAAGAGATAAGCCCACAATAGAGGTTTTTAAAATTTATCCAAATTTTATAATTTGAATTTTTATAGCAAACAACCCATGTCACACACCGATAAAGAGAAAATTGAGTACATTCCAATTATGAAAACCACAATGATATGGGATAAATACATTTGATGTTAGGACTGGAGTGTTCAAAAAGTGTTCATTCATTATTGTAATATATAATCAAAAAGAGGATATTAAGACCATTAATAATCTGAGAAAATCAAGCCCCTGTGTTTATTAGAGAATGTGGCATAGATGTCCAAAGTAGCAAAAATGTCAATTTTCGATGAGCTATAAATCCGGCAGTTGATTTTTTTCATCAAATATCAGTATCTCCATCATAGGACACTCTACACTGAAAATTTTAAGGTCATTAAAGGTCAAGGTCACGAGATATAGACTTTCAAATTTCAAAAATCGAAAAGGCATAGATAAAAAAAATGGTAAATTCGAAATTAATAATCATGGTAAATGTGGATTTATAACACCTCCGAAGATGCGATTTTTCTAACATAATATTAAATTACCTTTACGGTTACTGTAAATTAGTGTGGGGCATCATCGTAACTTTTGTTTTGTTCGTTTCACGTGACTTTTTGACCTTTGAACTTATTGCTGAGCATGCAGTTTTAAATGGCCGACGCGAGATCAGTTTCGTTTAAAACAATTTTGGAGGAACTGGAGACGTGACATAAAATGGTGTAGGGAGAAAAGTCTTTTTGAGCCTCAAATCCACAGTTTTTGTCCAATTGATTTGAAATTAACTTGAAATTTCAGATGTATGAAAGGATACATGTGATTAAAGCAGATTGTATTCTTATTTTTCAGTTAACAATTTTTGTGATGCGTTCGGCTTGTTGGATATATTTGAACCGAAATTTCCAAGCGCTGATAATTGTTTGGCTCTTAATGAAAACGGGCGATGGGAGGTCATGAATTGTTTGGAGAATTTGAAATATGTTTGTCAAACCAGGGCATGTATATCAGATGGTTACCGTTGTCATGACGACACCGGGTGTATCAGCAAGAAATGGGTTTGTGATGGAGAGAGAGATTGTGAGGCATCCGGTTCTGACGAACAGAATTGTCGTAAGTAACTTTGTTTTGAATACCCGGAACCGTTAAATGATCAAGGCTTTAATCCCAGATGACACTCTGTGTTCGAGCATGTCAATTCTGTTTTCATTGGAAAGTGATGACAAGGTATGTGAATGATACATCCAAGTTTTGGCAGAGCACTGTCAGTATGAAATATCAATTACATATATGAAGTCATCTGCAGTGAATGGCTGAAAAAGAGCATTATTTTGAATTGATATATTCTACATTACACTTCATCGTACTCTAAGTTTGGTCTTGTCAGGATGTTTTTTTCAAAATAGGATGGTTTGCTTCCCTTTAAAGACAGTTTATACAACTTCGGTAAGGTGATACTCAGTTGATCTGATCTTTATTCTAGAAATCTAGATCTTTCATCCTGGGCCTGCTGAAAACAATGGTGTTGAATAATTAAAGGGATTGTAAAGAGGCATTCTAAATTCTTTATGTGTATTGGGATCTATGGGAACAC